TAGTACGAGGTTATAAGACTAATAAGCCCGCCGTCGATATAGACACCCCGGTGTCTACCCTCGTACGAGTTCCTATAACGGATAGATAGTATCTCCGTAGCTCGTGCCGGCTAGCCGCTAGTAATATAATAAAGGACGGCGAGGTTCGTATAGAAGCGGTCTACGTAGCGGATGTATCGATTAACGGCGGGTGCCTTAAACGTATCGCTCGTACGGTCTACGAAGAACTGCCGTTATAAGTGTAGTGCTATAATCACTTAGTCTAGTAGCTACCGACTGCCGTCCGCCCTTANTATCTCGCTATTTCTAGGAAGTCGTACAAAGCTAAAACTGGCTTCAGACGAGTTTAGGCTATCGCTTAGGCTCTATAGTAATAAGGGCGGCGTATAGAGGCCTAGCAGTAGGAGAGAATCGAGCAGCTCTCTTATATTGTACGTAAGAAGGCTAACTATACGACGTAGCTAGCTTATATAGAGGCAGATATCTCCGTATAATAGCCGGTCGCCCCTCTACTTAACCTTACCTTCTAAGGTGCTCTATATAGCCAGATGCTAGCCGTACGAGCGCAGGTCTAATATCTACTCGAAGGGCGAGCGCATACCCCTCCGGAGAAAATAAAAGGTTAGTTACTTAACGTTATCTAGCTAGGGGCCCTTTATACGGTCGTTGTACGTATCGGGGTCGGCTCGGGCCCTCGCGGTTGTACGAGCATTACTATCTATGCTTATACTCGTACTCGTGCTCGAGCTCGAGCTTATCTCCGTATTTATGTCTATATCTTCGTCTATATCTACGTCTATACTAGTACTAGTATCTATATCTCTAGTTAGGAGTCTCTTATACGCCTCCTATAGTACGAGATAGCGTAATGTTTTAATAAGCGCCGAGAGGATAGACGGGTACCTATCGACGCCGAGCTATCCTTACGGTTATACGGCGATCGCGGCGAGAGCGNAGATTATTAGGCTCTCGTACTCCTAGCCTCGTACGACGTAATCGAGTAGTAAGATAATAAAGAAGAGGATACCGCGTTCTAGCTCCGGTATCGCCGTCGGGTCTCTACTAGACCGCCGCCGGTCGTCTTCCTCCCCCTCTTCGTATAAAGGGTCCTCTACTACGGCTATTAGTCCTTATAGCGTCTCTCGCTATATATCGGATAGCGGTACGGCGAGGTCTAGACCGCCTAGGTAGAATCGTATAAAGAAGAGCACGATCTGCTACTAGGCCTATATACCTTTCTAGAGCTATAGACGGCCTTAATATAGCTGTAGCGGCTGCTAGATGTAATAGCTGTCCTCGACCTATACGATAGTAACCCGTACGAAGTAGCTCGTACGCGTAAGGAGCTTCTCGGCGCGTACAATTAGCGATGCTACCGCGTCCTATATCTTACCCTCGTACGGCGGAGAAGCCTGCTAGGGCTCGACGACATATTCGAGGACTTACGAGCGGGTCGAGTCGATTAGGAACCCCTACTATCTAGTTCGTTTTAGCTAACGGTCGCCGTTATAGTCGTATAGGTCGTCGATCTAGTCCCTCTACTGCTAGACTACTATTTCGTGTCTCTCGTATAAGCTTAGCGGTAGTATAGGGTAGCGCGGTATATCGTCGCCGTCGCCGTCGCCGTCTCCGTCTAAGCTGTCTATACTCTATACGCAGATAAAATAGGAGTTAGGCCCGGATAGAAAGATCCTCTAATACGATACTTCAATCTACGCCGGCTAGGTCCGTATAGTAGGAGGAGCTAGGCTACGTACGAGCTTAGACGGCCGACCTTTCCTACCGAATTCTAACTAGCTGTACGCCGTACGATAATGCTCCCTTATCTTTCGGACATTTTAGTAGATATAATAATAAGATTACTTATCGAGCCGACACTAGAACGTATCGCTATAGAGAAAGAGGATTAGATCGGCTTCTTCTAAGGAGGAGGGTATCTCGTATAAGCTCTAGTAGTTTTCCGCCTAGATAGACCGATAGAGAGCTTCGATAGTATAAAGTCGGTTACCCTTAATCTAATATCGCTTACTCTAGTACGTACTAATCTAGCCCGGCCGTACGCTAAAGCGATATACGCTATAAAGGAAGCAGTTCTACTCCTACCTATACTTAACTCCGTACGAGGTAAGAGACATCGATTAATATCGAGAGTGCGCGTATACGCGCGTACGCTAGGGACCCGAGGTCGAGAAGAATCCTTATACGAGAAGTGCTTAAGGCGGTTAGCGCGGTAGAGCTACGGATAGGGGTGCTACTTATACGCTGCTTTATATATATATATATTTATATGTTTTTTTCTTTTTACTTTCTTATAATAAGTTGTCGTATAAGAAGGGTAGGGTAGGGAGAGCTCTTTAGTCTTCGGTCGCGTCTTAGCGTCGCGTCGAATAGAGACGAGTAGCTGTCTTTAACATATAATCGAATAACGTAACTATAGCTCGAATAGTAGAGATGTCGGTATACCGGCTAGATATCGAGGCGGACTTTTACACGCTATAATTTTTAGCTCCGTATAGGTAGAGATTAAAAATGACTTTAGCGTACGGGCGAAAAGGCCCTAAGGGTAGGTCTAGAGGTCGGCTCGCGGGATCCGATTAGCTGGCGGGATACAGGGAAAAGGCCCCGAGGGTAGGGGACCTTTTAACCTAGAGTTAGGAAGGTATAAGTCTATATAGGCAGTATATAGTCTAGTATATCCGTAGGTATATCGATGTTCTCTAGGCTTAGGAAGGGGTAACGGTTACTTTATAGTAGGTTCCGGCCTATAAGGGTGTATATAGTAACGAGTAGGTAGATAAGCGGGCAAAAAAGGTGCTAGAGGAGGGATAGGGAGAGGTAGAAGGCGTTACTACGTAACTCGAAAGTCCTACTAACCCTCTAACCTCTTCGGACTCCTAGACATCTACTAACCTCCTAATACCTACTAACCCTTTAGTACCTCCGGACCTACGTAATCGTAACATCGTAAGGTCGAAAATATATTAATAACGCTATAAAGGGGTTACGAAGAAGATAGCCTTAAGGGTAGCTAGGAAGATACTTTAAAAGAAGCTAGACGAGACCTAGAAATAGGCTAGGAATATAAGACCTCGAGACACGCTATATACCGGATTATACACGTAGAAGCTAGACGGAGCTCTTCTAGGTCCCTATATAGCGATAGTGTATAACGTATTATTAGCGGAAGAAGCGTCGATACTCGCCTAATGCCGGATAGGGCACTCCCGACTAAAGAGTAACCTATACTAGATAAAACTAGTAGACTTAGTAGGGTACGAATACGGAGCTACGCGAGAAACTATTAAGCACGTTATATACGAATGCCCCCTCCTACGCGAAGATCGTTAATATGCTATCGAGGTAGTAGGGTATAGGTAGAGGGACCTTTCTTATATACTTGGGGGTTTTAATCCCTAGGAAGACCCGAGAAATAGGCAACTAGTCGACGGGCTAAAGGAAAAATAGAAGGCGAACCTTCTAGCGGTAAAAGCGGTCCTCTACTTCCTTTATAAGTCCGGCAGGTTTACGTAGTAGACGAGAGCTATCGAGTAAGGGGAAGCTAGAATGGAATAAGGAAAGATAGGGATAAAGAAGGAAGAACTGATAGAAGACGGCTTATAGGTTTGCTGTAGAACTAAGTAGCCTAATTAATTGAATTAATCAATCAATTAATTAATCTAATGTTAGACTATAAGGTACGTCCCTTCTATATACGTTAGTATACTCTAGTATAAAGCTTTCTTATAATATAAGTACTTTATTTACTAGGAGACACTACTCTAGCTTATAATCTAATACTTATAATTGCTAAATCCAATGATTTTTATGTTTAGCTTTCTTATATGTTCTTTACGGGCAGCAGAATTACAATCTGAGTGCTACGCGCAGGGCGCATCTCGGCGTTGAGGGAACGCTGGACCTACAAATAACCCGAGCGAGACGCACGCGCGCAGACTCGCTTCCTCTTCCAGCAAGCTAGGGCGTCTTGAGTTACGGACAACCAGACATGCGTCGCATCCCTGAACTGCATCGGATCTTCAGGCCGCGTTCGCGAAACGTCGCACGCCATCAACGCGCGGTCCATACCATGACAACTAATCGGCTAGACCCCTCGACACTCATTGAAGAAGAGACTCTTCGTGACTACAAGGCAGAACGATTTCTCCCCGTCAGGACTGGCGAAGTGTTCAAGAGCCGATACCAATCCATTGGCAAACTTGGGTACGGATCAGCATCAACTGTGTGGCTCTGCCGCGACCTTTTCGCATCCAACAAATATGCCGCTTTCAAAATCCTATGTCAACAGCTCAAAGAAACATCGCGAGCTTGAAATCTATCAACATATCCAAGCACTGTCTTCTAAACATGACGGTCGTCACCACATCAGGAGACTCCTTGACTCTTTCGAAGTTGAAGGTCCTCATGGCAGACATATTTGCCTTATCCACGAACCACTTGGAATCAGCCTCGCTGAGCGAAGAGATCTCACAAGCGGCCGAGTATTCGACGAAGACCTGATACGGCAGATCTTCCGTCCCATATTGGAGGGACTCGATTTCTTGCATAGGGAAGCTAAGGTGATCCACACGGGTAAAGCATCGAGGCGCTGGGTAGTATAGCGTTTGCTTACAGAGCTTCAGACCTTCAACCTAACAACGTGCTTATAGGCATTGAAGACAGCTCAGTCTTTGACAAGTTCGCGGAAATGGCAATCACAAACCCTGCGCCGAGGAAGGAGCTCTCGGATCGTATCGTCTATGTCTCTCAGCCGATGCCGTTGACAAAAGGACTTCCGTCCTTGACTGATCTTAGCGAAGCTCGATTTGGAAACTCTTTACACACTGGACTCATCATGCCAAACGTGTATCGTGCGCCCGAAGTCATCTTAGAGATGGAGTGGAGTTATCCCGTGGACATCTGGAGCTTCGGAATGACAGTAAGTTTATTGTTACGAGAATTCCGGCATCGAAACGGTCTTTCGTTGTCCCATGATGCGACGGCTGATAGGTCAACCAGCTCTGGGATCTTTTTCAACCCGAAAGGCTTTTCAGTGCCAAGCGCGGTGATGATCAGTACTCTGAAAGCCATCATCTTGCTCAAATGGTGGCAATTCTAGGTGATCCCCCTCCTGAATTTCTTGCGGCTTCTAAGAAGACCGCAAAATACTGGGACCAGGACGGTGAGTTATACATGAGTTTTTGTTGCGCGACTTGGGCGCTATCTAATCTCTTCGCGCAGGCAAGTGGATACATGAAGTGGCGATACCGGCAATAAGCCTCGAGAGCTGCGAACAACGTCTTTCGGGTGAAGATAAGAAGAATTTCCTGACAATCATGAGGAAAATGCTTTCTTGGAAGCCTGAGGATCGCAGCGGTTGGCAGGACATTTTCTTCGACGAATGGCTGCTCGCAGACTTGATCGAATCTGGTGAGATAGTAAGAGATGAATGATAAAATATTGGCATGCAACGGCAATTCTAGATCCCGACCTTGTTCGCGTGCAGACGTTCAGATTGTACTACAGAGTAAGGCTTTTGCTCTTAATGCCGAATGGTTGTCTCGGTAATCCTGTAACCCCAAATCTGATTAGCGTTTGCATCCTCGCGAACACAGTCTCTATAAATTGCTCTCTCATGTGATGCTCACCATTGCCTAGATAAGGAGATTGAGGCTTATTTCAGGCAGAACTCCCTAACAGTATCCGGCGCGTAGTCAAACGTTAGCACCTTGGTACCGACCGCCTGGGTTGTAGCTCTCTTCTAATCTAAACAGATAGCTAAGCGCCTGGATATGCCGTTAATCCCTTCTGATCTTTACGATCTTGGATAAAACTAAAGTTTGAGAAGCCTGATATAAATGCGGGCCTCAGTTACATTTAACACCAGAACTTTTACTGACCTTCATCTCATAATCAAGCCCTTTCCATTCTCATTCACGGAATAGACATGTCTTCTGCAGGAATCACGGGCTTTCAGTACTGGCGGAAAAAGGGCGTTAAGATGGGCGGGAGCGACCAAGAATGACATTGTCAATCAGAACCCAGGCAAAAACGGCGCCGGGTTAAATAAGGCCATCCGAGGCGGAAAGAAAAGTAAGTATGCATGGCGTCGATCCCATTGCTGCGGCAGTCTTGAGAAATACTGATACTTTTCAGTATGGTGACAAAGCTGCAATTCTCCGGATTCAGTAAGTTTAGGTGACCTAATGACCGCTAGCTCGAGTTGACAAGTATACGGGGGCGCGAAATTGCACAAGTCCACCAAGGATCCCAACGACAAGAAAGAGATCGTTGCTATATCTGTTCACACCGAGGGCGGCACTCGTTTAGAATCGGGCCATGCCCATGAAGATGGTACTACTACGCGCCACGTTACTAGAGCGAGCGGGAGCAAGTAAATCATGTCACTAGTTGATTTAATAGAAAGGAGGGACGAACGTGCGCAAGGTGTTTCTGCCCTAGGTTTGCGACTTTCCCTCTCCTCCGCTCCGCTTCGACGTGTACAGAATCTCCCATCACAAGCAAAGAGGGTTGCAGTCATACGGTCCAATTTAATACATTGATCATTCGCTATGTGATCCCACTTCATTACTTTCCGCCAACAACAACCCACCCAATCAAGCCTTCATGTTCTCCAACTCGAGGACAGTAGAGTCGCTGTGGAAGTGGTACAATTTGGGCTCCGGAAGTCCCTTCTTGCGCAGAACAGTGGTCTTGAACCAGTAAGGCAAGACCTGGAAGAGCTGATAGCTCATGTGAGTGCGAGTAGGGACAGCGAACACGTAGTCCAACTCCTCGAGCGAGCGCTGCTTGGTCTCGGGCAGCCAAAGGAAGATCATGGCACAGGCGACAGCGTTCATGGCAGCGTAGAAGCCGAAAGCACCGGTGGTGCCGAATGCGCGAAGCTGGCGGGGGAAGGTGAGGGACACGACGGTGGCCCAGAAGTTGTTGGTGGCAACGGCCCACGACATACCAACCTCACGATGGGAGAGAGGGAAGACTTCGGCGGAGTAGGTGAAGGGCACAGGACCCTCACCGGGAGAGTAAAAGGCATCGAACAGGTAGATGAAGAGGGCGATCAGGCCAAGATGGGCGGCAGACTCGGTGGGGATCAGGAAACAGAGACCCGCGGCCAACAGTGTCCAGCACATGTTGGGGAAGGTGAAAAGAAGGAGAGCGCGACGACCGTAGGTATCAATGGTCCAAACGGCTGGCCAAGCGAAGATAAAGTTGATGATACCGAAGCCCCAGGAAGCGAGGAGAGCCCCAGTGACGGTAGCGCCAGCCTGAGAGAAGATGGTCGAAGAGTAGAAAGCGATGATGTTGATACCGCACATCTGTTGACCAATCATAACAATACCGGAAGCCTGAACGGCGCGGCGCAGGCGGGGGATGGTGAAGAGTTCGATGAAACGAGTTAAGAAGCCAGCGTTAGCAGGGAGACCGGATTGTTCAATAAGCATGACCTCCTGCTCCATTTGGGCGTAGATGTAGATCAATTCTCTAGCAGCCAGGATAGGCTTGCCACGGAATCGGAGAAGCGACTGGTAAGCCTTGCCATACTTCTTCTTCGACATGAGCCATCTGGGTGACTCAGGCACAAAGAAGATACCAAGAACAAGAGGGACAGCAGGGATGAAGGCTGACCCGAGCTGCAATCTCCATGCAATGTCACCAACATCCTTGACGGCGAGGTTGGCTGACGTACCGAGGAGGATACCGAAAGCAGTCCAGATTTGCCACGACATGACCAAACCACCTCTAATCTTGGTAGGTGCAACCTCTGCGGAGAAGACAGGTACCGTGACTTCCTTCAGACCCATACCAATACCAAGAAGGATACGGCAGACGACCAACTGTTGCCAATTTTGGGTGACCGCCATACCAATAGGGGCAAGTAGGGAGAAGACGGCAGCAATGAAGATGACTCCTCTGCGACCAAGCCAGTGGTTCAGGGGGTCGGAAATCCAACCTGCGAAAAGGAAAATAGCGAGATAGGGGCAGGAGTTGATGAAGCCGACAAGCCATTGGTTGTTGGAGCAGGTACCGGCGGCCTCACACACGGGGCCACTCTCAGGGATACCAAAGGCCTGAGGAAAAGACAGATTTGCACCGTTGGATCCAGTTTGATCCCATCCCTGGATGGCAGCTAGTTCACAAAGTCAGCTTGATTCAATGTTGGAACAAGTTAGCGTCCCGACGTACCAGCAACGGAGTTCAAGATAATGGTGATGTAAAGGATCTTGGGTTGGCGCCACTTGTGAGTGATCTCCTCTTGGAAGATCTCCTTCTCTTCGTCCGTGAAGTCATCCATAGTAGCGACCTGTGCAGGATTCTGAGCAGCGAGAGCACCCTTCTTGAGAAGGGGCAGGATGTCGTTCAGATCATGGTCGGCCGCGAACTTCTCGGCGGAACGCATCAGAGTGTCGCGGGGCACACCGACGAGAGGGTTACGGATCTCTCCAGTAACATTGTCGGTGAGCTCAGCGATTCTGGCTTGGTGCTTCTCTTCAGAGACATTGAATCGGTCGTGGGCTGGGTTGGAGTCGATGTCTTCGTGGTGGGCCATGTTGGCGAATGAAGGATGAAATGTGTTGATCGGATCTGCAAACTGAGGAGGAACAACGACCATTTATAGCACGCGACCAAGTCCCAAACCTCAGCCTGCAAACATGGAAGTGGTCCAAGCTATTCAAAGTTCTTTCGGGGCCCCGCGCGTTGCCTGCTCCAGTTATTCCCCGGTGACCCAGCTTCTCCATACATACCGCCACACGAAATATCGACCGTTTTTCGTGGCGGCTTGCAAGCTCAAGCCGCACTTGCATTTCTGGGGTGCGCAAACTCTGTCTCGTTTGCACTTCTCCCACGCGTCAAGTTGCGACCATGAGACCTGTGGACATGCAGAGTGATTTCTCTTTAACCGTAGTCAGTCATGGAGGATCAGTACTGACTGCGCTCCCGATGTGATAGTCGCTCTCCCACCATCATTGTGCCTTGGTACAGCTACAAGCAGGACAAGACGTAGCGCAGGGGATAGTCGGCAAAGCCAAAGATTCCAATCGGCCCTTCCATCTTAGCTGCACCTATCTTTTCGGCCGAGGGAATGTAAATTTGTTACATTTTCGGCTTGCAATAGAGCATTTTAGCAGCTCCTGTTCAACAGCAACACCTTCGAAGGATTCAACTAGCTCACGCCACTTCCGAGGCCTCTGAGCTATGGTACTGACTCTGCTAGCGCGCGTAGCTACTGCTAGTGTACAGTACTCCATGTCGTCGTCGTCGTCGCTACTGCTAACCTCTGTATATAGTCGTCGCCGCTATAAACGCTTACGAAGCTCGCCGTCGTATGCTATTTATCCTGATCGTCGCTATCGCCATATACTAGCGCCCTCGCCCTCGCCCTCGCCGCTACTAATACAAGGCCCCTCTACCGTACAGCCAGTTCGACTAGAGCCTTAAGAGCTGGCATAACGATAAATTCAAGTACCTCTGTCGCTTTAGCAAGTAAGATATCGTTAAACTTACGCATCTCCTCGAGCTCGATACCCTTAAATTCAGCAACCGCTTAAAGCCCTCGCTATACCTTGCTCTCGTAGTTACCTGCGTACGGCTCTACTTTCCGAACGACTAGTCTATGCTATATAACCACTTTAGTCGCTGCCGTGGCTATTTAAGCACAATATTCACCGATACTATCGAATTCCTTAATAGAAACCACCGTACGCTACTCGAGTGGCATCCGTAGCTAACACTGCTAAAGATATAAGAGTACGCTGAGTGTATACGACGACGAGGAGGTAGAGTTAGTATATAGGGCTTCGTTAACTGTTATAGGGTCTTGCTACAGCAGCGACCCTGACCTCGGCTGACGCCGGGAATTCCCCGACTTAGCGCANACAAGCGTCGTACGAAGAGGACGGACTTTCCGTCCCCTTCCTTTTCCTCCTTAGCAAAACCTCCTTATATTATAGGCTACTATTTGATCGTTAGATCGCGGTTTAATCCGTAATATTAGGTTTTACTCTTAAAAACACGTATAGAGCGGTTACCGCCTATCGTTAACATAGAAGGGAACGCTTCCCCTTCGTACGAATAATTAATGTACGAGATCACTAGATTACGTACATTTATCTAAGAATAACACGATGTATAATAAGCCTATTAAGCTTAGTAACAAGCTGTAGCCTTAAACGGACTAACCGCGACCGAGAACACGCCCGTTACCGAAACACCTTCATATAACTAATTCCTAAGGATAGCTAAACCTCGTTTCCTAAATCCCTCGAAGTACTTATACGATAACCTAAGCGAATATATCTCCTTTCGAATAAACCTTAAGAGTAAGCTCCTAATCGACGGAGCTACCTTCCTCTCGGACGACGAGAAAGTCTACTATGCGTTTAACAGACTCTTAGAGGTTACCGCGAAGAGAATAACCCCTTAGATTCGTACGAACTAAGATAACGGTACGATCTCTATTATAAATTTCTTTACGGAAATAGACTTAGCGTTCGACGATCCTTAACGCTAGGAGAAAGCCCTCGTACGTATTAATAGNATAAAATAGGGTAGGAAAGATCTAGTTACGTTCCTTAGCGAATTTAACGAAGCCTTAGTCGACGTAGGAGGCCTGTCCTAGGACGATAGCTAAAAGAAGACGCTACTCTAAGTAGNAATTAACGTACGACTAATAGAAGCTATAGTCGGAAGGGATAAGAAACCGACGTACGAAGGATACTATAACTAACTGCGCGTAGTTAACGAAGATCTAAAGCAGATTAGAAGGATCTAAGGCTAAGGATAACTCCCTCGTATAAGCCGCCCTATTACTAGTAATAAGAGGGAGCTAGAATAGATAGATTAGTAACTAACTTAGGTTAACGCCCTCTATACGAAGGAGCGCGAATACTAGAGGTCTCCCGAAGAGATCGCTAAGTAAAGAAAAGAAGGCCTATACCTCCGCTATAGAAGAAAGGGATACCTCGTACGAGGATGTTCGGGACCGATCTCCTATAAGCCTATAAGGATAGCTGCTACTAAATAAGTAATAGCTATCGACGAAGTAAATAATAACTACCCCTCTAATAGCTCCGTTAAGAGCTAAGGAAAAGAGTAACCTCTATACGAAGTTACGAACGGAGGGCAAAACCTATAGAATTAACGGAGTATCTTTTTAACTAGTTAAATTTCGAAAGTAAGCGTATAAATTCTCCCCCTTTTGCTATATATATAGTAATTAACTACGTCGCTACTACCTACATACTAATAGATAGCGGCTACTTAAGCTATAGAGCGATTAGTTAGAGGTTCGTATAAAGGAATAGGCTTCTAACCTTCGATATAACGCCGAAGTTAATAAGAGGAGCTACGGGAGGAGAAGGTAAGATTAACCGCATCGTACGATACTAGATCGATATTAAAGGACACTCGGAATAGGGAACCTTTCTATATATTATTTCTAACTACCTCGGCTACGACCTTATCCTTAGAAGGCTATAGTTAAACTACTACGACGTATAGATAGACTCTAAACGAGGAAGGCTATATATCCGCTTAATAGGCGTAAAACTACGAAACTATAAGCGGAAACCCCTCCTAAAGCTAGATATCCTATAAGTTTACGCCGCTACTATAAGCTTAATAATTTAGAAGATATCTCGTACGAAGTATAAGAACACCTAGTAGTGCTTCGCCGTTACGATAAAAGATATATAGAAAGCTCTTACTCTAAAGAAATATACGGACCCTCGTACGAAACTCCCGCTTAAATACCGTAAGTATCTAGAACTATTTAAGCTAAAGAATATAACGACGCTCCTACCTTACTAAGGGCCCGGCATCGACTATAATATCGAACTTATACGAAAGGATAGTAAGGAGCCCGAGATACCTTAGGGCCCGTTATATAATATAATATAAGACGAACTAGTAGTTCTAAAAACTACTCTTATAGACCTACTCGATAAGAATTTTATACGCGTAAGCTACTTCTTTACGGCTACACTAGTACTCTTCGTACGGAAACTAGGTAGCGGCCTCCGATTCTATATAGATTACCGAGCTCTAAACGCAATTATAAAGAAGGACTGCTACCCCCTCCCGCTAATATACGAGACTCTAAATTAAATCGGTAAAGTACGATAGTTTATAAAGCTAGATATAAGCGTAGCTTTCTATAAGATCCGAATAATAGAAGGGAAAGAATAGATAATAGCCTTTCGTACGAGATATAGACTCTACGAATAGCTAGTTACCCCCTTCGGTCTAGTAAACGTACCGAGTACATTCTAGAAATATATTAACTAGACGTTACGCGAACACCTAGACGACTTCTACTCGGCATATATCGACGACGTACTAATCTACTCGTCCGGGATAGTAGAAGACTATCGTATAAAGGTAAAGATAGTACTAGAGAAACTATCTAGTATAGGATTATTCCTCGACGTCGAGAAATACGAATTTAAAGTTAAGGAAATAAAGTACCTAGGATTTATCGTATAAGCTAGGGAAGGCATTTAGATAGACCTAGAAAAGGTTAGGGCTGTAACTAAATAGGCCCTACTAATAACTATAAAAGGCGTATAGGGTTTCCTAGGCTTTACTAACTTCTACCGACGATTTATCCCGGATTTCTTAGTAGTCGTACGGCTACTAACTAACCTTACGTATAAGGATAGAGAGTTTCGGTAGAGTAACGAGTGCTAGAAAGCCTTTAAGAAAATAAAAAAGCTGTTCGTAGAGGGCCTAATACTAGTAACGTTCGACCCCCTTCGTATAATAGTAGTCGAAACCGACTCCTCTAGATATAATATTAGCGGAGTCCTATCTTAAGTCGACGATAAGGGTATCCTACGACCGTACGCGTACTATTCGAAGAAGAACGCGCTAGCTAAGTGTAACTACGAAATCTACGATAAGGAGTTACTCGCCGTCGTACGATGCCTAGAAGAATAGGACTTAGAACTCTAAGCGGTAAACGAATTCGAAGTAGTAACGGACTATAAAAACCTCGAGTATTTCTTTAGCCTAAGAAAACTAATAGAACGGCACGTACGATAGTAACTACTACTATTAAGGTTTAACTTCTACTTTAAGTATAGACCCGGAAAGGATAACGGCGTAGTAGATGCCCTCTCCCGAAAAGAGTAGGATAACCTATAAAAAGAAGACGGGAGAGTTAAAAGCCGTACGATATAGCTTTTAAACTAACTAGTACGAGGACGAGTCGAGCCCCTAGCTCCGATCTAAGTTCGGGAGGAGGAGGGTAGTACTTAGCCGCCTTCGTACGATAACGTACGACTATAGGACGAAGTAAGAGCTTAAGACGAGATATTCTAAGAAGTAGAGTTAGTCGTATAAAAAGGCGGAAGGAAGTTCCCGTTATACCTATAACTAAAAGTATTAGTCGCCGAATACGTAATTAGTAACGATAACTACCTCCTATTTCGTAGTAGAAGGTAGGTACTAAACTTCGAAAGCCTTCGTACGACGATTATCTAATACGCTTACGATTTAACTATAGCTAGCTACCCTAGAAGAGAACAGATATACTCCTTTATTATAAGGAACTTCTTCTAGCCTAATATAAGCTAGGACATTAGACAGTTCGTACGAAACTGTAATGTTTATAGTAGGAGTAAAGCTTTTAAGGACTAGAGAAAAGGGCTCTTAAAACTACTCCTTATACCTATATAACCTTAGTAGGAAATATTAATAGACTTTGTAACTAACCTCCTAAAGAGCGAAGGATATAATAATATCCTTATTATTACCGACAGATTAATAAGAGGAGTAATCCTAGAAGGAGTAATAGATATAATAGTAGAGACCCTCGCTCGTACGGTTATCTAAAGCGTAGTCCGGAGATACGGTTTCCCTTATACGATAACCTCTAACTAAGGAACCTAGTTCGTAAGCGAACTATAGTCGAGTATCTACAGATTAGTAAATATTACGAAAAGACTATCGATAGCGTACTACCCCTAAACGGACGGTGCTATAGAAAGACTAAGCAGTTCGATAAAAACGTACCTCCGTACGTACGTCTACTTCGACTAGACTAATTAGAAAACCCTTCTACCGATAGCAGAATTGTCGATAAATAGCCGTACGAACGCGATAATAGGAGTAAGCCCTTTCTTCTTAATATATAGCTTCGAAAACTCGCCCTTCGACCTAGATATTAAAGAATAAATAGGAGAGGACGAGATAAGAGCCTAAACTCTAGTAGAGAAAGGAGAGTAAATCGTACGAACACTCTAAGATACGATAGACTAGGTAAAAGCTTTAATAGCCTTCGCGTAATAAGAAGCCGAACGGCAGGCTAATAAGAGAAGGAGCCCCGTACTAGAATTCTAAGTAGGTAATAAAGTCTAGCTCTATTTAAAGAATATTCGTACGATTAGACCTTACTATAAACTAGACTAGAAGAACGCTAAGTACACTATAAAAGAAGTTATCGGTATATACGCCGTACGACTCGACACCCTTAAAGGCATCTACGATATGTTCTATATTAACCTTATTTACTTAGCAGCTAGAGACCTACTACCGTCCTAACGTTCGGACGATATATAACTACCTACGATCTAAGTAGACGGAGAAGAAGAGTACCTAGTTAAAGAAATTATTAACGAGAGTCGTACGAAGAGAGGCCGGGGATAGCAGGTTAAATACCTTATATAATAGATAGGGTATGCCCGAGAAACTTAGGAATCTGTAGTATAGTTAATAGAGACTGCTACCTTAGACCGCTAGCTCGTAAAGACCTAGCCCTTCCGGAACACCGATAGCTCTCTCGACGCTAGAGCTATAGCGTTAATAAATTAGACATCGTACGAAGAACTACGCGATAGGCGGCATAAGGAAGACGAGAAGAGAAGAATAAGTAAGAAGAGGATTCGATTAAAAAGTAACTAAACAGGTAGTGCTAAGAAGGCCCGCCTAGGTCTTTATACGACTAACTAGATAAATAGGCGCGAGCTACGCTCTAGCGTAGAAGAAGAATAGCGCTTAGGGCTAAACTAAGAGAAGACGATCGTACGACGAACTTAAAGGGTAAGAAGGTATATACCGGGAGGAACCTAGCAAGGGGTAGCGGTAGGAACGAAGGCCTCGTTATTATTAACGTAAGGGCACTACTAACGGTGCGACTTCTACTTATACGAAGTATAGGCGCTAGCGCAGAAACTAGCGACACGTACGATAAGGCTACCGAAGGTACCGATAGTAGAGTAAGCGTAAGCGGTAGGGTAGCGAGTACTATAGGAAGCGATAAGTAGAGCGTTAACGTACAACTAACGAGCGCTACGGATCTAGGTACCTATTAGTAAGAAGTCGACCATTATACGAGGGAGGAAATAAACGAACCTAGGCGATAGTAATAGTAGGGGTGCTATTAGCGTAGAGGGATAGTAAGAAAGGGTAAGGAGGTAGCTACTAGATAGCGCGCTATAAATATTAGCTACCGAACGAGATCGTATAAACACGTTAAATAAACCTAGGCATTAGTATAGCAGATAGTGCTAAGAGAGGTGTCGCTAACGGTAGTTAGGATAAACTAACTGTACGACTTACCGCTATAAGGGATCTTAGGTCTAGGAAAGCGAGTAACGATAGAGAGAGGGCTAGTAGTAGCGGGAGCGCTACTAAGGTAGGGAATAAGCGATATAATAATGTCGTATAATTGTCCTATCGTATAATATTAGAAAGGGGAAAGAGTAAGAGAGGCGAAGTACCGTACGGAAAGGTAGATAGAAGCGGTATTATTATAAAAAGGAAGAAGAAGGGGTGCGACTATACGATGTAATAAGTACTTACTAAACTAGAGAATTAAGTAAAAGAACGGAAAATTAAGTAACGGAGAATCGAGCGAAGCGAAGTAGAAGACGGTAGAAGCAGCTAGTCGTATAGAGACGGAAATACGTAGAGTAAGGGAGTAGATTTACTTTAGATTACTTCGTACGGTAGGGAGGAGGGAAAATAACGAGCTTAATATAGCTTAAACGGACGTCGCGCGGCGGTATTCTTAGCGGTAAGGAGGGAGGTATTATTATAGGGTCTTGCTATAGTAGCGACCCTAACCTCGGCTGACGCCGGGAATTCCCCGACTTAGCGTATATAAGCGTCGTACGAAGAGGACGGACTTTCCGTCCCCTTCCTTTTCCTCCTTAGTAAAACCTCCTTATATTATAGGCTACTATTTAATCGTTAGATCGCGGTTTAATCCGTAATATTAACGGTACATTTAGAGGCTTCGGTAGGCCTATTCGTCGTTAGCGAGATTATTACTCTAGCTACTACTACGGCTATAGCTTTAAGTATTAAGCTATTATCACTCCGGATAGCCTTATTAGCTCGCTAGTTAGTCCCTTCTATAGCCGTAATAATAACTAGTTAATATAGTAGAACTTAGTAGTACCTTTAAGGCTTAATATCTTACTATAGCATCCGTAGCGGTATTACGTATATAGCGACCTCGTATATAGTAACTATCTAGGAGTTATAGCGCTATAGAGGCATTAATTCGGCTTCCGATATCTAACCTCTAAGTAAAGGGCCTTTAATAGACGCCTCTTAAAGGTTAGAATAGTAGTAGAGTATGCCTTTAGCCGAATATAGTCGTTATAGACGTATATAGCGTTCGATAAACCTCTTCGAGTTAGATACTAAGCGGTAGCAGCCTTTTACTAAGTATCTATACTATTAACGAACTTATATATATATACTAGTAGCTAGAGTCAGTTATCTTTACGCTTCTTATGCCCTCTGCTAATAGTAGAGGAATACCTTTATATATAGTATAGATAGTAATTAATAGTTTAGCTAGTTTTAAGAGTTTTAAGAGTACTAGTTCGAGTACTAAGACTAAGGGAATTACTAAGGTACTTACTAAGGCGCCGGCTGCTGCTAGCGCTTAATTAGCTAAGTAAGTAGAGCCTCTTACCTTTAAATAGCGCTCTTAAGCTCGCTAACCTTAGTTCGAAGCTTAGTTAGCTCTAAAATCGGAGCTACTTACGGCGTAGCGAGCGCTCGAGCAACACTAACTAGCTTAGTTATAGCCTCTTCCTACGTTAGTAGTCCGGAGCGGCTACTACTCGAGTAACTACCTCCTCGCTAGCGCCGCTAAACTAAACTTGCTACTCCTCGGCCTCTACGCGCTAAACTAACATTAGTTTAAGGCTCTAAATTAACGCTCTAAGTGTTAATTCTATTAATTCTATCGCCCTTAGCATCTACCTCGCTATCTAAGTCCTCCGAAGTACTGTCGTCGTTACTAGATACATTAATTGCGCGCTGCGTAGTAGCTCGAGCAGTTATACGCTCTCGATCTCGGTTAGTACGACGACTCTAGCGCCTCTAAGTCTTAGCGCTTTAAGTAGCGGCCTCGTTCTGCTTAATAGCGCGATTCTAGACCTCTCTAATCTAGCGATCTATGCTAACTATATAGTTAGTCTCGTTCTTAGTACTAGAGGTCTCTGTTCTTAACTGCTATACGCGCTGGCGCTCCTCTACTATATCCTTAATCCTTCTCTTTATCGACGTATAGTCGTAGCTAGTCTTCCGCTTCTAGTTACTACGTACGCGGCGATACTAATCGGCGCTTAATATACGGTTATACGCTAGCGTATAGATCTAGAGGACGTCGACGAGTTACTTTTTGCGTTACTTAGTCTAGTAGCGGCCACTTTAACTACTAGCGACTGTGCTATAAGCACCTCTTCTACCTCTGCTACGGCCGCGGCCGCGGCCTCTTTAAGAGCTTAGTAAGCTCTAAGGCCCTTATAAACTCTAAGGGCCCTATTGCTAGCTCTAAAACTGGCTCTATAAGCTCTGCTAGCTCTGCTGGCTCTAAGGAGTGCTAAGTTAGATCGGAGAAGTAAGGCTAAGGGCTCCTATCGACGGTAGCGACTAGCTGCTGTTCGGCTAGAGACTGCTCTACTAGCTCGGCGGCAAGTATTGACTGCTTTAGCTCTAGCTATTTATACTGACGACGTGTATATAGAGGCCTTAGAGCTTAGAACTCAGCTCGGTAGAAGCACGAACCTTAGCTAGTCTCTAAACTAGTCGAACTACGCTACCGAACTAGCTAAATTAAGCTCCTATACGGCCTTAACACTATGCTGTTGCCCTCGAACACCTCAACGTTCGCCACATGATCGACTAGCCACTTAGAGCTCGAGAAACGCTCCTGTTCAGCTGTTAAAAGGAGCTGCTAAAATGCTCTAATCCTCCTCGGGACCTGGAGAAGCACGAATCTCACACCCGGTTCGGGGAAGCCGTGTTTGCCAAGCGCGAAAGAGAGACCGCCACAACGAACAGAGGCTTGCCGTTGCCAAAACTTGTTCAGTGCTGATGGCTATACATCCTGGCCTCATTGGTGTCCTGAGCTGACATTTGGTGCATGAGTAGAGAACATAAGCCCTCAAGGGCAGAGGTACCCGTCGCAAATTTGCCAATGTCCTGAGGATCGTCAGAAACTGATTGGTGGCTCTCAACTGCACTTGTGCCCCATGATGGAGGTGCGAAAACAGAACTCGTATGAGTACCGTCGGCGCAGCCCGCGATGGCGACAAGCAGAGTTCACCACCATTTGCAGTTCGCGGCGACGGCAGGGGCGCGCTTTGTACGGCTCACGCGCCATCCACGAACGGAGGCGCTCGGTGAACAAACCTTGAAATCTCCACTGCTACGCTGTGATGTTGCCTGGCGTGTCTCTATGACAGATTTGACAGTCGTATCACAAGAGTAAATGCGCTGTCATGCTCGAAAACATGAAGTCCCATGTGTCCTGTTGCATTGTATGATGAGATTATTGGGTTGAGAAAAAGACATGCGAAGCAACGGTGGCAAGCTCTCTCCAGTCTTGTGATTCTTGTGCTTGGAGCACTGACCCCCTCAGTCTCGCAAGCCAAATATCAAACGGCGGGCACTCCCACGGGGAGGCTAACTTCACGGCATGAGCCTCCACGACTCCACAACCACCTGCGAACTCCACGGGTTTATGCTTTTACATGTGAGTGTAAACCCAGCTGCAAAGATTTCCTTCCCTCTTGATTGGTAAAGCTTATGACTCTTTTCTCAGCAGGCTCGCGGTCCCCTTTGATGATTGAACATGTATTTCCCTCGGCCAAGTCATTCTGTCTTCGAGCTCGAGTGACATGCAGGATAATCATTACCAAGCCTCGGTCTCTGGTAAATGTTCTAATTTTGAGGGTTTATGAGTTGACTTGCCACTGCTTACACTGCGGTCTCGTCCGCTCTCAAGCCTATATGATGCTGAGATGTGAATTTCAACAATGAAACCCTTATCTCTTGAGTCAACAACGCACGAGTCGTCGAAGAGGCAAGCGTCACGAATGCCTACATCTGTACAATAGCCCTCATGAATCAACATCATCTGGGCCTTGGAGCCACAGTTATCCCTAATCATGCCTGCATTTCGAGCCCTAGACGTACGATGCTTGCAGCATCTCTTTACAATCTCTAGGGTTCACATTCGCACACCCCGCCATGTTGCACCCGGCCATGTCTCGCAATCGTTTCTGTATCATCGTTGTCTGCTCTTCCCACGTGCTCAGGACTGTCACGCCCTCTTCCTCAAATAATTGAATTAGGGTTACGACGAGCTGTAGAAAGGGACAGTCATAGCTCATGTCAAAAGATTCAACTCAGAGAGTCTTCGACAAGATGTGTGTCGGTGTCGTCGCTCCGGATTCGAGGATCTCCTTGCCTTGAGCCGATACAACTTCGACAGCGCTGCTTCGCACACGGAGGGAGCTGCTCTCGGGTTTCCGCGCTTATTAAGCCGAGCGTTGGGTGCCGGACTGCGTCATGAATTTCTGCCCCCCAGACAACCGCGAACTTCAACTGGCCGCCGCGAAAGACTTGCCAAATATCCCTTAAATAGTGTTCTTCCCGATAATATGCGCTGCTCCACTGAGCAAAGAAACAATCCCTAAACCCTAAAAATTCCAAACAGCTTGGTCTTCACGCTAATAGTAGCAAAGATCATGACCCGTTTTCTCGAAGACAGCGGCATCGCCGAAGATGACGACTATCCTTTCGGCTTCATTGACAGCATCAACCAATACTACAAGCCCTCAGAACTGCCAATCGAGACTGACAGCAACCCAAACTCGCCATTCATCAACAAGTCGCCTCGAGGATGTAGTGAATTGCTTCTGGAGCTTTGTAACGATACAAAGTCAGAAATCATCCCGTACTTTATTAACATCATGGATGGAAGAACAATGAGGAATGATACTGTACTACTGGTAGAGCACATTGAGGATGATTTTGACACCGTCCGAGCTACATTTGGTCCATCAGCCGAGACCATCATACTCTATCAGACAGGGCACAGTGGTATTGAAGAGGATCAGGACAAGGCTGCAGAAGACAAAGACAATGTCTTTCGCGGACAGAACTAAGGGTTCCTCAGTCAAAAAACTCCCGCTCTACGTACAACGGCATACTGTCCTCCCACATGCTGTCAGTCAACATCTGCTTGTTGCTTCCATCCTTATCCATGACTACAATCTGCCCGTACGGCTGGAAGGTGTTGTCGTACAGCACACTCTCGTCTCTGAAGCCGTAAATGCCGGTACTGTACATGATCTTTCCATCATAGCCCCAGACAGCATCCGCATCATTGGCTTCACTCTCTGTCAACACCTACAAGTCGGTACCATCAGGACGAATTGTGCAAATGTCAAAGCGGTCCTCCTGCCAGCTTGGGCCCCAGGTCCAATTTGTTCGGCGCGTAAAGACAATAAGCTCACCATCTGGGGACCAGCCAGGCGTATTGTCCCAGCCAGAAGTCAGCTGCGGCGTACTTCCAGTCTCCATGTCCAGCATGTGCAGTCCTAGAGGTCCGTACGTCGAGTTCCAGAGTCGGTTAACACGCTTGGTGCCGTCAGGTGAGAAAGAAGGGAAGCCAGCATTGAGAGTGCCATCAGTGAGGTTCTCGTTTTTCGTGCCTGAAGCATCGAAAGAGTAGAGCGTCGCAGGGTACAACACACGGTTGAAGAACCATACACCAAGGCCTGTAGCAAGCTTGGACCCGTCTGCTGACGAGATTGGCTGGAAGGTGCCAGCTAGACCACTTGCGTGGAGCGCTGCATACTCTGCTGATGCATTGACATCACAGGTTTCAAAAGCGGTAGTGACGGCTGTAGTCGGCATCGAGAGCACGACGGAAGATGAGCCGTTGCCGAGCTGCTTCTCTGTAGTTGCAAGACGTCCAGTCTGTTTGTTGAAAGAGGGAAACACGTCCATGAAGCGGTACTCCCAGTCGTCGTCCCAGCTGAACAACTGTTTCTCTGCAGCTCGCGGGCCCCACTCGTAGATTTTACAAACGACGTTGCTTCCGTCCGAGGACCATGATAGGTCACGCATTGTACTATTGATATATTGGGGCGTTGCATCGGGAGCGGTGTAGTGGAATCCTGCTTTCTCTCTAGCGTTGACAAGATACCCAATACTGCTGCCATTCTGCAAATACGCGGGGCAGAGTTTCAGGGTGTCGTCAAAAGTATGCTGTCTGACATCGGTGCCGGTTGCAACATCAACGCTGAAAATCTGGGAAGACACTACATCCTCCTGACCGTTGAAAGTACCATGCGCGCCGTAGGTATCCTCAGTGGAGATATTGTAGTAGACGATGCGGGCTCCATCGGGGGACCACTTCGGAGTGCCAAGACAACGGCCTTCCTCTCTGATCACCTTGCGGAAGCCAGTTCCGTCTTGGTGCGCAGCATAGACTGCAAGGGATTGAGTGTGCTCCCATCCGGTACCATTGCCGTGGCCAGGTCACTGGGTACTAGCATCAGAGCTGAAAGTGAGCCACTCTCCATCAGGCGACCAGGCAGGGGGAAACAAGCCGTGAGGGCCTACAAAACTGCCTACCCTCTCGTCGCTCCCGGTGACGTTGACTGCTACACCATTGCTGAGATCCTTCACAAAGACATTCGTTGTGTAATTGGTCGCGGTGGAATTGTATGCAAGCTTCGAGCCATCAGGCGATAGACTGCCGCCATCCTCTAACGAGTCACTTGAAACAAGCTTCGTAACGTGGGATACGTCGGCATTGACCTGGTAAAGATCCGATTGACCGTCGGCGCGGCGTTCGCTGGTAAACACAATCTTCTTGCCATCTGCAGACCAAGAAGCGTGGTAGTCAAAGGGTGTTGATTGATTGCCCGTCAGCTTTGTGGCGTTGCTTCCGTCGGCATTGGCGACCCATAGTTGCGAGCCGGAAGGAGCGATGCGACTGAGGTAGAAGACGCCCTTCTTCTCGGCAGACAACGAAGTGCTGTTTCTAACGATGGGATGGGTATTTTTATTGTCGCTGAGTGTGGACGCATAAGGACAGGCGCCATCAGGCAGCAGATTCTTCAGCAGCATATCTTGTTGTGGCTCTTGAATGTTGAGGTACAAAGGTGCCTTGTTCTGTCTGCTTCTCAGCCTGGAAGGCCTTGGCGAATTGCGATAGCAGCTTTTCGAGCGACCTCTTTCACATTGTTTCCCAACCAGGCCTCACTCGCTCTCTTGCCAAACTGATCAGCCCATAGCTCCCACCTCTTTGCCGCAAAGCCTGGTTGAACAGTCCAAAGCTCTGTCTTCATGGCCAGACCTTTACTCCAAGCATCTCCGAAGAAGTCGTTGTCCAGAACAATTAGTTTTTCGCATGCGTGTATAATTCAATGTGCTGCAGCTTCTGTATCAGAGCTCAGCGGCTCTTCTGCCGTGACGTCCGAATTGTCGAGAAGCGTGCTCGAGTGTGACGCCAATGTCGTTTCCAGGGCATTGCGAATATCGAAAAAGGCTTGTACCCCAAGCTCTCGCGCAAACATGCTGTCGCCTTTATCTACCAGCTTTGCGGAGAAGATTGTAAAGTTGATCCACCTCTGCGCGCATGTCATGTTGTCCGACCCCAGATCAGACTTGCCGCTGTTCAGCGTTCTCCAGGTGTCGAAGTACGAATGCTCAGGAAGACTTGACAAGATGCAGTAGGAAGCATTAGCTTATCGTGAGAAGGAGTTAGGTGGGCTGTCGTGATTAATGGCGCGGCGTCGCATTCGTCGTGACTTGGAGGGTCAATTGCGAATTGACGAGGGAGATATCGAGGAGGAATCTCTAGATGATCCGACGCTCTGCGTTTGTGCGACTTGTCTGACCGGACCTAACCTTAGGCCTCCTACAGGTCGAAGGCAACATCGCTGCCACCGGGATACATGCCTTGTGTATCGACGACGGGAGTAGTGTAGGAGATGAAACGGCCATTCTTGTCTGTCACGGTGCTGTACAGGCTCGACAATTCTTGCTAGGTGTACGAGTTGAACTTAAGGAAAATGTCAAGACTTGGAGACTCTGAGAGGGTCTAAGATGGACAAGGCAGTGCTACCGGCTCGACCGACGTAGACTTGACAGGGCATGATGACTGTAGACTTGCGGGCTGGGTTAAGGGAAAGGCCAAAATGTAGGAAGCCGTTGCAGTGGGCAGAGCGCGTGTCGTGTGGCCGTTCGAACAGACTTTCGGGAACCTGATCGAGGGCAAGTGGCTGGAAATCGGCAACCGAATCTCCTAAGGCGAGCGACTCAACTGGGACCAGCAGAAACATGCGTCGGGCTTTGTTACCTCTCTCTCCAAGCCGGACTGACAGTGTCAAGAGTACCAAGAGATCTTAGCTGGTCTTGGACACGCCTAGCTAAAGATTCAGTGGGCAGTCGTGAGCGTTGACCGGTGAAGGATCCCCCAGATGTTGTCGATGCTTGTGGTTATAGTCGTCGTAGTCGTCGTCCCCGTCCGTCTTCGCGTCAAGTTAGGACTCGCGCCAGCTCACACCGACCTGGTTTTCGGCAATGATCCAGGTAAAGCGATCGCAAAGTATCATGGGCAGCTCATCTGTCGTGCCATCAAGCCTGAGCTTAGTCGTGGTAGACTTCATGGTGGTGGCGACGGTGGTGAGCGGAGAGGTCGTAGAGAGAGAACCTTGATTGGCGCAGCATGTCAGCTCGAGGAAGAGTCGGAAGGAAAGGAGTCTGGGTAAGGGGAGAAGATTGACATGACAAGCATTACCGTTGCCCTACACTGCGATTGTAATAGCGAGTGCAGTACCCTCCCACCCAGGCTTCGCGGTTGATCCTGCCGAGCGGCATTGACTCAAGTCGCGTGTCTGAGACTGTCGCGTTTTGGTCGAGCCGAAGAGAAAGACAGATTGCAGAGCGACCAAGGCGGGGCTCTGCCGTGTAATCGGACTAGCTAGGCCAACACCCACCGACAAAGTGGGACTACACAACTCGGGACTAGCTAGGTCATCTGCCCGCAAAGCTCAGTCAAGCGGATGCAAGAAAGAGTTGCACAGGTAGAAACGGAGCTCTGCCGCGCAATCAGGACTAGCTAGGCCTACGTCGATGCGAATCAACTTTGCCGTGCTGAGGAGGTGATGTATGGATTCGAATGCAAGGTGTGTGGAGGCTCAGGGCATGCCGCCTGAACGAGAGGGCGATGCGACTTGTCAGGTCGAAGATCGTGCGAGGGAAGAACGAGTTGTGAAGTCAGGGAGTAAGAATCGAGCGCCAAGTGTGTCGCAGCCAATGAGGGTTATGAACAATGTGAGTAACGCTTGAAGATGACCAATCAGTGTAAGAGTCACACCAATTTGAGGGTGAGCCGAGAGAATGATTCTGCTTAGAGGCTCGCTCATCAAGGACTGTGATGTAGAACACTATTTGTGTCCCTCCTTCGTCCTGCCTAGGGTTTTTAGGGTTAGGGTTTTTTAGGGGCGTGTAGTCTTTTAGTATGTACGTGTTAAGAAGGGCTTAGGGCGAAAGGAGATTTTCGCAGTTGGGGTTATCGTGGCCAAGGCACTAATAACTTAGTTCTGCGCTACGCTTCAGACACGAAACCACCCCTGTGAGTGTCTGAAGCTTTAGCGAAGAACTAATTTACTGTATTAGTGTCCTGGCCACGGTCGTCTTTATTGCGAAATGCTAGCGTTAATTCTTTCCACTTCTCTCATCAATTCAACCTTCGCCAACACACACACACACACACACACACACACACACGCACACACAAAGGCCAGAGGACTAAACCATGGCCCCGCCGTTCGCCGACCCACCCCGCTTCGATAACAGCGGCTGTGGTCCACTCGCTGTGCCTGGGTTTGGGTTCCCCTTAGAGCACGAACTACATCCTGAGGATCGATTCACTCATGGCGTACGCGAGTGGTTCCAGGAGCCAAACATCACAGCCCGGGAGCTTGCCATGCTTTGCTTGATGGACAACATCACCGACAAACCTACATGGTCGACAGATGTCTTCGACGACACGATTGTCTTGCAGTTAGGCCAAGAAGCAATGCGTAGCCATCTAATCAGTCCAAAAGCGTGGGACTGGTGTCTCTTAGAGTTGCAAGACAAGGCTCGTTTCTACCAAAGTACTGGTCGTATCTTGGTCTACAACACTGGAGTTGTCATTTGCAAGTCAAATCTTAAGGTGGATGAGGAGACATGGACCGTCATTAAAGATGAGCTTTCAATCTTGGAGCCATCATCCCACTCCGATACAACCATCCTCGATTCCTTGTCTGGTACTCCCCAACAAACACACAGGCTCGTTGATCCTTTCCTGTATCCCCTCGTATACGGCAAGTCAAGAGTCTTGGCTAAAGGGGGACTGGTTCCCCTTAACGACATGTTCCAGCAACTAAGCAAGTGTAATATAGCTCCAAATATACCTGTCGAAGGCTATCATCTCCTTCATCGTACGACTCTTGCAGCCGCTTCTAGGTGGAAGATGCACCGTCAAAGAGGACCGTCATGGTCGACAAATTTCCAGCGGTTGCCTTGCGAAGTAGACTTCTTAGAGGAACCCAGCAAAGGCGTTCGCATCACCTCATACATCAACGGTCTGCATCCTCGGAACCATGGTCTATATCATGCTATCGAGAGACTTATTTCGACATCTATCGAGCCTTGGAATGACGTCTTGATCAAACAAGGTTGTGGGCACTTTCCGACACGCATCAAGACGTACGGCGTCTCATATGGGCCGCCTAGCCCTGACTTCGACCGCTTTACTGAAGCAGGAAAGCATCCTGGGAGTGAATCTTACTATGCTGCGATTGAAGACGCCAAGGCATACTGTGCTCAGCCTGACGACTTCCCATACGATTCCTCGGACGACGAAGTGGATTATCCTTGGCTGGAATACGGCATGCCTGACGATTGGGATGCCTGGTGTAGATCTGGGAAGGACTTAGCCCGCCCAGTGCGTGGCAAGTACTTTCGCCTTTATCACTTTGTGCATCCTGAGCCCGGTACCGCGTACACCTATCAGCAGTGGAAAGCCGGACAAGCATGGGAAGCCATCGTAAAAAGAAAGCCTACGGACCACCAACCGGTTGTAGAGGAGAAAACAGCGCAGATTCCCCATAAAGCATATAGGGTTGCTCTCCACGAGGCTTTCCAGCAGAAGGGGTTGCAAGTCATAGTCAAGATAGACAGGATCGAACTGAACCCTAGCGAACCTAGGTTTCCAGGTAGCGACTGGCACATCGAAGGCTTACACAATGAGCATATTGTCGCCAACTCTGTGTACATTCTTGAGGAGGAGAACACATCGGAGCCTCGCATCGATTTCCGCCAAGAAACAAGGCTGGACCCAGATACATTCGACCACGAACATGATCTTAAAGCTTTCCTGCAAGTCTTTGACGTACCTTACAAACAACAGATACTTGGAGGATCTCTTGAAACGCCTCCTTCGTTGCAAAGGCTAGGATCTGTTAATCTTCCCGTAGGTCGACTTCTCGCTTGGCCGAATGTACTTCATCATCGTATCACGCCATTCGAGCTTGTCGACAAGACCAGACCCGGTCGTCGAACTTTCCTCACCTTATCTCTTGTGGATCCTAACTATCGTATCTGCTCGACCAGAAACGTACCTCCACAAAATCATGTTTGGTGGGCAGAGCAAGCTCTGGCGGCAGCCCTACCTAGAAACGTGGCCGTACCGCGTGAAATTCTTGACCACATCGACTCGTACACCGACAACTGGCCGATGGGCTTGGAAGAAGCAACAAAGGTTAGGGGACAGGTGGTAAAAGAACAAAAGGATCACGAACGGAACTTAATGAACTGTCCTTTGGGTTTCTATGAATTTAACGTAGACGAGTACAATCTTGGAGATTTTCCTAGTTTACCTTGGATGGAACTCGGAACTTCATAGTTGAACAGTCTTTTCTCCCAAATTTAATTGCGTACTCCAAGTCTCAATTCTGCAAGTCTGGCATTGGTGAAAGAAAGGATGATTTGTGCAAAGCGGTGAGATCCTCGAGCTGATCATTCTGACCGACCACTAACCACGCAGTATCTTACGTAGGGTACTCGTATCACAAGCTTGGATTTCCAGACACAATGATGTTAATTTGCGTCTTCAGCTCCGAGCCATGGAGTTCTTCTCTACCGATTAGAATCTTCTCTTCTTCTGCCATAGCCACTCATGGGGCCACTAAGGCTACGGCACTGATTCTACTGTAACATTGAAGCCTCACCTCTTACAGGTGAAGATGTCTTGAGCACCATACAAATGTTACTAATACAACACGCTGTATCCCGATGCGGTACCATAGAACCAGCTTGGCCCTTGACTTTCGATCAAGCTACTGCGTGCTGAGAACACATGGATCTGCGTCAGGCCCACGTCGTCCATGTCGTATTCGGCAACCCAAGCCCACATTTTTTCTAAATATACTGATGAGGCTGAGGTGAGGTGAAGCAGTGGAGGAGACATACAACTGGAGGTCTAGGAAGCTGTCGGACAGTCGCCCTTCTGCAGCTCAGATCCCACAGCGCCTCCGACTCGGAAATGAATGTCCCACATGGCAGCAGCTCCAGGAGAGGAGCTGTGCATGTTCCATTCGACTAAGACCGCACCAGCAGTAGCTCCTCGAACGGTAAACAAGAGGTCCTGAATTTCGACTGTTCCGGTCTCTCCGCCGTCAGAGTCTACTCGAACCACGACATGTGAATTCTTCATATCCTTGAACTTGTCGCCGCTCGCCAGAATTTGAGAACAGCATTCGCCGACCGCTTTTGCAACAGATAAAATCTGCACAGTGTCTGTGACGATATACGTACCGTCAGTCATGTAGAAGACGATGAGACCTTCCGATGCTGCTACCGCAGAAATCATGTTGAGAGCACTGGTATCATCCGTCTTCCCGTCACCAGAAGCATATCTCTTTGCATCAATGGAATCGTCAGCGCTAAGTTCTTCGTGTTGAGGTCTCAACCGTTCGAAACAGCCTTTCTATGGGCCTCCGTGTGGGCCTCCATGTGGGCCTCCATGTGGCCCCCCTCCGAGGGTATTTGAGCCGGAATAGACTGTATCCGAGGAGTTGTTTGACTTACCTTTCCAAGCCACAAGCACGGCCCAGGTACAGACCCTGGATATGTGTCTCCGCAAAGTATTGCGCGAACATTCTGCCAAGATTACGAAGAGGCACGCATAGCGACAGTACAGTGGAGTGTATAATCATCGACAAGTCGCGACGCAGGGTGAAGAGGATCCTGGGTCGCAATTTCTGCAAATTGCATACGTTGAGCTTTGCTGTGCTATATAAAACATCAGGCACTCTGGTAGTGGAGATTATGGCTGCTAGCGCCGACGAGACCAGTGGTATTTGGAGTTCAAAAGTCAAGGCGAGTCCTAGAGGAAAGACGAATATCGCGTCCTGTTTACTCATCGTTTCAGAACAGCAGTCGTTAGTATGAGACCCTCCACTCTCTTTGTTTTGCTCTCAATTCTGAACAGCCTCGTCGGCGCCAGCAAAGGCGCCAAAGGATATCAGACTGTGGGGATCTACTATGCTTATAGTCTCGAATGGCTTGCTAAGAACAAAGACCCAACTTATGTTCATACTTTAGCTGCCCCATGCTATAAAGGAAAGGACTGCAGTACATTCGCAAAATTCTTGCAAGCGGTTGTAACCGGTATACAACTTGAAAGAGCTAAACAGGATGGCATTCTCAACTCTGGCGGACCTTTCGACAACAACAATCCTGGCGACGAAGCGGCAAAAGCTTTTAACCAAAATTCTGCTCTGACCGGACAGTTCGACAATGAGAAGATGTATGGAGATAAATCTACAACTGTGCCCTTCTCCTCGATGGCTGAGAAAGTCGCTGACGCCACGGATCGAGCAAGAATCTCGCTCGGCAGCGAAGGACAAGACATAGTTGACAAAATCGCCTATTACTTCGAGGAGGTCGTCAAGGTTCGAAAGATCGAATTGTCCCCCGACAAGGTCACGGATATCAAAAAGAGCAATCCCAATATCGATTTCAGAACAAAGGTGGTAGACGACCTCATCGAAATAGACTGGGAAGCCACATATCAGGCCAATCCCGATCTTAAAGAGGGCCAGAGGACTGCAAGAGATTTGGTTAAGAAATACCAAAAATTTGAGCCCGAGACTAAGCCCGCACATCTGGCCGTTATTGATATAGCTACCTCTCTCGTCAATCGACTGCGGTCGCCACCTTGTGCGTAGCTGCATGAGGAGCAGCGTATCTCATATGAGACCTTTCAGTATTGTTTACTAAGCCTGCTGCGTCCTCGAGGCATGTGTTAGATTGTTCTTCCTTCGATCTGCTTTTTCTACTCCTGTATTCTATCTGCAAAGACATCTTTCTGTTAAGCTCCCCGATGTATGTATTTCTGCTCACCAAGTATTAGAGATATAGGTGTAGAGCTATTCGTGATTTAGCGCGAATAGGTAGAGCCGCGGACAGATAGAAGTTAATAACGTTGTTAGGTGAATTGCTGGTACAGGACATGAACTTGACGGCATAGATAGCGGTATCTTTGCCATCATGGTCGGAATAGTGAGATCATGTAGCGAATGATAATCAGTATAAAGAAATTGATGCCCTTGTGGGATTTTGAACCTCTAGTAAGAAATATTCCAAAAGACGGCGTGAGGTTTGACAAAACGCGGCAAGCCAGTCAAGACTGCAAAGCATCAATCAAGCATCGTAAGAAGCGCCGATATTATCTTCTCGGCAAGAACAATCACCTCGGGGTCATCGCGACGGTGATCGCAAAATTTCTTTGACAACAGACGTAAGAGATGAGTCTGTCAATTGCACTGTCGGTGTATTTTGGCAGGGTTGGACGTTCCGCCTCGGCTGTCGGTCCGAGCAATCTCAATCACTGCGATTATGCGAGCCACATTCGTTTGGACAGAGTTCGAGTTAGCCGTACCGAGCGGAAGTAATATCGAACTGTGCTCATAGCACAGCCATGAAGTACTCGGCAGGGGTCCCTCTCTAGGCAGAAGGCGGCACAGTTTGTTAGTGTTAATGTATAGATTCGAAATGGATTGTCGGTCTGTGCTTCCAGAGCTTTCGTAATATCCACCTTGTCATGGGGTTCACCAAGAGCATGGGTATGACGGTTGCTCTTGCGCCATCCTTCAGGGTCTCGACAATTCTTGGACCTTACGTCTGTCTCACTCTGTGAACAGCCTATATGGTGCTTTAACCATGGTTAGCAGATACTCCGCGTGCTTTTTACACTCTTCAAAACATGAACAAATTCTCTACAGAGCTGATGCATAGCGCACACATCTATGCGTCTGCGTGTCAACAGTTGCAGCCAATAGATGATGTTAATAAGTCGAACGGGCATCGACGAAGGAAAACGAATGACTCAAGTGGGTGGAGATGAGACTCCACCCCAGAAACTCATGAAAAAGTCACGCGCCAAGGAGTTCAAATGTCTGATTGCAAGCGGCGCGCTTATTACTCGCAAATCTAGCCGACCTAAAGCTTTCCTTGTACAATCTTAAATCAAGCCACATGAAATCCTGCAGTGCTTATTTCATTGAAGCCAGTGAACGTGCTTTTGCCATAGACCGTCAGACTCCCTTGTTCATTTCGTCAAAATCTGGTCAAAATCTGAATCTAGCCCTGGGCGCTGGTGGGCAGTATGCTGAGAAACCGCTTATCTTGAAAAAATATGACTTAGATGATAGGTCGAGACTAACAATCTACTAGCGAGGTGATCATAGTAAAGGGCAGAATAAGAGTCATTAGGCAAGCATGCAATCAAGGGCAGCATCTCGTACTGCAACCTCATTCTACTTACTTACGTGGCGTGGTGAGACTCACCTGGCAAATTCACATACGGCACAGTAAATTGAAAATATCGATACGGCCGGGACACGCTTCTCACCAAGTTGAAACGATCCACAATGCTTCACGGCCCTTGGCCTTGTGAGTATAATTGAGCGCTGCAGCTGCTGTTACGTCTCCCATCAATTCATCCAGAGCAAGTCCAATCAGTCGAATTCTTTGGGGTGCCTGAGTGTCTCTCACCAGCAAAGATACAGCCGTGGTTATTCGTACGGTATGATGGCTGTCATCTCGGCGTTCAAGCTTCTCACATGGATCCTCTTTGCCACGATCTCGGAGGCAAGAGCCACTGCCCACGGTGCCCACCGGCACAATCACCCGCGAGCAGCGACCGCCAATTCAAGAGCGTGTCCAAATCCTGTTACTCTCCCTGACAATGCTTTCAAGACCCGGCAACTATACGCCACTCCATACTACGCTGCCAAAGTCGCAGCATCAGTCAGAAATATTGCGGATCCAGACCTCGCCAGAAGGGCTGCCATGATTGGAGATGTTGGAACGTTTATGTGGATGTTCGTATTAATCATCTGAGTCTTAGAGATGATATACTGATTATTTGACTTTACAGTGACCAGAAGGCAGTTATCCCGACTATAGATGCTATGATCAAAGACGTTCCATGCACGCATATCATCGGTCTCGTTATCTACGATCTTCCAGGTCGCGACTGTGGTGGAGATGCTTCTGGTGGGGAGTATGAAACTGGGGAACTTGCCCGTTACAAGGCTGAGTACATCGACCGTGTGTTGTGAAGGCCTTTAGCTTGACAAAATTTCAGCTAATACCCTTGCTTTCTAGCTCTCCGAGAGATCTTTCTCGCTAATCCAAACACTGCTATTGCTCTAGCGATAGAGCCCGATTCCCTCCCTAATGCGATCACGTCTTTGATTCACCCGAGATGTGCCGCTTCAGTACAGGAATACAAAGATGGCATCGCCTATGCGCTCAAACAATTCGATCTTCCGAACGTTGTTCAGTACATTGATGCTGGCAATGGAAACTGGTTAGGGTGGGACCCGAATGTTGGTAAGCATTGATTTTCTCTTTGTGTTCGTATGTGCGAGATCGTCTAGGACTTCGACTCCTAGGTTTTACTACTAACCTTTCAGCTTGGAACTTATCGCTGACAGTCAACAGCACCTGCTGCTAAGGTTATCGCCGATGTTTGGAAAGCGGCTGGAAAGCCGAAATCTTGCAAAGGTATTGTAACAAATGTTTCGAACTGGAATGCGTGGTCCATGGTTCCAGGAGAATTCGAAAATTTCAAGGATGCACAATACAACAAAGCGCAGGATGAGAAGCGATATATCCACCTTCTCGGCGCGCAGCTTGCAGTCAACGGTATGCCAAATCACGCCATCGTTGACACTAGCCGCAATGGGCGTGTAGGGCTGCGTACCTATGGTGGCAACTGGTGTAATGTGAAGGGCGCCGGGTTTGGAATTCGTCCTACCAGTGAGACAGACGATGATCTATGCGATGCTTTTGTCTGGGTCAAGGTTGGTGGAGAGAGTGATGGTGGTAGCGACCCTTTGCTCCCTGGATACGATCCGACATGCGCCAATGCTGACGGTAGGTGCAAACATGCAATGGTCTACATCATACTTGTATCAATGACTGATCTCTTGATTTACAGCCTTTATTCCCTCCCCGCGAGCCGGATCGTGGAATCAGGCCCAATTCGAGCAGCGTAAGTGACCTCGAGCGGATTCCTCCCTTCTCCAGCTTCGTCAAATCTCTCCAGGAGCAGGCATTCCAGCTTCTGTTGATATGCAAAAGTTGACGCTCATTTTTTCACAGTCGTTCAAAATATCATTCCGGATGAAACGACAGTCGATGGAAGGTGCCATGGCAACATCTTCTGCGGATCGTGGCCTGGGGGTTCCTGCTGTTATAACGGCCAATGTGGAACGATGTGTGATGCATCAGCTGGCTGTACATCGGGCTGCACTGCTCCACCAGATTCTGGTTCGGACGATCCTGACGACGACGATGATGATAACTATGAACCCGAGGACAATAACCCATGCGATTACGATCTGGCGTTCGACACTCTCGACGATCTCAATGCAGCTTCCGATGGGTTACGGGTAGAGTGCCTTGCAGCTTATGCCCTGGACACATTGATCACCATGCTTGATGCGGCATACGACAATTACACCTCGGTCAATGACGGCTACGATGAAGAGTTCGGATATTATGTTACATATATCAGAAAGCTGGTACCCAGTGTGCTGGATACAAGCTTTATGTTTGATGAGAATAAAACCGCTGGAGGCGACTTTCCTTACCCAGGTCGAGGAATGGGCTGTAAGTACCACACAATCTTAACAGTCGTTCACGTGTCTAATACTGACTGCATCCACTAACCAGACTTTGACTGTCGAAGAGACAAAAAAAAGAGCACGCCTGTCCCATGTACTGATGAAGGTTCGTATTCGAGCTATGAGAAAGCTTTTATGACTCTCAGAGACGAAGACGGCTATAATGCAGCCTTGGTCGATGCTGGATTTGCGCCGGACTGGATCGTACTGGGAGAACACACAATCGAGAAAACCGCTAAGCATGCTCTTATCGACCATAGTCCTCCGGTGGATCCCTCATACTATTATCGCTTCTCTGGCTTCCCAATCGAGAATCCCGACATTTCTGTGCCTAACCCAAAGGACCTGGTTACGAAAGGTCTTGGTAGCATACCGGACCTTCGACTTTCCATGCAAGCAACGTACATGGAGATCGCACTCGGATCTTATATCGGCGGTTCCCCCATGGATGCAGCAGAAGCTTTTAGTACGCCCGTCTTTATGTTGATGCAAGCAGTTGATAGTATGGCTCAAGCAAAGGTCAAAGGTGCCCAAGAGGAAAAGGATGAGAAGAGAGAAGAACAGCGACGCAAGGATTTCATCATACTTATCGTCAGCGTAGTTTTCATGGTATGTGACGCTTTCCCCATTAAAATTCAGAACTCCCGCTAACTCCACGTTCTAGTTCGTTCCCGTCGTGGGTGAGGAGGTTGCATTAGCGTTCGGGCTGGTTAGTCTTGCACGCGCGATTACTATTGCTAGCGAGCTTGGTAATACTGCACTTGCGCTTTACGATACTGTGCAAGACCCGAAATCCGCTGTTGTTAATATTCTGGGCATGTTGCTTGGTGTTGGCGCGATTGCTAAAGTTGAACGCACCGGTAATGGCATTGGCGATGTCGCTAAGCTAAGGCGTGGAATGACCGCGGAAAACGTCGCAGCGCTTGGGTCAGTCTTTAAGAACAGTGATGATAAGCTGCAGAACATTATCAAGGCTTGCAGGCGATGATTCTTGTCTAAGTGGGAGGTTGTCATACTTTCGCTTATAAGAAGACGGCCGGACATAGAAAAACAAATCTCAAGTTACGCTATATAAGACAACTATAAGAGAACTTTAGCTGTTACAGCTCTAGTGTAGCAATAAAGTAAGACGCGAAAGAGTTTCATTTTATAGTGATTGCGATTGCAACCTGAAGCCATCCACAAGACTTTCCGGCGCGTAAAAACCCGTAGCCTTGTTTACGCCAAACCATGCAATAGTGACAAAAGAAAACATGATAAACCTCTCAAGCGCCATCAAACAGAGCTGAAATGCGAGATAAACATCAAACTTCATTGTCATGGAAGTGGAAGGCGACGTCGCGAGGGCGGAGACGGTTGCTTCTCACAAACTCAGCGTCGCCGGGAGGACGCTCGTTCTTTGAGTTGCCAGTCAACATGCTTTGAATGCTCAAGCAGACACTCTCCACATTCTGCACTGGTGACCAGCCTTGAGAAGCGAGAAGGTCCAGACAGATGATGCCGTTCGTGTAGATGTGAGGATGCATGGGAATAGGACGTTCAGGGTGACGGATAAAGACAACTTCGGGAGGCTCTGCGCGTGTGGGTCAGCGGAGAAAAGAGGCATGCGACAGTACCATCAAGATACCTATCGGGTAGTTTGAGCTGAACTCGAATTTCAAGCGGTAGATTTCGCCTTGGTAGATAGGGTTGGCATCCATGACTTGAATGTCCATGAGCCATGTCTTGAGGTTGTCTGCAGCTACGAGAGTGATTCCGGGAGCCAGTTGTCCTTGGATCTTGAGAAGCTCCTGCACGAGGATTAGAAAACATCAAGTTTGGTAATAATGCAGAAGACAGACCTTTTGGAGTCTCTTGGTGCTCATCATCTTGCCGGACGAGTGTGAAGTGATGTTCGTTGATCACAGGTAATGTGGTTGCGGAGCAAAGCCCAGAAGGCGGGAGTGTTGCGGCGGCCTTTTGTGGCGGCGCTCGGTTCGTGTGTATTGAAGAAACAGCGAGAGACAGTTCGATAGAGCCGTTGTTAGAGCAAGATAGAACACAGAGATAAATGGTGACTTTTGTTGTGACGCAAAGGGTGTTGTCTTCTTCACAGACGCTTGTTGCGTGCAAGGCTGAAGATCGACAAATTCGCTGTTCAAATTTACAGGGTCCATGCATGTGAAAGCTGAATACATAGTTGTGGGCAGCAATATGATGGACGACAGCATTAGCACAGTCAAAGGAACGAACAGACAGCTTTAAAATGGCCTCCGGAATTATGTGAGATCAATGGTACATTGTTAATTAGGTCTCATAGGTAAACACGTATCTGATCAAGTTGGGACTCTCAAAGCAATCATTGCGAAACAACCCACTTGCTTTTGCGCAGATAGCAGCAACATCCGCCTCGCTCAGCGACCGGTCAAGGGGCTAGTCAGCTTGTCTCCTGCCTCTCCCGCTTCCTTGCCCAGAGGGTTCTGCAGAGCTCCTCCGGCGAGATTGCCGACTCCTGTCTTGATCTCGCTGACGTCCTTCTGATCGGATGCGGGAAGGTTGTTGATCTGGCCTGCGAGATGATGTGTCAATGACATGTCTGATCAGAATCGAGGAAAAGTAATGCATACCCTTGACCAGATAGGAGGCCTTGTTCTCTCCCATGGTATCGAGAGCCTTCTCTTCCATGGCGCGCTTCCACTGCACGGGTATACCGAAGAGATACACGGCGCCCACCATTGAGGCGACGATCGCGGCTAGGGCTGCGAGGTACATGCTGACGGCCATTTCTCACGGTTGTCTGAATCCTGGCAAGAATTCCCTGAACCTCTTCTTCGATGGTTTCCAGCTGGTTTTGGTAGTCTTGTGCGAGCCGACGACCGGTCCGTTCCTACTCGGCGTTGTTGAGCTCTGCACGTCGAAGCTCGAGATGTGCTCCAGAAGCCGAGCGATCACGACGGGTGTCCTTAGCTGGTAGTTGCGGGACAAAGGTTTCGACGTCAATGTCGACTTGCTCACTGACGACGGGCGCTTCCTCAAGTGTGATATGACGTTCCTCAGACAGAGATCGATGACGGCCACGAGGAGACTCTGGCTGATGATGGCGTCTTCTTATGCGATGAAATGTTGCGGTTACCCAGTTGGACCAGGCTCTGATGAATCTCGGAGGATAGAGGGATGGAGGTTTGGATGTATGCTGGCTTCCGTTGGCCATATGAATGAATGCAAATGGCGCAGGTTTTGTTTGCTACCCAGAAACAAGACGTCAGACACGGCCCACCAACCCTTGTACCTGTATGACGTGCATCGCAGCTTCCTTGGAACTTGCAGCATGCGAGACTCGAGACGCGTCGGCTTGTGCTTGTGCTTGTGCTTGTGCTTGTGAGCCCTGCCTCTGATCGCACCTACCTGCAGTTCACGTACTACTCGGAGTCAAGTTTGTTGGCGAAGACATTGAGTCGCCCAGAGCTGGACGTCAATGTCCCGCGCACAGCACGAGAGCAGGAACAGACGCTGTCTACTTTACCAAGATGCGATCCCCGCGCGGTGATCATCAGCGATACGTTGAGGCTCTCGATCTGTTTCTCGCAAACCCCGTTGGATGAACACTACAGCGTGTCGTGGATGGATTGACATGTCCCAAGCACGCAGAACCAAGCACATCGAAGACCCTGATGCTTCCGCGAAGTCAGAGCTGAGAGGCCGAAGCTTCCACATGTTCACATGTTCCTTCGAGGAACCCCTCCTTCCTCCGACAAACATCCAGAGCCCAACATGAGATGTGGTGCTCCAGGGGGTGAGTGTCGATACGAAAAAGTCATGCAGATACACGCAGAAATAGAAAATTCATCTATCTCAAGAGCCCGGCTATGTTTTGAAAATAGCTGAAAGCATTATTGAAACTCAGCACAGCCCGCCGTGACAATGAAGCTCACCATGATCAGCCCCCGAGCTTGCGTCCTTCTGCCCCACGCACTGCCACGCCGGGTTCCAGCCCGCCGTGCGAAGTGTAAACTAAGGCTGGACTTACGAATACGCGACATGTTAATTGCTGCATCCTTTTTTCCTCCTATCCATCTGTCGAGTCTTTGGTCTGCCCCGAGATAGTTCACAGCCAGCGACAAGCAAATCGTCAAGTCCCGCCGTCGCACAACTTCCACACCGAGACGCAGCGACATAGCAAGCGCCTGACGAAACGCCCACCATGAGTTGTAAGTACTACCGATAGCTCCTTCCCTGCGATGCATGTAAGCAGGCCACCAGCACAATACGATCCGCTGGCAGCCAGACGCACACCTGGTTCTCGATACCATCGCACACCTTCTCAACCTGTTGTCTTTTATCGCTTCCCTACAAGACCCTCTCCAAGCATTCTCTAATCAAGCATTCGGTATAGTCACCAGCATGCTCAACAAACTGCACGGCCAGCCCGACAGCTACGACAAGAAGTCCGTCCAGACCCTCTCCTCCACCCGCAAGGCACGCACTGACATCGCATCACCAGAGCCAAGTACAAGTTTGGCAAGACGCTCGGGGCTGGAACCTACGGCATCGTCAGAGAAGCAGAATCACCCCTAGGAAAATGCGCCGTCAAGATCATCCTGAAGAAGAACGTCAAAGGCAACGACCAGATGGTGTACGATGAGCTGCAGATGCTCCAGCGCCTCCAACACCCCCACATTGTCAAGTTCTTCGATTGGTTCGAGTCAAGAGTAAGATGCACAAGAGATGGGACACACGGCAGCACCGCAGCGTATGCTGACAAGGAGTGAACAGGACAAGTACTACATCGTGACACAACTTGCGACCGGCGGAGAGCTGTTCGACCGCATCTGCGAAAAGGGTCGCTTCACAGAAAAGGACGCTTCTGCCACCATAAGACAAGTTTTGGAAGCCGTCGACTACCTCCACCAGAATGATGTTGTCCACCGTGGTCAGTAGAAGTGCACCACCTGCTGAGTCCGCCTCGCTGACATCTTCCGCAGACCTCAAGCCCGAGAACCTCCTCTACCTTACCAAGGCCGACGACTCGACTCTCGTGCTCGCAGACTTCGGCATTGCCAAGCATCTGGACAGCCCCGACGGTGTTCTCAAGACCATGGCTGGATCCTTTGGCTACGCAGCACCCGAGGTTATGCTCAAGAAAGGACATAGCAAGCCCGTCGACATGTGGTCTCTCGGTGTCATCACCTACACTCTTCTCTGTGGTTACTCTCCATTCCGCAGCGAGAACCTGACCGACCTGATCGAAGAGACCAAGCATGGAAGAGTCGTCTTCCACGAACGCTACTGGAAGGACGTCAGTAAAGAGGCCAAGGACTTCATCATGGCTTTGTTGGTGCCCAAGCCAGAGAAGAGAGCCACGAGCGCCGTACGTCGAGAGAAATACGACGGTCTCTGCAACAAGCTGACACGCATCACAGGAAGCACTCAAGAACCCATGGATCGCCGGCAAGGGTGCCACCGACCACAACTTGTTGCCCGAGATCAAGGCCTACATGACCAAGGCGCGCCTGAAGCGTGGTATCGAATTGGTCAAGCTCGCCAACCGCATCGAAGCACTCAGGATGCAAGAAGACGAAGAGGAGGAAGCACCACAGTCTGCAGACGTCCCCGCTGGCGCAACACAAGCGGCAGGAGACGCACTGGCACAGCAAGAGGAAAAGCCCCTCGAAGCAGGACTCAAGGTGCCGGAAGACAAGGGAGTGACACACAAACGCAGTTTGAGCAAGATTGCCAAGGGAGCCATCTTCCGCGAGGTCGTCCTGGCAAAGGTCCGCGAGATGAAGGCAGATGAAGAAGCACAGAAGATTGCGTCGACTGCCAGTCTTGAGAAGGAAAAGGAGCACAAGTAAGCTCATAGGACTGCATGGACTTCAGCGAGGGACTTGGTTCGTTTTTGGCATGGCGTTTGGGATTATAGGAGAGGAGATTGCACAGGTTGCAACTGATGCGGCACCTTGGCTGCATACCGTCATGGGGATCCTAAATTTATATCACCAAGAGAATGGAACACATTGATCAGACTGCCGAGTCCGAGCAATGAGTGTGGACTCGGGCAATTCCCTAGCGGAAGGTAACAATACCTTCACCATCTACTGCTGTGTTCAGTCCGGGTGCTTATCTGCCGTGACTTCTTGTGCCGCCCGGGTACATGTCACGAACGAGAGCGATGTCGTGGAGCCGAGTTGAGTTCTCTCCAATACTCGTCAACCCCTCTTCAGTGTCCTTGATGGTATCACAAGGTGGAACAAAGGAAGCTGGCGACTGACACGATCAAGTAATGGAGAGTTCCATTGATCCGGATGATCTCTTGTAGCTCAATACACGAGTCCAAGTGCAAAGACAGTCAGATGAGGTCAGAAATAGATGTTCGTGGCCGATGAGGGAAGCTTCCTCGACAGCGCCAATAAGCACCCAACCCCGTCCCAAGACTCACAAGCTTCAAGGCTCGTGAATGCATGCAGTTACACTCTCGATGAGAAGACAGCATTGACAATAGTAGCATAACACGAAGTAAATTATTCTAGAGACCGCGACAGTAGATTCCTCGATGCATCACGTGTGAGGTGGTCCGTGCCGACGGCCAGTGAACTGGCAGCAAAGGGAAGGCGCGACGCGCAAGTGCATGATAGAGCAGTTGCGCAAGATACGACTCAGCAGAACGACGATTATTGCGACAGACCAGACAGCATCAGGCACGGCAAAACAGAGTTACGCGACAACAGAGACACCGAAATCATGGACCGCAACCGCAAGCGCAAAGCAGCCGACGGCGCGTCCCCAAAGGTCGAGAGCAGCACAAGCAAGCGACAAAAGACGACACTGGTGAGTGCGCATCCATCTGGTCCATCTGCTAGGAAGCTGCGGTATGGGAGGTGCAATGCAGCGCGTCGAGTCGTGGACTTGCGGCGAGGCTTCTGCACTTCCCCAAGCACCGTCATGCTGGCCAGCCGCTAAGTCACCACCGACGGAGCGCGACCTTCACCAACGCGAACGCTTGGACGCCGAACAAGACCATCGTCTCTGACTTGACCCTCCACCTCGCAGGAACACGAGACCCCGCAGACGACGACAAAGATTGGCCTCCATTTTATTGACCATCTCAAGTCGGCCAAGGACAAGACGTGAGTCGCAGCCGCAGCAGCAGCAGCTGGAGCGCATGCGCCAGAGCTCAAGAGTCTAACCGTGTCGCAGAGGCCGCTTGATCGCCGACCTGTTCATCGACCTGCCCAGCAAGGTATGACCCACCACCGACACAAACAGCCCCGTCACCAATGCTGACCCTTCCTGCCACAGCGAGAACTGCCCGACTACTACCGCACAATCAAGCTACCCATTGCCATCCAGACCGTCCAGGTATGCGATCTCCTCCTGGCCTGCAATCCTTCACACCCTCTGACACAAGCTCCCAGGACAAACTCGAGCGCCATGAATACCCCACCCTCAGTGTCGTCGAGAGCGACATCAAGCGCATGGTTTCCAACGCAAAGCAATACAACGACGACAAGTCGACCGTCTACCAGGACGCCGAGCGCATTCGCAAGGCTCTGTCCAACTTCATGACCAAGCACAATCCCGCATACAAAGACCCCAACTACGTCGCTCTTCCCACTCCCATTCCCGGTCACGACGACGATGCCTCTGCCTCTTCGGCGCCTCCGACGCGCGATCCCAGCGAGCAGCCCAAGAAGATCACCCTCTCCCTCAAGGCGAATCGCGACCGCAAGTCCTCCGCCGCTCCAGCCGCCGCATCGAGCCCGGCCGCTGCTCTGGAGACCTCAGACCCAGATGACTTTACCGGCAAGACATTCCAACAAGCACAGGAACACCTTGTCAATGGTCTGATCAGCCACACGGATCAAGAGTACGCCACTTGACCTGCCCTGCATGAAGCACTGCTAACACAGAGTCAGTGTCGACATCTTCCAACCCTTCGTCACGCTACCTCCACGGACCTTGACCGACTACTACGCCGTCATCAAGAAGCCCGTGTCACTCAACGCCGTGCGCAAGCGAGTACGAGGACAACACGGCCGTGGATCCGCAACGTCACAGAGCGACTTCAAGACTTGGGACTCATTCGAAGAAGAGGTTTCATACATCTGGCGTAATGCAAGGGACTACAACGAGGATGGAAGCGACATCTACAACCTGTCCGTCGAACTCGAGGATCTCTTCAAGGAACGTCTGGCAACTGCGAAAGCTCAAGTCGACGAGCCCGCACAACCAAAGATCAAGCTCAACGCTTCACGACCGAAAGCTGTCCTGCATCTCGGCGCAAGAGGATCGCCAGCTCCTACTAGTACTCCTGCGAAAGAGGCAATCACCAACGGACAGAAGACTCCTGTCGCAACGGGCCCACGACCTACCAGCAGTGCCGCCGGTTCACGATCGAACTCGCAGGTTCCTTCTTCAGTCAAGCAAGCGAGTGTCAGCGCATCAAGCCCAGTCGTCACAACCGCGGTCAAGACGGAAACGACAGTGGCTGCGTCGCCATCGCTTGCGACCGTTCGCCCACAGAGCATCGCTCCGGACGTCAAGCAGAGTCCAAGAGCAGGAACGGCCACTTCCATGCCTCCTCCGCCTTCTGTCCGTGCGATAAGTGGCAGCCCGCACCCTTCAATGCTGCCTCCTACCCCTTACGTCCCGCAATACGTACCGCCGCCGCCAACCTTTGTCGACAAGTACACTCGCTCAAAGCCTGCCTCGGAAGCCCTCTTACCGAGTCTGGTTATCGCAACACATCCTCAGCTCAACCTTGCCAAGCCGATTCACCTCGACGTTCCTGCTTCCAAGCAATTCACTCAGCAGTCTTTAACAATGTCAATCCCTGCCGCTAGTTACTACATCAGCATCATCCCTACCGTCTCGCAACGTCTCCTGGCACAACGACAGTACAAGCTGTTCGTCACAGTCAACGGCACTCGTCTGATGGGCATCACTCGCGATTTCAATGTCGGAGAGCCCCAAAGGAAGCAAGTCTACGACACAGCCCTCACTCCTGGTGTCAACAGAATCGAGGTCGAGGTCGTCGCTGTCGCTAGTAAGAGTGGGGAACTTGAGGTCGAGAAGACGATGGTGTTTGCCAACCTCATCAAATAGAATGAGATTGAGAATTTGGGCAAGGAGATATTTGGCATTCACCGGCCTCTGGGCTAAGGTGGATTATGTATTGGCCAAGGTGTAAAGCACGACGCTGGCGTAGGTGTTTTCGCTCTCTTTCTGGCAGGTATACCTCTTTGTTTCTTTGTTTCTTCTTCGCGCATAAAGTTGGAGGTGTTGAGTCGTTCTTTACCGCACCTCTACTGGATGCAAGAGTCTTGGCCTCTCGATCTTTGCAGATTCGTCAATTATAATTATCAATTCTCTTCAGTCGTCTCAACCTGCTTTCCCTTTGATTGAGTTGGACTTGAAGCCTTTTGCTCTGCGGCCTGCTTGAAAGCCACGAACGCTTTCTTTGTCGAGCATTTTGTGTACACATCCGCTTTCGTGTTTGACCATGTATGCTTTGACAACTTGGTAAAAGGATCTACTCGACATATTCTCCCTCTGAGTTTCCGAGTCGCTCTCGGACGATCAGCGAATCTGCTGAGCACAAGCACATTCACGAGTTGGCATAACAGGCTCCAGCAGTATTTTGCGAGAGCAGACTGACCTCATGTGGTCCCCCCAAGACTCAGACATCCTAGGCCTTCGAGCCCAGATAAGCGGTACTTGCCCGTTCTCCCTTCCCTCTGCATCATCTACCAGCTCACCTCCCCAGCCAATCTAGACTTCCTAACAGCATCCCCTTACAAAATCCTCACCCTCTACACAGAAGGAGGATACCAAGCCATTGTCCTCGGAGCCGACAACAAACCCTTCACGATAAGTAAGAGTAATCGCGATGGCAATGGGTATAGACAATTCGACAGTGTCAAGGAGGCTTTGATGGGCTTATTGCACAAGACTTCTTAGATGGTGACGGAGAAATTGAGAGGGGATGGTGTTGAGGAGCTAGAGAAGAAGGAGCCTCCGCCTCCACCTTCTGAGGGTGGGAATGGAGGTGGTGGAGGAGGTGATGGTGCGAGTGGTAATAAGAGCACTATCTTTGGAAGCGCTGGTTTTGGAAAGAGTTCGTTTGTAACTGCTGACTCGAAGGAATTTACGGCTAGGGATAATGGTTGTTGTGGATCGATTGGAAGAGTCGGAAATAATGTTTTTGATGGTAATAATTGTGGGATTGGTGGCGGTTGTGGCTGTTGTCCTTGTGGTCCTGCACGCTTTAGCAACACCTTTTGCTGCGGCAACTACTCAGCTGTACGTGGCGATGGATGTCATTGCTGCCCTTGTGGTCCTCCCGGTGACCCTCGCGATGACGGTAAGGTACGTGTCCAAGTAAACCCTTTCGGGAATATCTCTGTCCCAGCCCCCATGAGACAAGAAGCGGAATACGAAGTCATCCAATGCACCTGCCACACAAGGAAGAAACAACAACGTCACAACAATCACTCACTTAGCCGAAGGACGTGGGAGTAGCGTTTTTGACGATCCACCTCGAGTCACTATTGCAGGAGAAGCACCTCCAAACGCAACTAGAGGGGCATTTAGAGGTCATGGCGATGCTGCGCGAGAGCAAGAGCAAGATAACGACATTGAATATTTCCCTGATGGAGAAGGGGGGGGTTTTCACTCCACTCACTACAATTGACTTCCTCTGCACTTCCCACCGCCAATCCCACCCCAGTATTTCCAAACAACGCACCACTAGCCCCACTGTCAATGCAAAGGTCAAAGTTCAAGTTTGCGCCGTACTGGTTGGTGCCGGAAAGACCGTTTTGAGCACACAAGGGATTACTCTCTGCAGGACAGAGGTTGGTAACTTGAACCACGATGGGAGAGCCGAAAGAAAGGCTGTTGCCCGAGGAGTCGGTGGACGCAGTCAGTTTCCAGCAGGTTCCACATGCTGGACCTGCTCCTGCGCCTGTGCCGACGCCGAACTCGTTCTGAGATACTGCTGCTGAAAAGCCGGGCTGTAGCGAATGAACATGTCAGTATTACTGATCTGGGTGTGAAAGCTAGAGAGAACGAAGGAAGGGGCGAAGAAGAGTTGGCAGAAGGGACGGAACAGATCGTAATGCTTGAAAGCTTGACGTACAGAAGTGTAGAAGCCACAAGCTGTGGTTGCTACATTGCAGTTTCCAGATCCCCAGGTGTCGGTCGAACCGTATTGAGTAAAAGAGGCTTTGTAGGAATTTGCTGCTGCGGCGAGGCTGGCTGAAGCAGCAAGGAGATTGATGGAGGTGTACATGATGAAAATGGGTGGTAGAGTGTATTCCAAGAAGCGGTGCGCTGGTACCTTGTGAAAACACGATGCGACAATGGAACAAAGACGAGAGTTCGGCGCTTTTATAGGCATGAACAGTCAATGCAAAAACCTACCTTGATCGATACTGTCGTCACCTACACTATAGTTGCGACGATTGATGCTGTCTCTTATGCATGCGACCCACGTCTAGCATGATCAACACCACGTCCTGTCGCACGAGTACCAGCCGTGCCAGTCATCGGAAACAATAATGCCTCGCTTCTAAAGGAATTCCTGGTTATAGGTACGCTGACGTCGGGAGATCGTCCTGGAGCAATATATCTGAGTTGAGGCTTGCAAGGGCTTCCTTGACGCAAGCAGCGTCATTGCGGTCGTATCCACAAAGGTTGAAGAGAAGCTTTTTGCATCTGCGATTCTCCACGTTTTGCGCAAGCACATGGCGTGTTTCAGACCCTCCCTGGGTCGGTCTTGGGCCATCGGCACTTCGAGGACGGGTGTTTTGAAAGTCTGAAAGGAGCCATTGAAGTCACGGAGCTCTCATCGCGATTGTGGAGTCGACGTGTATCATTTCCGTTAGGATGCGAGGAACCTCGGAAGAAGCGGACGAACAAAGAGCCTTAAGCGGAGAAAGGTTCCGGTTGGAGAACGCCGCCCCGTGATCAGAGCTACAGCCACAATCGCAGATACATCTAAGTGGCATGTTCTTCATTTCCAGCATTCCAAGATGACAATGGACCTGCGATCGCTCACCTACGAGCCTGTGATCGAGAAACTCAACACTCTCGATCAGAACTTACCGCCAGTTCGGAAGCGTAAGCGCGCGTTTGGCAAGCCATTGTCGGACCTTGGCTTGCTCGCATCGATGCCTCCGGAGCTCATCCAAGCGACTCTTACTCAGCTTGATCTCCAGTCCCTCGCCAATCTTCGAATGGTCAATCGGCAAGCCTCATCAACAGTCGATAGTGTCCCTATGTTACGTGCAATTGTCAAGCACGCGCCCCATGCATTGCGTGGTGCATTGAAGATCGAGACGGCTCAATACATTAACTGCGAGACACTCCACAGAACGTTGCATACAACTGAGTGCAAAACATGTGGAGACTTCGGTACCTATATCTATCTACTCACCTGCGAGAGAGTGTGCTTTTCATGTCTCGTTTACAATCGAAACTATCTACCTTGCGATTTCACCACACCAAAGAAGTTTGAAGCCCTCAGGGAATCATTGCTAGACCTACCACACATGATAAGTCTGCCGGGGATATACTCGCCAAGAAAGGAGAGGTGTCGCAAGCGTCTTCTTTGGGATCGTCGGAGCATTCTTCGCGATGCGTCTGATTCTATAAAGGCCCAACTTGAGAAAATCGAAGGCCCATACTACACTGGAGTATATGCTGACAAGACACGCTGTATGGCAGTTGTTGAGATCCTATCCTTGGATGCAAAGACTGGACTTGTGATTGAAGGCTTCCATTGCCTTGCTTGTCGAGACTCTCGTTCGTACGGTTGGAATGGGCAGCGCTTCAATCCCAGACGCGCATTCTGGTCCCACTCTTTCGAAGCTCACCTGGTCGAGAACGGTCCGATCGTTGAAGGTCGACATGAAGCGACGAATGCAAGACAGTACCAGGCCAGGTATCGTATGACACTGGCTTGGAACCCATTTTGGGACCAGAGCACGTAGTAGAATACTCTACTTACTGTCACTGTAACCCATGGGCGAAGTGGACAGAGCGACCATTCAATTCGGCGTAGACGATTCGGAGACAGTGCTAGCCCAATCGCACTCCGTCAACATCGATGCCCTCGCATCACCTCCATTTCCGCTGCTCATCCTGCGTCCCCTCGCAACTTCCAAACCCCTCGCGTTCAACCGGTACGCTCCACTGGACGGTGCATCTCAGCTTTGCCAGGCTTGATCATGTGCTGAATACACATGTGCAAGGAAGGTGGCATCTGTTCTTTGTTGATTGAATCACACTTGACGTTGCTGCCGTGGCGCTCTGCGCTTTGGATGTACTGCCCTTCTCTCTTGCAGCCACATGTGTAGTTATGCATCAACAGGGTACACATTGCGCTATATGACATCAGACAGCTGTGCAGAATTGTATTCATGTACTTACGCTGAGTTCTTAATGCCGACGGGAATAACAGCGGATCCGATTTGTTGGTTTCCGTGCAGTTCAAGCGTGGTTTGAGGTAGATGCTCTGATAGTTCTATAATCTGAAGAGTGTAAAAGTAACAAAGGGGGTCAATGTGTACAGGCTTTGACGAAGCATATTTATGTTTCCATCGAAACTACCCGATAAGTTGCACGAAGCTGGTAGCCGCCGAACACACTTGCTCGGAACGCTGAAGGTGAAATCTGTGAGAATGTGAAGAGATGTTCGCTGCAAAAACCAGCGCACCATACACATCACTACGATAAGCGCGAGTGAGGCACGTATCGACTTCCGCAGTCTCTCGGCAACCAATCAACATAGAAACCTTGCGCTCTTCACAATCTGGGAAGATCAATCACAATCTGAACAACTCAATCACGTGTCGCGCTTGTTCTTTGAAACTTGGTTTCATTTCATCGACTGGACCTATCTTCACATACCCCGTCGCAATGTCGAAAGTTCAGATGCTTGACGCCAGCGTCGATACTGAAGATATCAGTGACATACGCATACTGGTCGATCACAAGTATGTTAGATATCTCACTGTAGCTCCAGGCGTTTGGGACAGTTTTACAATGTGTTGCGAGCCCTAGTTGATAGCTGCATTGCCCCCCCTGCCGCAGGGCCGATGGAACACCGCTCACATATCTTCGGATCCGTCGACTGGCACGCCATATTTCGCCTCTGCCACTAATAAAACGCTGCCTGCTGTGACTGAGCTTTGGCATCCGCTGTTCATCGAGTTCCTGGGCTTCCAAATGGGCAAGAAGCTACGGTCCAACGTACACGAAGCTACCTGTTCGCAGCTCAACGGAAAGGTCGTTATCAAGCTGGCAGAATTTCACTGGGAAATGCAATGGCTCAACCAAGAAACTCAAGCTTACCAGTGGATCAAAGATCTCAATGTCGGCCCCAAGTTCCTTGCGCACCTCACCGAAGAGGGAAGAGTGATCGGCTTTGCGATGGAGCATATCCAGGACGCTCGTCATGCAGAGCCAATTGACATCACCCTCCGCCAGCAGGCGTTGCAGAGACTGCACGGATCAGGGATCAAGCATGGGGATGTCAATAAGCACAACATCCTCATCAGAGATGACCGTGCTACGCTGATCGATTTCGACAATGCGGCGAGGAATCAGGAGGCCAGTGTACTTGATGCGGAGTTGAACTCGCTCGAAGCGGTGCTCGCAGATCAGTCTGGAAGGGGAGGCATAATTGTGGGTACCGTGGACGACAGCGATCTATAGTGAGACGCCTCCATTGCTCTATATGAGATAAGCGTCGTTTTTGCTCGATCACGTAGATTCGTCATGACCGTTCCCGAGGTTCCGTTTGTTGAGTTGCTGGTGTCGTGCCTCGAGTTCTGGCCATGTTCTGACGTCCTCGTAGCCTTCAGGCATCCACATTTCCAAGACCGGATCTTTTGTGTAGCAAGTATTGCAGGGGAGTCTCTGAGGTTCCGGAAGAGAATCCATATTTGATAGTAGCGAGGGGCTGCCACCACAGTCTGAAGCCTCCTCGCCTGATGAACGCACATCCATCACAGTAATGCTCGGTCTTCTGATTGTATACGAGTGGCTGGTGGGATTTCAAGGGCAACACCTTGAGGAAATCAGGTGCCTTACGTGACCACTTGCCCCGGCGATCACGCATCAGGTAATGCACGTCATTCAAGCGCTTCTCTGAGTTAATGGGTCTCAATTGCGCAAGTTTCTCCTTGTGTCGTTCAGGATAATTCTCACGCCAGTCTTTGGCAGACTGTCTGGACAGAGACCGTACAGCAGCGGAGAAGTATGACTTCGAGGTAGGAGTCGTATCCGAGCAGAAAGTGGTGAGGAAAACCGAGGGCAAGTGCAAAAGGTTAAAGTTGTAGAGGCTCAAAATAGAAATGGCGGGTGCCAAGAGTCAGCGCTCCCGCATTCTCAAACAGTCGGCGGGCGATGGGCGCGGGCCTCGTTGGTATTTACGATTCGCTCTCTTTTTCTGTCCGTCTCTGCCATTCACGCATCACTCTGCTCATCCACACCTCACGCCAGCTGTATCCTTGCCATAACGGCCAGTCCTTCGCTCAACACCGGTATACGACGAGCCTCCATCCACAGGACACCGGGACCGCCACCTGCAGGAGCGAAACACGACAACAACAGCCCCTGTTCGCTCACAAGCACCACGCATAACCGCACAAGATGCGTCCGGCACAGCTCCTCTCCTCGGTTGCTCTTTTCTCAGCCCTGAGCTCAGCATCAGCACCATGGTCCGAGTCCTTCCACCTCAAAGCCATCCGCGACATCAACGACTACATCTTCCCGCGACAGGACAACTCTGGTATGTGACAGTTGCTCCATGAAGCTTACGGATTACGCGTACTGACTAATGATCTCCAGAGTCGAGCGCCGCTGCTTCCAACACAGCCGATTCTTCTAGCGCAAAGTCAACAGCCGCATCGTCAGCAAAATCCACAGCAAGCTCGTCGAACAAGGACTCTTCGACCGACGGCAGCGCTGCTACCACGACCGGATCCGATCAGAGCAGCGCCGCTTCATCCGGAAGCTCAAAGTCTGGTGACCCCTCGGACGCTTCGACGACCGGCAAGTCGACGGGCAAGAGCAGTGGAAGCAACAAGGCAACAAGCACGGCGTCATCTGCAAAGACAAAGACGTACGGAAACACGGCTGGCTACGGCGGTATCGCCATGATCACGCCCGACGTCTATGCAACCTCGACCTACTACAAGATTGGCAACTTCATCACCTTTGCCTGGAACATGACTTCCCTGTCCGCCACCCCGACTGCTCTCGACGTCATGGCCTCCTGCGCTGCCAACCAGCACATGTACACTCTCGCCGTCAACCAGACCGTCAATGGCACATCTGGTACCGTCACATGGGACACCGGCGACTACCAGAGCACCGCCACCATCCCTCTGCTCACAGAGACCTACACTCTCGTCATCATGGACGCCGCTCTGCCTGCTGTCAGCGCGACTGCCGCTTATGGCCACCTCCCCGTCTACAGTGGCCATCTCTTTGCCATGTATGTCCCTCAAAGCACAGACTACCACAACACTTCTGGCAACGACACCCAGATTTACACTTGCATCACCTGCAAGAGCGGAGCCAGCTCGCTCGAAAGACAGACGCTAGCCGTCATCTTTGGCACCGTCTTCATCACCATTGCCACCTTCTCCATCTTCGTCGGCGGTTCTGGCATCCTTTGAGCCGATGATTACATCCAAGAACAAAATGATTTAGGGCAGGAGTTTTACTTGGGGATTATCTGTGGTCATCTGCATCGGGAAGGCGTTTTATCTCAATTAGGCAATGCTTGGCTATCTTCCTGTGCATGTTTCGTTATCATTTTGTCTATATATATCACATTTCTGACTCTCATTTTGGTTGACTGATAATTGCTTGTTTGCTCCGACGTTCGTGAAGCAGGCGCGCCTATTGAGCCACTTGCCCATAACACTGAAAAGGCTTATTTTTCCACCTTCTGCTTCTATCGAGTCTTTGACAGTGCTGTAAAGAGTCTAATTACATGTCGAGTCTCTAATCCATCTACTCTCTTTCGCCGTATCAATGGTGATGGATGCATACCCGAGTACAGTGCCGGCTAAAATTCGCCGCGGCCAAAATCTTTCCTGTTTACGTGCCACATCGTGCAACAACTTTCCTCCACGTCATGACTGATCTGTACTTGACACTCGCCTTCCATTCAACTTACTCCTAGCACCCGCTATTGATGCGCTTCGATGGTCTCCCAAGTACGGTCGCCGAGCGAAAACTCAAGTTCGCGGCCAAGGAAAGGCTGTATAAGCTACTGATGAAACATTTTCAAGGCACACCCCCGACCACGTCAAAGCATGAAATCGAAGTCAAATTGAGACGCCTCTCGGCTGCTAAGAAGCTGCCGAAGACTTTCACCATTCTGAAGACTATTCCCCCTACTCACTTAATGGTCCGCAAAGGCGTCTTTCAGATTGATCCATCGAAAGGCCCAACTTATCGGGATGCTTGTCGCGCCGTGGATGAAGCTGCAAAACAATTGGCTCCGAGTCGAAAGGACGAGTCTAGGAAATCGCACCCTTCCAATGAAGATGTCAACTGGACACTTGGACAACTTCGATCAACATCCTCGGAAGCTGGCCGCTCTGGACGAGGAACGATACGAACGACCTCCAGTGATGCTATCAGGCTCTACCAGGTGTTGAAGCCCGTATTCAAGGGCTTCTCGCCTGACACCTCGAGTTCGCTTACACTAGCCAGGCTCAGGGAGTTCGAAAAATCCAATGATGAAATCAAAGCCATAATACAGTCTATGGGATTTTGGCGAGTCTACATCTGCCTGTCCCATTTGGTACGAACAGGAATGTTTGTGAACTCTGCGCAATCTCCGAACCACGATCAAGCAATCACAGCGGCCTCGAGTCTTCCGGACAACATGGAGCCAAGAAAAAATGTTGAAAACGAGGTTCAGTCGCCTTTTGACCATTTCAAAACTGTAAAACAAGAATCTGCGACCTCACAAATAGTCTCCAGTTTCAGGCCTTTTGCACAACAGGAAGCTGGCGTTTCATCTCAAGCTGTCTTTCCACGTGCGCAAGATGTGGCACCTTGTGGAGAGGCTGACGAGATCAATCACCCTGGGGTCTCCGAAGGCCCCTCAGCAGGCCCTTGGACGCCTCTCAGACTCCCAGACATGGATGTTGTTGAGCCGATGACCGATACGGGCGATACGATAGATTTGCTTCGGATGGGATTCTGCTCGTCGCAAGCTGAACTGGCTCGGAGCACAGCAGTCGACGCGTATTCAGTCCAGAACATTGTTCCTTCGCTGATGACAGCTCAGACGGCTTCAACCACAGAGGTGGCAGATCCAGTCGTATCAGACACGTCAGCAGAGATTATGCGGCTGGAATATGCAAAGACGTCAGTAAGCGATCACGTTATACTGCCTTCTCCACAGGATTTGGAATTTGCCTCGAATGATAAGAAAGAGTTGGATATCACTGGCCTGCGGATCTTCGAGTCTCAGCATCCGAGAGTCTCCGAGCCTCCATCTTTCACGAAAGCCGACGAGATGAATCACGAGATTGCACAGTCTCAGACCCAAAGACCTGATACAGAAAACAATATAATTTCTCCGACTGACCTGTGGTCATCTACAGCAACACTCGCCGTAGGAACGAAGATTGCCGATGCAGTCGAGCATGACGACATTGTTAACCTGGCTGGAAATGATCCGCAACAGCTGGCTGAGGGCTCTCTGGACTTCATTGCGCCCCCAATCACGACGTTGCAAGACACGGACGATCACACTCGTCCTCTGAATACTTCCACGGACGAGACGCAGCCCATACCAGACGAAAACGCTTCTTCGGGAGAAGTTTCGGCTCTTGTGCGTCATCCAGCTCTTGGAAAAGCGAAGACAAGAAGATCGAAGCAAAAGAACAGGCAGAAGACTCTGAAACTGCATGACCAGTCCGCACCGCAAGCGGCTCAGCCCACAACAGAGACAACCCCTCCAAAAGCCCGCAGCGATTTAAATGAAGACGTGCCCGACGACAGCATTGAAGATGACAGCGTCGTCAATAGCGACCATGCCCACTATACTCCAACTCCCAGTGCACCACTCAAGCAAGCCGAGTCAAAGGACGGGCAGAATCCTGGTGCTCAAATTGACGTAGAATCGACACTCAACTCCCATGAGACGCACAAGTTTCCTGAATTTGGGAGGGACTATTTCAGACTATTACGCAAACCGCGAGATGACAATCGTAAGATACTCGATGAGCAGGATGAAAGCCTATCCCACATCTCGCAACATGCCACGATGCCCGTCCCACAGATCCGAGCTCAATTCCTACCATATTCGACTCAGTACAGAATAATCACTCACATCCAAACCTCACTGGAAAGGCTTTGTTTCGAGTATGTCAAGCGGAAGCATCCCGACATCTTGGAAGGAACACCTAAGCAATGGGAACTCGATTGCCCTGAAAGCATGGAGCTGACACGATGGTTGCAATTATTGGAGAACCCCCTGTGCAACAACAGAGCCGCGCGAAGACTTGTGCTAAAGGAAACTGGTAGATCAATCTCTGTCTTGTGGAGATCACTAGCAACACTTCGCAACTTCGCGGTTCATAGAAACAGGGCCGATATACCCACCTTGCAGTATTGGACTGGCGATGCCCGAGCACTCGCAAAGCTCCTTGGAGACCCTGAAACAGAAACACAATTCGCAAATATGAGTCGCCAGCTACAAGTCGCAGCGAGAGAACTGCTCACCAATAAAGCGAATACAGAGGGCAAACTTCTGAATACCTTCAAGGAACTCGCGGCGAAGCGAGCCGAACTGGATCGATTGGAAAGAGAAGCGATTAAAGGCATGGAAGAGGAGAGTACACGATACAAAGAATCTACCGCTGCATGGCTACATGAGTCCATCTTACAGGAGCGACATAGCTCCAGATCCTCTGAATCAATTGCACCGGAGTCAAATCACGCGCCTTCTTCACCGCCGCAGACTGGAGTGGTTGGCTGGCTCAAGAGATGGTTCGGGTCTTGATGAATCATCGACATTCGACCCCTCAAACATCAAACGACTGATACACGTAGAACAGAACCGTCACAATCATACTCACTGCTCAATCCTCCTCACTCTTCTTCCTCCCTTCGACTCCTCAAAATGTTCTGCGCGGCAGTGTTCAACTACATGCGCGACCATGCCCGCCAATAACCATCACATCGACTCACGTAACTATCCTTTATTTCCGCAAACTGTCTACTTCCCATCTATCCTCCGAAACCCTACAAAATCACGTCGAGAAGCCCGAGCGACAAAGTCTAGAGCCAAAGAGATCAGCACCGGTTTCTCCTTACGTGCGTTTGCGCGCTACTACGCTTTTTGTTGCGTACGAAACGATGGAGAAAAGTGTCGATCTTCTTTTGTCTCAGCTTTCACGATATTGATCGTCAGTGGGGTCGCAAAATAGGGTAGATTTGAAGATTGATTTCCGGATTTGTGTTATGTGATGGTCGGAAGGGCTACAGGGATAATATTCGTTACTGTCACGCGATGGCGATGAAAAAAGGGGTCTGAGTTTAGTGGTGTCGATGCTTTGAGGCCAGTCTTGACATGACTGTGACTCAAAGCGTTGGAGAAAATGCATAACATGATGCACAAGGCATGTGGAAAAGAAGGTAACCATTGCGCGATGAGAGAGAGGAGATTGTTCAATTTTGTTCTAGACTAGAATTTGCTACACCAGAGAGAAGAGAGAGGAGAGTGAGGTGTAAGAAGAGAGGAGAAGTGACGGCAGAATAGAGTCTCCCACGGTGATGTATGAGGTTCCCTTTTGTAGAGGGAAACAGACCGACAGACTGATCGGTATTGAGGATGCGACAGATGATCGCGTGCTTGCCTCGCGTGGGGGCGGTGAGAAAGCGCTGCTTCTACAAGCGGTGAGAGGGCGCATTGCTCTCGCTCGTTGCCTGGTAAGACATGCTTGCTTTGTGGAGTAGGCAATATGTGTGCAGTAAGTCCTTGGGCACGGAAGCTATCGTGTGACAGTCGTTGCCTAGAAACGAGGATCCTCGAAGCAGACTGCCAGACATGGTAGGTGGATTGGTAATTGGCCAGATAGATGAATGAGGTTCAGATCATGGACGAGTGGGTCGTTCAGCCCTTGAAGATGGTCTTGCTCAAACGCATACCCCTCTTCATTTTCCTGCCCAGCAAACTACCAGATCTTCGGATGCTGCCAGATCTACCGAGACCATTCTGCTCAGACACGGAAGTTTCTGGTGCGACATTCTCTTCGTCTTGGAGTAAGCGTTGTTTACGCTCAGGGTTGGCCATCAGGTAAACATCCAATCGCCAGTTCATCATGCGAGCCTTTTCGCCTCTACCGAGTTCTTCAGCTTCAGCATCATCGTCTTGCAAGACGCGACTGCTGCTGCTTCTGGGCAATGATGTGGTCGAGTTTGTCGCACTGCTTTGGCGTCTGTGGCGTTCAGTAGACATTGGCATAGCATTAACACCAGAAGTTCCTAGACTCCCACTGCGAGAGCGAGAGATGCTGCCGCCGAACAAACGATGTGTACTGTCGTCGAGAATGCCAGAGTCAGAGGAAGAATCATCGCACCATGGGCATGATTCTAGTCTTGTTTCCCAGCCTTCGAGGGCGAGTTTTGATGAGCAGTTGGAGAGGTTTGTTGTGTTTGTGCAGGGTTTCACAAGGGTATACCAGCGGTGGGAGCAAGGTTGCGTCGAGACGTTGAGGTTGGCCACACACATTGCGACTTTTGTATGTTTGCTTTTGTATCGCCAAGGATATGATAGGCAATTAATTTGAGGCTCTTCTGTGGTCTGATATAGTTGCTAACACCCAGTAGGATCCAAGATGGTCCAGCAAAGGTAAATTGGAGATCCTAAAGACGAAGGGATCGTTTTGTTCTTATCAAAAAGAGTCAGCGCTGCAACGGATGTCCTCGGTTGTTCGATGTCAGTTATGACATGTGCCAGTGCGATCAACACAAAAGATAGGCGGGCTTGTGTCTCTGGCTCGGGCTGTGCTAAAAGCTTGGTTGTGGATAGCCTCGGACGTGGAGATGAAAAGGCAAGCCGCCGAGTGACCCTGGCAAATCTCGGTCTGGACAAGCGACGATCTTGTGATTTTGCGGGGAAAGGGGAAAAGATGGACAGGCAGATAGGTCGAAGGGAAAGCGCGAGTGATGATCTTTTCTGTTATCTCTTGCTGGTCTCCGGGTCGTTATGTGGAGCCGAAGTATACAAGGTGGATGGGATCTGCGGTCACGCGGGAGCCTGGATGACAACGGACGAGAGGCTGGCTGGCTTGCGATATACGATGCGAGCAAGAACGAGCTCCAAGGTTTCGATAGCAAGATGTTGTTGCCGGTGGTGGATAAGAATCAAACGGGTATTCCAGTTGGAGGTTCTGTAGTCCGAGTGTGAGTCACATATAGATGCGACTGCCTTGTCTTGAAGAAGAGCCGAGTCACGAACGACAAGATCAAAATGTTCCAAGGCACGTGTGTGGAGTGTTTTGTAAGAGACCGCGGAATGTCAACCCGGACAAGGTGCTTGGGCAAAGGGAGGAAGCTGCTTATTATATCTTCTTGACAGCAGCACACCCCTCCTCTCATCTCACACCCTCTAACACACGTCTATCCATTCCCATCCCACCCCTTGATCAATGCTTTTCTCGTTTCCAGCGCCCGACTTTCTTTGTTTGCACCGATGATTTGACTTGCTTGTTCCGCCGCTTCCCCAGAGTAAGCTAAAAACGACAGGGATCTTCGGCCCGCTTTTTAGTACACGCAGCAAGCTGCAAAGGAAAAAAGTGGGAGGCTGAAGAGTTGGTCATTCTTGTGGGAACTTTACGCGACTGTCACGTTCTTTGCTTTGCTGTCTTCTTGGTCATCTAATGGAGTTTGTTGTGCTGTCCTTGCTCACATCCCTGCAGGAAGAGAATATGTATTATCCATCAAGAAAGTTGACGCGAGTCTTGACGTGTACGAGTACGGTACTCGACTGCTGACTGTACAAACGAGCAAGAATCAATCTCCACCAGCTTCATCATAAACGATGTACTGACACCAGCAATGATGAGACCTCGACACGTCAATTGCATATGCGTACATCCACCTAATCGTTTGCGCATCCAGGTACCCATTCATGTAGCCAACCTAGACCGAAGCACTTCAGGCAGCGATCTCAACGCAGATCAAGCCACACGAAATGAAAGCAGTCCGTGAACGACGCTTCCGGGCGCCCGCGCATACCGGTGCCTTGCTTAGATGACCGCCTCCCGGTAAGACAGGCAGATGTGCAAAACGCCACAATATCGCGAACTTCCCTTCTCTGCTCACCGCGTGTGTCGCAAGGTATGCAGGTATCTGCTTGTCAACCAAGAGAACCCAAGCTTTGCAACCACGTGTGGACATCCTCAGGTCTCACAAGCGGTGAGCAGCATATCGTGGCATGGAGGAACTCAGGCCAGTGGCTTGCAGCAAGCATGCTGGTGGAATGCTGGTGGAATGCAATTGGATTAGGGTACATTCGGAAGACGAACCCATTCTCTTGATTTACTGCAATCACCACCATATCTCACGCCTCTTACCAGTATCTTCAGTACACGCTTCTCCTCAAGCTAGAGAAGCGAACCCTAGGCGACCTGCATGAAGTCCCGTCCACCCGTCACAAAACGACCACGCATACTGTAACAAGTCTACGCTTTTCCTTTTTCGCTCTGCTTCGTCCTTCTCGGTCATCAGATCTGACGATAAGAGATGAAGAAGCCAGGGGCTCGGTTGACGGTTCCTCATATCTGCTGCATCGACATTCCAAGCGCACTTCGAGATGCAAGGCAGACTTGATGCGACAGCACTGGCTTACTGGACAGATAATGCTGTCGAATGCTTCCACCACGTTTTCTCAACCTGCACTGCTCCTCATGTGCGATAAATGTCGTCTTTTCGTGTGGTCGCGCAAGACTTTAGATTCTTTCTTTCCAGGATAGTTAGTGTCTTTGGTTGAAAAGCAACACCGAATGGCGCATTCTTCACTCATTCTAACAAATATTTCCCAAATCAACCAGAGCCTACACAATAATAGATGCGTGGTGATAGCACTCCAGTATTCGTAATCCATCTATTCGCTGCCCAGTCCTTGGTATATCGCTGCCTTCAGATTCGGACCGAGCCACATCGCCATGATGGCATGTAAATCGGTACCTCTCGTCATAGTTTTTACAATATAAGCTGACTTGGCGTTGATTGTTTCTGGGCTGCCATCTCAAGCACAGACGACGGAAGACAAGAATAACCACCGGCACCATTCGGACCACGCCAAGCTTTTCTCTCTCACCACCGATGATGCATATCTCTTGGCTTGTACACGTGTACAAAAAAGGCCAGAAATGCTTAGTACTTCCCGACTATCTCAAAGAATATGGACGTAAGTTCTGGTATTCATGATCTTGTTGCTTGAGGTTGTAGGAATGGTTTAATGGAGTCTAGGGTCTTAAGCCTCCATTAGATGATAGCTACATCTTTGACCGCCATCCTTTATAGTCTACCACGTGCCGGGCCCATTGAAACTTACCTTACCAAACTCTGCGTAACCTCCGTCTTGCAGGCAAGTCATGGTGATCTTTAGTGTCTGACTCGACTTTGTGGGAACAACCTGGTAAGGGCCATCTTGGTTCCAAAGGTATTTGAAGCCGACAGAAGCGACAGGGGCGGGCAGGCCATGCACAACCGCGTAAATGATTTGTGCCACAGTCGGATCAGCTGGTTTCGTGTCTGTGTTCGTTGGACTATAAGTCGTGATGAGAGCGTCATCGAGATAGTAGGAGACATTGCACGTGTCTGTAGTACTGCTGAAGCCAGCCCAGAGTGTAAAGTTGTATGGCCATCCAGGTTCTAGGTCAGTCAATACTTTGAGGTAAGAACCAGAACGAGCGGATCCGGCTAGCTGCATAGTGGCCGGATCACAGACCGTCTTTTGACCGGAAACATATTGAAGTTTTCCTCTGGAAGAATAGACATCAACAACGCGGCAGGAATTGATTGCACCTCCAGTAAAGGACCATTCCATAGCTTGGGCTGGATCGCTGGAAATCTTCGAGTTAGACACCAATTCGTATGGCGTTGCAGCTGGAACGTATAATGTAGAGGTGATGGTCGTAGTTGGAACGGCTGCCGTCACGGTGGCCTGGGCAGTCACTGTAGTCACCCCTGATGAAACAACCAAAGACTGCGTGATCGTTGCTTGTGCGAGTCCAGTCGCAATATATAGACATGCTGCACTGACTTGCTGAGGTATCCAGGTTGATAGGATGGTGGGTGTAGGAACGACTCTTCTCGCGACAAGATCAGGTTGAGAATTAGCTGTAGAGGCAGGAACGAAGCGTTTGATAAGAGAAGGATACGTCGACACTGATGAAGTGACAACGACGGTAGAAGTGAGCGCCGAAGGCGTGATTGTTGTGGTCCCGGATCCGATCACAGTCCCAGTCGAGGTGGCCTTGATTACAGTCTTGATTGAGGTAACGTTGACAGTAGCAGGCTGATATTTGATGAAGGAAGAACAGAAGGATCCTGCACCAGCTGCACGTTGGAGATCAGCGATCTGGAACGAAGACGGAGGATCGATGGATGCATCAGAGCACACTGGTGCAGTTGACCGAGAGAAAGAAAACAAGCTGTGCGATTGGCCTTGGAGGTTGACAGTGTTCACAATCTTGTTGTACGTGGATGACTGTAGTTGGCCTGCACCACACTTGGTATGACCCAGTTTAGCCATCGTGACATAGTTGCTTGTAAAGCCGAGGCTGACTTGGGAGTTAACAACGATAGCGTTTGGAATATTATTCCCGAGAACAGAGAGGCCAATCTGGATAGAGCTTTGGGTGAATGGAATGAGCGTGGCAGATTGACCATACAAGACTGGCTGGCTGACGTCCAGTGTAGGGGCCCAATTCTGCTCGTTTCGGGTGTAGCCGCCGACGGCATCGAATTCGACGCTGGCACCACTCATAGTAGACTTTGAGGAGAAGTCGAATTTGGTTTGTCCGTTGGTTGACCAGGTCGCACCAATGCCGTAGTAGATTGAAGGACTGTTATACTCATCAGCAGAACGAACCTTGAAGAAGCAGAGTCACAGGAAAAGAACTTACGATACGGTGAAGACACCTGGAGCAGTAACCCCGCCGAATGGTTGAGCAGACCAAACGTGCGACCATGAACCCTTAGAAGCCGCGAGCGTGGTGATACCCATACTAAATCTCTGCACCGAGTCTTGATTCAAGGTCATAGTCGAGCTTACGACGGTAGACGTCTGCATGTTGATGACGATCGTGCCCCGGATTCGTAGGTTAGAGACATCCATGGCACAGTCAGCGCAGCGTAGTTCAGAAACACCGTCCGAGAAAACTGGCTGGTTCTTGTAGCTCTGCAGTGAGAAGCTGTATGATTGGTCAAAGGGATACTCCACTGGCGGAGGTGGGCTCGCCGCTTTATCCAGACAATTGTTCGCGAGACAAACGATTGCCTCAACACCTTCCTTGACTTTGCAGGCAGCCTCGATCTTCTCGCTAAGCGAGGTAACCAAGTCGTTGCAAACCCAGGTATCAACGCCATTCCAGAACTCCTCCGAGGTGATTCTCTTTGAAAGTCTTGATGTACCCCGTTCGGTCATATTTGTGACGGGTGAATCGTCAGAAGAGAACCAGTTCTCATAATCTCCACCATCATCAGAGGTGGTGTTGGCTCCGAGTGCGTTATCTAGTGCACTCTGGACATCCTGGACCGTAGCGTCGAACGAGGGCAAGCCAACATTCTGGAGTTGAGCCCGCAGTGATGGCTGAGCAGAGTTATCGCTAAGGTCTGCCGTGACTGCAGGGAATGTGGAAGACTTTGTCGCATCCTTAAGACTGCCCGAGATGGTTCCTTGACTATTGTACTTGATGCCAGAGGTCATCTGGGTATAATAACTCATCGCCAAGGAGTTCAAACTAGTTGGGACTGTGACGACAAAGCCCAGACCCGCGCCTGACAAAGGATGCGAAGACGTGGTGACGCTAGGTGAGCTCGATAAGGTGGAAGAGATACTACTGCTCGTGCTGGTCACCGCAGGCGAGAAAGTGTTCGCGCTGCTACCTGTTAATGCAGACGAGGAAGCAAGAGCAGAACTACTGCTACTCAGGAAGGAGCTAACAGTGCTGGAGCCGCTGGAGACAGCAGATACAGATAGCATGCTAGATCCAATGAAGCTCGACGACTGGCTCGATCCACTAGAGCTTGCAGACTTCTGGGCAGACGTTACTTGTAGTGAGCAAGCAGCATCAACGACGCTAGCTGGATATTTGGCCAGTCCTGCGGGGACTGAGAGCGGTGTGCCAGAGCCAGAGTTACCGACAAGAGCCGAGCAATAAGGCTGCAACTTTGACCAGGTAATCTCCTTTGAGGCCTGACCGATAGCACCGTCGCGATCACCGGACACTGGAGATGGACCCTGATCTGCGAGGCTGTATGCGGTATAACTGGCATCGATCATGTAATGATCTGATCCATACCAGGAGCTGCTCATGTCAGTTGGAGACACGATCATGTCTCATGAGGCTGTACATACCCAGTGTTGGTGGCATAGCTTTGATTCCAGACCTCAGAATAGATGACACAGTATTGGCCTTGGACATTGGATGCGCTGTTCTTGTACAGGATATAGGTGTTGAAAAAATGACACTTCTGCGCAGGGCTCTTGTCAGAAGGAGGGTGGGCAACGTTGTAGACTGTCTGAGCATCACAGTATGCAGCGCAGAGCGAGATGTTGAAGACGCCAGTCGTGAAGAGCTTAAACCCCATATAAGTGTTATATCCTTGCGCATCATATGGCGCGTTGATGGCCGAGGCTCCGAGATTTACTGGCTGTGAGTAACCCTGTGCGCCGATGACTGCCGTCTTCACGTATGCATTGGACCCTGCAATGACTGTGGTAAAGCCTGCGATAGTTTTGCTTGAAAGGTCAGCCTTGACCATCGACACTTCCAAGTCTTGTCCTTACCCAAAGTTGGCAGCCGTGCCAGCCGACAGCGGTCCGCCCCAAAGCGAGCATACAATCGATGTGACAGATTGAGGGTTCGGGCAGGCAGCTGCTGGCATTATAGAAGGATCTCTCTCAAAGTCTTTTGTCATTCGTCAGCGTTCGATTTCATAGAAGGTTGACTCGGACTCACAGATATTGAATCCCATACAGCCAGGAGTTGTGTCACAACTCTGAGAGCATGTCTGGGGGTCGTACGTGTCGAGAGACGAGAAGCCAAGGAACCCATAACTCAGCGCTGATGCATTCGAGTTTGTGAACGTCTTCTTGTACCCAGATGGTGTAGATGCGCTGGAAGCAATAGCAACAAACGTGGGATTGGCGGCAAATGCAGATGCACTATCAGATGACATTGAAGGCGCGCCAGTAGCTCCAGCAGGAAGAGATGCACATGCACCTGCGGTCCTCTTGGCAATGTTGATTGAGGTTGCTACATCGGAAACAGCGATAGAGACGGCGGAGAGTCCAGCTGTAATCTCTGCCGCGATCGATACCGCATCGTAAGTGACCACTTGAGATGCGGCTCCGATGACGTCGATAGTATATGTGGGATCAGGTTGCTCGGCGACATACTCGAGATCGATATCTTGGGGAGCAGGGAGACCAGTCACCAGACTGAAGACGCCAGCCAGCAGAATGGAGATTCGCATTGCGAAGACAGCCGTTCACAGATCTGTGAGAGAACCGAGTGATTGATTGTTCCGTCTCAGAGACGTCTGAAGAGCACTATTTATCACCTTCAACAGTATATCAGTAATCCCAGTCCAACTTGAACCTCACACATCACATCACGCTCGAACACGAGCTCAGCTTAACAGTTAAGTGGCCCGTCTCTAGCATCAGCTCAGGCGCTTTCTTGCTTTCTCAATCGGCGTCGCCGTGAAGCCTCGTGCTGGCTAGAGGAGAATATGTGAGTCGAAGGCCTTGCACGCTGAGCGAAATGAGCCTTGTCACGAATGTTCAGCTCTTGTATTCTGTTAAAGCTAAATTGAGCAAGCGCGAAAGGGCTCATCGATTAGCCGAGGCCAGCAGTTGATTCCAAATGAGATAATCGAGACAAGGCGCACCGAGTAGAGAATGGTCGTTTCGTGGTTGTTCAGCCCCCGTGTTCCGTTGAAGCTAAATTCACAAAGCTATCCCACACGTTGCATAGAGAGACAAACATCACGTTTAGTTTCAACGGCGGTCATCACGTTCTAGAACATTGGGATGTTTTCTAGGGTGCTGTATCCCAGGCATCTTGCTGAGATTTTTCCAGAAGGTGCAGAGTCGCTCGTTCTTGCTTCCTCCCCTGTTTCTTTGTAAACCACTCTTCCCACGATATTCATGATGGTTTGGTTTACCCTATTTGTCGCTGCCTCGCTCCTGCGTCTAGCACATTGCTCAGATCCCAATGACCAGGCTGCTGCTCTTCCAACATCTCGTACATTTCTCCCAGCTCGCGACTGGACAATAAACCACAGGGAATTCTCTCAACTCGATACGACTACCACAGCGACCCTGATGTTCATGGAGGAACCCTCTTCTTCTATGGCAATGTCAACAACGATGGACATGATATACCAGACTCTGATACTCGAAAACTCCGCCTACGTTAATCGAGTCGTTTGTTCATCATCCTCATCATCTTCCCCCACGATGACGAACATCGAAGTCTCCTTCCGGAATGAACATGCTTTCGAGCGATCGTCGCACTGGCCCGAGGAATCAATCGTGCTCATCACGAATAGCAAGACTTGCAACCCGAGGGCTGAACGGGGAGTGTTCTTGACCAAGAAGAGTGTTTACGACGCTGAGTCGCTCTGTGTACGTTTCGAAGCTCTCGCAGTGACCTGGACGGATGTCGCCAACACGATGGCAATCAGTTACCTCGAGCTAGAGCAGAAAGACTCGGTCATGAAGATTCAGACATGAGACCCGCTAGCTTGACTCTGCGCGACGTAAAGGTATTCAAGAGACCCCTGTAGGTTCCTGGAAGCATGGGAGGAAGATGGTATTTGCATATGCGGATAAGGCCATGGTTGATACATGAGCAGTATGAGCATGCAGTCAATCTCAACCAGACGTATTACTGTTGCCGAAGTGTGTTTGATCCTGCCAAGCAATGGGTCGTTGCCATTCCTTGAACCTTAGAAACTCAGAAGGCTCCCACTTTTGCGTTATGCACAGGCCGTAACCGTAAGCGAGTTGTCCCTGCCGTAGAGAAGGCAATGGAACAGAGAGAAGCAAAGAGGGAATCTCGAGCCCGGTGTCAAACTAACGCACTGTCCCAGCCATCTTGTATAATCCATAGCGCAGCCTGTCTGTTATGCGCAGAGAAAGCTAGAGTAATTTGGCCCAAGTCACGGTGTCTCGGGGGGCAATGAAGCTCCTCTCGCGATGAGACAAAGGCCGCGAGATTGGTAGGCGACGATGGTTCTGAGCTAGCAGCACCCGGGGAGCGCTTGGCCTGGTATCAGGCGCAAATATAGACTCCGCTGTTGGCGACAGAGCTGGCGGAAGACAGTGGTATGAAGACAGCCCTGGCAGAGGGTACTGAGACACTGAGGGTGCACAGCTCATCGTTATTTGGCAGTCTAGAAAAGGTCTATTTACGAAGGGCTGACTGACTTCCTTCGGTGGCTAGTGCACCTGACCAAAAAAAAGCAGCTCTCCGAACATTGGAGACTACAGATCACACAAGCTGAACAGCATCTGCTTCAATTGTTCGATTTTTGGAAACTGATCAAGATGACGCGCCGTAACGCGTTTTTGTAACAAGTTCCAGAAGGGAGAATTCCAGGGCTTGCTCAAGCGTCTTCCGTTCCTTCGGTGCACGGACATCGTATGGCAAGTCTCATAGTAAAGTTCTATGAGATACCCTTGCACCTCTTGACAAACCGTACGCCTCAGCTCTCCACTGGCGGCGCATAGGATGTCGCTGCCCCAAATCATGTTCATGATAGATCCGAGAGAAACCACAGGGTCAGGCGGCGCAAGAGCCTAGACCCTGATTGCAGATTTGGGCACGCACTCTCGAAGTCTAAATCGTCTGCCGGGATCTCTGAAATCTCTGGCGGAAGCTTCACATCCTGAAAAGAGGTTGTGCAAGCGATCAAGGACGGTAGTCACTATCGAGGACTGTAGTCACTCTGAGCTTGATGAAGAAAGCCAGTGTGGGATATGGTCGGTCATGACTGCCGTTGCTCCGTTCGCTGTGTCGTACCTGGGTGAGGTGGACAAGAGCTTAGCACGTTTCTGCTTCAGGCAGGCTTCTAGTCGCTTGAGGGTTGTTGCTAGGGAAAGGAGAGGAGAATCAAAAAGATCATGGAAATAACATAGAGATAGGGCATAAGCTTCCCAGAGGATAGCGGAGTGGAAGGACAAGTTCATCAATTCGTGGTAGGCATGTAGAGGTTGGCATTCACGGATCTGCCTCAGCTGATGGTCCCACAGCGTTGCTTTCCTTGTCCGGTCCTGCTCCCAGCTCCTGACCCAGACCGCTCAGGAAATCATCCGCTTCCCTCAGGCCTCGCTTCTCTCTGATGGCATTCCTGCGTCTTTCAACCTCTTCTTTGCGATCTTGAAGCCTCTTCTCACGCTCGGCACGGACTCTTTCCGTCTCTGCTCTTTCCATGTCCAAATTCTCAAACTGTCTCTTGCGCTCCTGGTCATCAAGACTGAATTGCATGAAGCCAACACCCTTCTGTCGAATCTCCTTGGAAGCATCGAAGTGGGTATTGGGTGGTGGGGTGAGTGACCTGTCGCGCTTGGCGGCCAGATCTGCCATCTGTTGGGCGACAGGTTCGTCTGGATTGAAGGCAGCGACCTGTACTGTGTCGCCGACAATGAGATTGGTGGGCATGTCTGGTCGTGAGCGCAAAGCGGCTTCTGAGCCAAGTTGAGCGAGTCGCTGTTCACGGGCACGTTGAGCAGCGGTGCCTGTCCGCGTACGGCCAAACTCGTCCTCCCACTCAACCACCTCCTTGTCGCTGTCTGAGTCGTCGTCGGAAGAGGACTGGTCGGAGGCTTGTTTGTTCTGTTGGTCGGCCCACTTGCGATCAAAATCTACCAGATGAGTGTCGTTCTCGTCGCCGACGTCGCCTCGCTTCATTGCGGCATACAGTCGAGCCTTCTCTTCCATCTTCCGCTTTGAGCGGTGCCATGCCGAGGAATCTAGGGCTTCGGAAGAGGTGCTGTGTTTCTGATCGAAGGCTGGAGAGTCATCTTCGAGGTCTCTTGCAGCTCGCTTCTTGACGTTGCGATTGTGAGCGGCAAAGATGTCTTCTTTTTTTGGACGCGACCGCGAGGTGGTCTGACGGGAATTGTTTGCGGCGGAACTTGGGCGGGCGTTGATCAGGGTCTCCAGCTGCGAAGTGAAGGCGAGGGTGTTTGAGGAATTGATCTCACGCGACGACTTTTGCTTCTTTGTCGTCTTGGGCGCTCCATACAAGGGCGCGTCTTTGGCTGATGTGTTTCGATGCGACATTCTGACGAGTTACAGAAGATATTGATTTGAAGATGACGCTGCTGTCGCGCCTTGGCCCTTGGGTGTGGGGTCAAGAAGGTTCAGACGGTGTGCAGCGCGTCAACCGTCGAGGCTGCCGCTCCGAGACCGCTGCAGGCACAGGAAGTCGCTCCTTCCCAAATGATTCTCGACAGACTGCACCTTCCAATCCATCACGAATCAGACCCCGTCGAATACGTAATTCGTCCTCTGTCCGACATGCCCACTCCTCGTCAAGTCTACGTCGCCGTCATTGGTATCACCCGCCCCCAATCCAATCTGCCCCTCCACCCCACCATCAATTCCTTCCCACTCACTAATTCCCTACAGGCGTCGGCGGTGTTGGAAAATGCTTCCTGAACCAATTCCAGGCCCTGAGGACGCGCATGTCCCAGGCCAGGACTCCCACCTACCTTGACCTCATCTTTGTCTCCCGTTCGTCCAAGGTTCTCTTCAGCGAGAGCTTCCGCCCTTTGAACCTGGACACAATCGAAGCCGACCTCAACAACAGCAAGCAACCCATCCTCGAAGCTTCTGCTCTGGTCGAGTACCTCTCTACCGCTCCCGAGAAGGTCATCCTCGTCGACAACACCAGCTCGCTCGACATCGCACGACAATACCCTGCCTTCCTGCGCAAGGGCATTAGCATCGTCACTCCTAACAAGAAGGGCTTCTCTGACAGCTTCGAACTATGGGAGGACATGTTCGCTGCTGCCTCCAACGGTACCGGAAACGGTGGCTATCTCTTCCACGAGAGCACTGTCGGTGCTGGTCTTCCCGTCCTCTCCACCCTGAAAGAGCTTGTCGAGACTGGTGACGAGGTTACAAAGATTGAGGGTGTCTTCTCTGGCACAATGAGCTTCTTGTTCAACAGCTTCATGCCCGTTGGTGGTGGTGGTGGCTCATTCGCCGCCGAGGTCAAAAAGGCAAAGGATCTAGGATACACCGAGCCTGACCCAAGAGATGACTTGAACGGTCTTGATGTTGCTCGCAAGTTGACTATTCTCGCTCGTCTTGCCGGACTCAAGATCCAGAACCCCACCAGCTTCCCTGTCCAAAGCTTGATCCCCAAGGAGCTGGAATCGTGCACCAGCGGCGACGACTTCATGGCTCGCTTGCCCGAGTTTGACGACCAGATGGAGAGGCTGAAGCAAGAGGCTGCCAGCGAGGGCAAGGTTGTCCGTTTTGTGGGCAGCATTGATGTTGCTAGCCAGAACGTCAAGGTCGGTCTTGAAAAGTTCGACGCAAGCCACCCTATTGCCGCTCTCAAGGGCAGCGACAACATCATCAACTTCTACACCAAGAGATACGGATCCAACCCCCTCATCATCCAAGGCGCTGGCGCTGGTGGTGAAGTGACTGCTATGGGTGTTACTGGTGATGTCCTCAAAGTCCTGCGTTCGCTCAACTGACGCCAGGTGAAGTCTGAGCTCTAGATTAAACGCAGACATGAAGATGCATGGAAGTCAAAAAGTTTTGATCTAACTACATGGATGGTCTCTTGGCCTAGCAGGAATCATGCTTGTGGCTTTTGTTTGATCAATGTCGAGTCGTGATATTTGTATACCAGTATTGCATGACTCGTTTGATGACGTAGCGTGTGAAGGCAGCAATGCGCGCATCACCGTCACTTCCCATTTCGGAAGGTCTATTCATGCGATTTCACATTTTGATTCTCCTTTTGGTCCTCATTTCAGCAGCTACCTGTGTTGTTTCCCTACCGTCTGCTCCTGCTGCGGTCTGTATTCGCTCGTCCCCGCCTCTCTTCCTCCCTTCTGCAAGACTCCCGGCGCAACCATGGACGACTCGGCAGTGAAGCAAGAGCAGCCGGACACACACACCGACATCGACCAAGATGCCACCGTCGCGGATGCACCTCTGCCAGACCAAAAGCTAGATATGGATCCCTCAGCCAGCAACTCCGAGCATGCCGAGAAGCCCTACGACGAAGACGCCGACGAAGCCACCCGTATCGCCTCCCTCGCAGCCGGCATCCGCGACCAAGACGATCTAGAACGAGACATTGGCCGTCAAGCCGACGCCCTCCTCGTCGAGCAAGCAGACGAGCGCGACAACAAACGTCTCGAACGCACTCTCGCCGACAAAGCCCGTCTCGATGGCCAGATTCACCGACTAGAGAAGAAGTTGACCGAGTTCGGCAATCAAGCGACCAAGAACAAGTACCGTGCTGAGATTGCGAATTACAAGGTCCAGGTTGGAGGGTTGCAGACGGACCTTGATCAGATCCAGAAGAGAATCGACGACCGCAAGAATGAAGCTGCTACGGCTGGTGACACGCTGTTGGGAGAGGCTGGAAATCAAAAGTTGCCTGGTGAGAGCCAGAGAGACTTTTTGATCAGGACGGGAAAGATTACGCCATTCTCCAAGATGGGCAGGCAGCTACTCAGGACATCGTCAAGTCTTGCCGAAGTCATGTTCCATGCTGAAGAGGAAGAGGATGAAGATGTGGCAGAGCAAGAAGTTCAAGCAGATGCCCAACGTTCACATCGCAATCTGAGGATGCCTGGTTTCGCCGAGGAGGAACAGAGTGCGCCCGAAGAGGATGACTTTCCAGAGGAGAGACCCAGCAAGAGACGAAGGGTACAATCAAAAGGCAAGAGCACAGCAAAAGAGGACGAAGACGTGGATTTGGAGTCTGCTCAAGAAGAGGAAGAGGATGAATACATACCAGACCTGGACGACAAGGGGCTCGCTGCTGTGGGAGAGTCGAACGACGAGGAAGAGCCAGAAGATGAGGATGTGGATGGTGATTTCTCCTTGGGAACTTCTGGTACAAGGAAACGAAAGAGCGGCGCAAAGAAGATCACCAAGAAAGAGCAGCAAGCAGCTCAGGCTCAGGAAGATCTTGCCGGCATCGATGATGGCAACGAGAAGGTATATCAAGATCGACTACAAAGCTGGATCAGAAGACGAAGCGCTGCACGCCGGAAACATCAAGTAACAGCAAAGCCTGGACGAGAAGGGGCCGAAGTCGACTTGGATCAGGATGACGATAAAGAAAATCCGACCAGAGATGGAGAAGAAGAATGGCACCTACCACATCCAACACAGACAGATGCCGAGTTCGAAGGCGGCTACCGGATACCGGGCGACATCTACCCTTCACTCTTCGACTATCAGAAAACTGGTGTGCAATGGCTCTGGGAACTCTACTCGCAACAAGTTGGTGGCATCATCGGAGACGAGATGGGTCTTGGCAAGACTATCCAGATCATCTCCTTTATTGCCGGTTTGCACTACTCGAAGAAGGTTACCAAGCCTATTCTGATCGTGTGCCCTGCAACTGTTATGAAACAGTGGGTGAATGAGTTCCATCGTTGGTGGCCACCGTTACGAGTGTCTATTCTGCACACTTCCGGAAGCGGTATGCTGGACGTGAGACGCGAAGACAGGCTCGAGGATGATCTGGACAACTTCGACTTTGATGGCAACATAGTCAAGCCTGCGAAGGGCAACAAGTCTGCCAAGCGGATCGTGGACAGAGTACAACGCGATGGCCATGTTCTGGTCACGACATACTCCGGTCTGCAGACCTATGCGGAGCAGCTCATCCCCATGGAGTGGGAGTACTGTGTGCTGGATGAAGGTCACAAGATCAGAAATCCAAACACAGCAATCACAATCTACAGCAAGGAGATTCGCACACACAACCGCATCATTCTCTCCGGTACACCCATGCAAAACAACCTGACCGAACTCTGGTCTCTTTTTGATTTCGTCTTCCCAATGAGACTCGGTACTCTTGTCAGCTTTAAACAACAATTCGAAACTCCCATCAAGCAAGGCGGTTATGCGAATGCATCTAATTTGCAAGTCGAAACTGCCATGAAGTGCGCAGAAACTCTCAAAGACACAATCAGTCCATACCTTCTCCAACGATTTAAGGTGGATGTGGCATCTGATCTGCCCAAGAAGAGCGAGCGAGTCTTGTTCTGTAAGCTTACCAAGCCTCAACGTGACGCCTACGAGTTTTTCCTGCAATCGGGTGACATGACGGCCATCTTGAATGGTAAGCGACAAGCACTCTTCGGTATCGACATCCTTCGCAAAATCTGCAATCACCCTGATTTGACCGAACACAAGACTTTATCGCTGAAGGCAGACTACAATTATGGCAATGCAAACAAGTCTGGAAAAATGCAAGTCGTCAAGGCACTTCTCGAGATTTGGAAGAAGAATGGTCACAAGACATTGCTGTTTGCTCAACACCGCATCATGCTTGATATTCTCGAAAGATTCATCAGAGAAATGGGAGGCATCAACTATCTCCGCATGGATGGCAACACGTCCATCAAAGACAGACAAACTCTCGTTGACAAGTTCAACAAGAATTCGGACTTGCATGTCTTTCTGCTTACTACGAAAGTCGGAGGCTTGGGTGTGAATCTCACAGGCGCAGATCGAGTCATCATCTATGATCCTGACTGGAACCCGTCCACTGATATTCAAGCTCGAGAGCGCGCCTGGCGATTAGGTCAGAAACGTGAGGTTGAGATATATCGCCTCATGACTGCTGGAACCATTGAAGAGAAAATCTACCACAGGCAAATCTTCAAGCAGTTCTTGACCAACAAAATTTTGAGAGATCCGAAACAGAGACAGACGTTTCAACTTAGGGATTTACACGATCTATTCACGTTGGGAGAGGTCACTGCCGATGGTCAGACGGAAACAGGCAGTATCTTCAAAGGCACAGAAGTACAACTCTCAGGCCCAAAAGCCGGAGAAACAGATACGCAGAATGCAAAGCAGGAAGTCGAAGCGACCACAGCAGCCGAAAAAGCAGCAAAAGCAAAAGAAATGTCCTCCATCATCGGCATCTCCCACACCGAAGACTTTGCGACCGGCGAAGAAGAAACCAAACAAAACGACGACGACCCCGAAAACCCTTCCTCGGCAAAAGATGAAAGAATGCTCGGTGCTATTTTCGCCCGGTCTGGTGTCACCTCTGCACTCTCCCACGACGACATAATCGGTGGCAACTCGTCCAAGAAAATCACCGCGGATCCAGAGATTATAGCAAAGGAAGCCAAAAGAGTTGCCGCCATTGCTGCTGCCGAGCTCAGAAAAGCTGGGGAGATTGCAAGACAATTGCCAGCAGGGAGTGTGAGTTGGACAGGTACCTTCGGGACTGCTGGACGTCCTGAAGCTCCACCTCGCCGTGGTGGGTTTGCAACTTCAAGAGGTAGAGGAGGGAGTAGTCGAGGAGGGCCTAGCAGTACATCTGTACTCTCCCATCTCAGTGCACGTCAAGGCATTACACCTTCTCGACTCAATCCCTCCACCACACCCTCATCCTCCACCTCCCGTGCCGCTACACCCTCATCCTCTGCAGCGTTAGCAACACCTCAACCCAAGGGCAAAGAATTCCTCACTTTGATTAGAGATTACCTTGTCGCTCATGGAGGAAAAGTGTATACTCAAAATTTGATTGATCATTTCAATAGGTATTGTGGGAGTGGACAGAGGACTGCAGAGTTCAAGGAGATGTTGAAGGTTATTGCGGTTTTGGAGAAAGGGTCGAGGGGTAGGGGGAAATGGGTGCTTAGGGAGGAGTATAGGAAAGGTGTTTGATGGGGAGGAGATTTGGGAATCTGGGCACCGTAGGTAAGGAGGGCTCAAGGGATACGAGCGTTCGGAGGGGAGGGAGGAGAGAGAGGTAATAGTTATGGATGAATCATGAAGATGACGGAGAGAAGCCTCGACGAGCAAGCCTGGAAGAAGAAAAACAAAGCGATTTGCTCAAAACTACGATACCACAGAAACAACAGTTCGAATCCATTCCCAGCCGCTCAAGCGAACATCAAAAAACATCTTGAGGAGTAACGCCTCACACCCTCATCCCTCCTCCTCCTCCTCCTCCTCCTCTCCCTCATCTCTCCCCACTCCTTCTCCGCCTTCTCCACTCCTTCTCCTTTTCCTTCCATCATCGCAGTTTCCATTCAATTGTTGGGGTTTCAAAACCACTCTCGGGCAGCTTTTCTGCACTGATATTAGTGGGCGAAAAAGGCTTAAAAACAGAGGTTGATTTTCCCTCCCAGGCCCAGAAAAGGGTAGAGCTGTGCCGCTATCCTCCTTCCCAGACATAGCCTCGATTTCTTGGGGTTATCCTGTCTTCCGTCTTACATCTACAAGATCACCTCTACCGAGATCATAAAAATCCTTTTTCCCATCTATTTCTTCATTACATCAGCCAACGATATGGGGCTATGGAAAGGCAAAGTTCTTCTCGAGTACTGACATACGTTCAACAAGTGGCTGCTCAACGGAGACAAAGATTCAGCTGACAAGGAAGGCGCGTTGTTGAAGCGGCCCATCTCCATCAAGCTCTCTCCTAACTGGCGTTCGCTTCCGTGAAGGAAATGCTCCTCTTCACACCTCCAAGATGAACACGACTACGATCATGAGAATTGGCAGCAGTCACGGTTCCCAAGATGCTCCATGTGCCCGCTTTCTTTGCTGCTTCTTGTTCAACGTGAGCTGTGAACCCCGCCCTCAAGTCTTGAAACGACGGAGGCGCAATCCTTCCTTGATAGAAACAATCTCACTAAGCCTAGTGGCACCGACGATGATCGTTGACAGAAATAATCTCATTGAGCCTGGCGGAACCGACGACAAGGAGCTGCTCCACAGCGACGGCCACGCTGCTGTGACCCTCAGACCAGAAGTAGAGCTCAGAGTCGGTAAAGATCATGGCACCGTAGGTAGCTCTACCGCCGATCTCGTTGCAAGTGACAAGGATTTTGGGTCCCTTCTCATCAGGGTGAGTGATAGAAAAGTTGTCTGGGCATATGTCAGATTCAAGTACGCCATCATCGATTCTTCAAGACACATATTAAGGATCTGAGCCTTAAGCTCTGAGAAGGTAGGACTGCATGTCAGTGAAAGCGAGATTCTGCTTGTCTTGTGAGTGAAAGAAGTATCGCGTTGGAAATGATAGTCACTTCCAACCCAGTCTTTCAGAGACAAGCTTCCTGGTACTTACTACCATTGTACCCTTGACATGTAAATGTGCAGGATAATCATCAAACCAAAAATAAGCTTTTATCTGATTGATGCCGCTCGGCGTTATGAGACCTACACTAAGGGCAAATGACTCGCACAGACTCCCTCACAATTCTTGCTTTAAGCATGCTCATTCAGTCCTCGGATGTTGTGATAAAGCCATGAAGGGAATCGCGTTGTCATCTGGCAGAGCAACATTTCCTTGTGTTGATCTAGTAGCAAACTCGGATTCGAAGTTACGGCTTTGAGTCTTATAGTGTGGTAACAATCGACCGGACACTGATACGAAAAAGATGACTGATTCCTTCTCTGGTGGGATTGTGAGCGATGCCAAAGCCAGTCCGCGCGGGTCAACGCGACCGAAGCCTAAGGGCGCTCTTCTCATTCCAGATTTAGTCTCCCTCTGCCGATGGTGGTCGTGATGTACCGAAGCAGTGTTACGGACGTCACCCAGATCATTGGTATGTACTTTCGTCTAGTTGAAAGTCCTCGAGATCAAAGTCAAACGCACTGGGATAGCTCAAAGTTACGTCGTTAAACATGAGGAAATCGTTGTCGAGATGAGTCTGAGCATCAGTGATCCCAGGTGATTCACGATTCATCCGAGCCGTAATTATGTCAGTCATGTCTGTACAATTTGCCAGGCAATCGTCTGCTAGATCCCAAGCTTCATTATTGCGATGAGTTTGGAGACCTGCTATCATGTCTTTGGCCAGTTTGAGCGATGTATTACTGGTCCTGTTGGTAACTTTCAGCGCGTCTCTTAGCAGGAACAAGGTCGCCGAAGTAAGAGTGAAGCCGTTCGTCGGCATCCAAAAACCCCTGAGGTGAGGACGTTGCAGTTCCTGCACATGCAACACTATCTCCTCGGCGACTCTCTGCGTTTGAATGCGAGCTTGAACAACGCTCTCATGGTCTGGTGGCAGATTGGTCGCATCGCGCAAGATACGGCGGAGTAAAAGCTTGACTGCGAGGTAGGAAAGTCTGAGGTTGCCTGCTCCCGCACGACCGAGATCGTTTCCTCGAATCACAAGTCGACGTATGTCATCTGGCAAAGTATCTTCCCAATCTAGCAGGAGCGATTCGAGATTGAAGGGCGATGTTGGTGACCGATCATTGGCAGCAGATCTTGAAATTCGGTACATGTGCTCGAGATACTGCGACAAGACATCTGTGAGTGTCAAGAGGGCGGTGAAAACAGACAGACCAGCGAGCTGTATACTCGATACAGGATAGTATGCGAGCAACTCTGTGCTTGGTACAGGGACATCGTATTGGGTGCGGTGGACTAATAGTGGTGTGCCATAGGCGAGACTTGTCCTGCGATCGAATCAGTATCGCACATCAGTATGGTCATTCATTTTATCACGTACCATCGGTCCATAAGCACAACGGTCGACCAAATTCGGGAGCGCAAAGCTTTTTCTCCAGGACTGATATCCCACGCTGAACAATCCCGATTGAGACCCAGAGAGTTTGAAAGGGCCACAGCCGTTCCCACCATCCCTCCGTTGCCAAACATGGAAGTGCTTGGTCTACCATGGACGTTCAGTATGATAGATATGACAGTTGAGATACCAGGAGATAGAAAAAGCTCCGAGTGGAGGGCCTCATTGGCTTGCACCCATAGGTAGCGGTGGTCTGGGGAATGGCAGGGGCGCAGTCGTGGTGAGTTGTTCCAATAAGTCATTGCATTTGCATACAGATTGGCTAGCAGAGCGGCAGAGAGCCGATCTTTGTGCTCAGAGTACGTACGTCGAAATGAGATCTCATCTAGTATGGGAAAGCAAACATTGGCGTGTTCAAAGAACCTAAGTCTTGTTAGCGTTTTGTCTTGTTTCTGCAAAGCATGAAAGACCTGCAGATCAACCAAGTCCACCAAGTGTGGCTCGAGCAGCTTCTCGATTACTTCGAGCTTGCCATCGGCTACAGATTGCCTAGCCTGGATGCCGAGCGGTTTCCTCAGAACAGTGTTGAACAGGACATGTCTCGAAGGTGAGCCCATACTTGCGTTGGTCGACGAAGCTCGTGTGATCTTGCGGATCCCAACAGCCGAACCATTTGAAAGATAGCTATCGAGCTCTTGGTTATCGTCGACCATCGCAGGACTGATAATATGCGGACTGGAGTCGCCCGATGCTGCGAGCATGGCACTCATACTGGCTTCCTCACTCGGTCGAGATACGGTTGAAGAGCGCTGACTAGCTGGGTCTACCAGTGCTACTGGAATTCGCTGATGAGCCCGATCTTGGAGCAAAGCAGTGTCGGAAACATGAGTTGGCTGAGAGATTGACAGCGACGTAGAATAATCGGGTTGGTCGATATTGTTCTCAGTGTCATCCGCATGGCCTATAGCACGACCTCGCGGAGGAGGCACCTTTCGTCGCCGTGTCTGATCGTCGTCGACAAAGACACATGGTGAACCATGGACTTGACACATCAAACACGCAGCAGAAGATTCCGTTGTTGTACAACGAGACTTACGGCGACGACAGGCATGGCAGGCGGGTTTAAGATGTGAGCGATAGGGCCTGCCTTGGTTTGACGTTTGCATGACAGCTTTTCAGTAGATTGACAGTCACAACAAAAGAAAGGGTCAAATATGGCCGACCCTCAACCCGCCGCGACTTTCAACTTGCGGCCTCGGGGCGGGCTTCGCAAAACCCCACACCTGGACAATCTATTCAAGAGGACACTCTCTCCATTCAGGGCCTTCGCACGTTCTTCCACCTGCCTATCTCTATAGACCGTTGCTGTTATCGTACACGCGCAACAATCGTATCATTCTATCCCCGCGTCAGAGAATGTAGCCTGAGTAGCAGCACTCCGATAGGCAAAGTGTCGACTTTTCCGCGCCCAAGTTTCCCGCGGGAAACCGATCAACCCCGCGGCGATTGCACAGCTTCCAATTCCGATGGTTTAAGTAATATGTGAGCCGATCCTCCATTTGATACTGTTCAAATCTCCTGGCAACTACTACTCTCTCCAATCATTTATTTACTGCTGCTCCAGAATGATCTCCAAGACCGAATCGTCTGCCGAAAGCACATTCTGGGACAATGCCAACAAGCATCTCATGCATACTGGTGTTCCGTTCTCACCAGTCATCATCACCAAGGCCCAAGGCACAAGACTCTACGATGCGGATGGTAGATCGATCCTAGATTTTACCTCTGGTCAGATGAGTTCTCTTCTTGGACACTCTCATCCCGAAATTGTCGAAGTCGTCCGAAGTTATGTCGGCGAGCTCGATCATCTGCTCAGTAACATGGTTACTCAGCCAGTTGTCAATCTAGCTGTACGCTTGGCCAGTTTGCTTCCTGCACCTCTGGAGAAATCTTTCTTCCTCAATACAGGCTCTGAGTCGACCGAGGCCGCCATCAAGATCGCAAAATGCTACACGGGAAAATTCGAGATTGTTGCTTTCACGGCTAGCTACCATGGACTTACTTCAGGAGCTGGATCTGCCACATATTCAGCAGGACGCAAATTTGGCGGACCGGCAATGCCTGGTCAACTAGCGTTTCCCGCACCATACCCTTACCGCTCACCATTCAAGAAAGCCGATGGGTCTTATGATTGGGAGACTGAAATGGACTTTGGCTGGGCAATGATCGACCGGCAAAGCGTTGGATCTTTGGCTGCATTCATCATGGAGCCAATACTCTCCACCGGTGGTATCCTGGACCCTCCCATCGGGTATCTTAAGCGTATGGCTGAAGAATGCAAGAAGAGAGACATGCTCCTTATCATGGATGAAGCGCAAACCGGTGTCGGACGTACTGGACAGATGTTCGCCTTCCAGAGAGATGGTATTGTGCCAGACATTCTAGCACTCTCCAAAACGCTAGGTTGTGGCCTGCCCCTAGCGTCTGTGACGACTACAGCCGAGATCGAGAGGAAGTGTCGCGAGGCACACTTCTTGTGGCTCACCACACATTTGAACGACCCTCTCACAGCAGCAGTCGGGGATAAAGTTCTCGAGATTGTGGTGCGCGATAACATTTGTGAACGCGCTCGCGAGAGGGGCAATCAACTTCGGGCAGGTCTTGAGGAGCTCAAGAAGAAGTACTGGTGTATCGGAGATGTCCGAGGACGTGGCCTCTTCCAAGGCATCGAAATCATCTCAGATCCCGAGACCAAGGCGCCTGGTCTCGATATCGGCCAAGCAGTATCTGACATGGCCATGGCTCTCGGTCTCTCATGTAACATTGTGAACCTTCCTGGCATGGGTGGTGTCTTCAGATTAGCACCACCCGTCACTGTATCTAGCGATGAGATCAAGGAGGGTCTGCAGATTCTCGATGACGCATTTGGTAAGGTCTTGAAGTCACATCGTAAAATGACTGGCGACCACGAGCAACCTGCTCTTCCACTGTAAACAATCAATATCACATCTTGCATTTCTTACTGTAGCTTTCGCGTTGGAGCAGGAATGAACTCGCTTGTGAATGACTTCGGGCCGCAGCAGCCTGAAGATGGTATATATCATCCCTGAGATTGACTAAAGCGGCGGCGGCGTGCTACCTGTCCAGGATTCAAGATATTCCAGGAGGTACTGGATGTCGGATGAGTGGTCGTGTATGAGAATTTGGTCTGAGTCGTGGCCATCAACGTCGTCGATCGAGGACCATGAACAGCAAGCGCAGATTGTGAGCGGCGTTTGAGCTTGGACCTTCGCGATGACGGACGCTCGGCGCGCAGTAATTATACGGAGTATACCAATGAGATGACAAGTCCGTGCATACCTCCTGTGGTGATGCGATAATGCACCTCCCTCTTGCCCTTTACGCGTTGTGAGCGCACGGAAGACCTACAGGATCCCCGGCGAGTCCTACACGGATGGCGTGAAGTGGTCACACGTGGACGCGTGAACTGTCAATAGACACCTTGCCCTGCCGTTTTCCACCTTCATTTTAAACCTTTGACTTGCCGCATTGGGAAGGTAACGGCGCGAAGGTGTACACTGGTTTTCCACCTTGTGAACAGGCCTAATGCGTAAGGTGATCGGCGTGGTGCGGCAGTATTATAAGTAGTACTCCACTGATCTACTGCCGAGCCGCTACGAACCTTAGGCCCAATGCGGCAGGTGTACAAAGTAGCAAGGAGGAAAAAGAAAGGTGGAAAATGAGAGGGCAAGGTGTATAATGACTGGATGAAGCTCTCTGCAAGTGTCGCTGTTTAATGGCGTGTTTAACCGATAGGAAAGCTGATCTCGGCCTAGCGAGGCAAGTCGCACCTTCGAAACGTGGATGCTCAGCTCAAAGTCTGAATAAGCTTTCGAGATACGGCCGTAGCAGGCAAGCATCACGATTTCTGGGACTGTCATGTGGAAATGCCGTCACAGTCTTGCGTACTCTTCGACCGATATGTCCTGAATCCTTCCGAGATGGAACGGTTCATAGTCCCGCTCAAGCCTGCGCTGTCAAAAACGAAGTGACATGGAGAGCGTCCAGGGCGCAGTGAGAAACTGCTGAGAAAGACGATGAAGGTCACACGCCGCTTGGCGTACTGCAGTGCTACATTCATCCTCCTGATCATCACCTTCATCTATACGAGCACATTCACACAGTTTCGAAATCTCATCCCGACGTGGCAATACCGTGAGCAGCAGGACCAGGCTAAGGCCTCACTACACGTGGCGACTGTGGTTGCATCTCAGGCGACAGATGACACCGAATGGCTTGCTGCATTCTTCCCGTCCTGGGGCCACAACATCTATCCTGTCGGGAACCATACGAAAGGACATGAGGCAATGGTATACCTCACCTACGTCATTGACAACTACCACTTGTTACCGGATATTGTCATCTTCTTGCACGCAGCTCGCTACCAATGGCACAACGATGATCCATTATACGACAATGCTCGAGCCTTGTCCAGGCTGCAGTTATTGTATATCCAGAAGCAGGGATACGTGAATCTGAGGTGCGCGTGGAGACCAGGTTGTCCGTCTGAGATACGACCTCACGAGGCTTCCGTCGGAGCCTTGTCGGACAAATTCGGCATGCGGACAGGCCCGTTCTTTGCAGGTGCTTTCAGGGAACTCCTCCCTGAACTTACGGTACCAGAAGATGTCGGTGTCGGTTGCTGTGCGCAATACGCTGTCTCAAGACAGCAAGTCCTGAAGCGGCCGTTGGAAGATTACGAGAGGTTTCGACGATGGCTGGCGGAGACGGAGCTGGAGAGCAGCATCAGTGGAAGAATATTTGAGTATATGTGGCACGGTAGGATCACTTTCCACCTTCTGCACAAGGAAACAGGCTAAGCTGACCATGACCATCAGTCTTGTATGGTAAAAAAGCTGTCCATTGTCCTAAGGCAAGAGACTGCTACTGCCGGACCTACGGACTCTGTGACCTCGAATGCCACGAACCTGGAGCTTGCGATTCACATCCGTTTCCTAAGTCTTCTATGTTGCCGGCAGGTTGGCCATGGTACGGCTGGCAAGGAGAGTGGCAGAATGCCACAGGTTTGTGACTCATGTCAGGGAAGACGAGACTATCGAAGAACGACACCTACCTGGAGAGTGTCGTGAGCGCGTCACGGGCCACTTCAGCCGGCCAAGCCCGGAGCATGGCATCATCTGAGAACCTCCGATAAGACCCTTCTGTTCCCACCACTTCGCCACGTTCTAAATCCTACAAGCAACATCTCCTGGTGGCCTGAATCCGGTACAGTCCACGCAACGTACTATGTTCGGCTACGGCAAGATCAGGCCTCTAGCATCTAGTGCTTTCGGTCGTTGTCTGCTGATATGTGCGCTTGATCTAATCTTTCACACTATCTACTGTGTCTAGTCGCCTTGCCTGTCTTCCGTGCTTTTAATTCTCTCTCGGACGTTCCCATACCAAGGATGCATGTACAGGTTGACGGCGTCCAAAGGCCACGAGATAACGTCGACCCTGTTCCCAAGTGATGGACATCGCGGCTCGCACATAGCAGATAGCTGGCGACTGTCATCAAGCCACTGGCCATTCTTGCCATGTATGTGCGCCGTAGGGATGCTGATCTGCCACAGAGAGACAAGTTTGAGATCGTGCGTCCGTCCAGGTAAAATCTGTTTGGGCGAGCTCCGAGCACTCTATCCGCCGCCGGCCAGTGATCTCCCGTGGTCTCGTTCCACATATGAAGACGGCGAAACGGACCGGTGGATTTGAGTTGTTGTAGAGTAGATAGGATGCCGCCAGAGCAGCTCCCTGGCTGAAACCAATGATCCCCTCGAGTGATCCCAACCCGCCTTCGGATTCTGGCTGCAGAACTTCGTCGAGACGCTCGTGTGCCTCAAGCAGAGTCGACAAGGGAGAGCTCGGTGCATAGGAATTCCAATCGTAAAACGAGCAGTATGGCTCAGGATACAGTCTTGCGATACCTGGCTCTTCTTATCAGTTACAGGCAGTCATACCCAGCTCGAGATGTTTATCAGGTGCAGGAATCGCATCGAAATCACCATCTATGAACACGAGGTAACGCGTGATGCTTGCTAACACGCCATCTCAGCATGACTCTCTGTGTGGTAGTTCACAGGGTTGTACCTAGTTGCCGTTCAAGGATCTGTTGCTGGTCTCAGCCATGTAAGTTTGGTTTGTACCCGGGCCGTGACTTACAAGAGCGCTGGTACCTGCTCCATGGAGACAGAGGACTTTCATACTTGCGGTTACACCACTAGTCCACCAAGCTTCTGCAGAAGAAGGATGTTACGTAGCTGTCAACTTGTGTCAAGATCTTGCGTGAGGGCCGTATGGCGATGATGCGACTGCGTGGGTTTCCACCATAGTCGGAGAACTCTCCGAGCCATCGTCGAAAATCCACCGTGGTCCAAAGCACAGCCCGCAGGTTGCTGCGACACGACTTGCACCGATGAATGATGCGTGAAACGAGCAAGGAAGTTTTCAACGCGTCAGTACGTGTTCTATATGTCGTCATTGGTAGATTTTCCAGACGCTGCGAAGATGGGTGACTTCTGGCACGAGTGCATACCGCGTCCTTGACGAAGCATTTCTCGAAACACGTATATGATCGTTACTACTTGTCCAAGTCATGTAACGATAACGAATATCGTCTGACATGGGACTGAACATGCTCTCACTTTGTATGCGCCTTTAGACCAAGTACAGACATCGTGGTGATTGTGTAATGTCGTCGACAGTGTCCACAGCCTTCGTTTATGGTATGACCCTGGCAGAACCCTGGTACACAAGCCCCCGCCATCGTATCCGCAGGATCGGCCTCCAGCGCGGGTCAAGAAACGCATCGATCGCGATGGCATCTGTTGACATCATCGATTGCAACTGCGTTTGCTTTTTCTTTTCGCATTTTCCTTCTCCATCTCCTCCTACTCCTCCCCCATCCTCCCGTGTACAATCACTGATGTCGCCATGGTCCCAGATATTTTTGATGACGCATTTGATCAAGCAATTGATTGCCAATTTCTCGACTAGTGTGGCCAGTCTGCTAGAGAGAACATATGCTACTGCACGATAACATGAGCCAGGACATCAAAAGGCTCGAACTCGAATTAAACAAGACACTACAAGAAGTAATCAACGCTATCAGTTGACAATGAAATCTTTTGTATCAAAAAGAATCATTTTTCCCCCTTCAAATCAGCAGTTTGAACTGTTGGAAGTAAAAAAAAAACCACAATCGTTTCAAAAAAAGAAAAATATCTAACCAAATACTTCCATCATGAAATGATACTCGATAAACGTCTTGTCCTCCCTCCCCCTCGCAGTCAATGCTCTACACCTATCCGCCAATTGATAACCCACAACCGGCGCACCACAAAAGAAAACACCCACTTTAAATCCATCCCTCAACTCTTCACTCTTCTTCTTATCCCCTGGGCACATTTTCTTCTTTTCAGCCAGCAAAGTGCACATGTCCTCGTAATGCGTATCCATAATCATTTTCATATCCGGACGTCCGAAATGCGTAGGATTGATGAGGCCAGTAATCGGAGACTCTGGGTGTTCAGGGGTACGGTGTTTTTCGAGTAGCCAGCGGAATACGTGTGTGGAGATGCCTTTACGTTTTTGGGTCACATGGGTGGTGATGCGGAAATCTATGTTTGTGTGGTGGGCAGTGCGGTCTTGGGATGAGGTGGCGTAGATGTAATTCAAGAGGTCGGAGAACCAGAGGAGGTTATTTCTGTCTCGTACCATCCAGTGGAAGTCTACGCGTTTGTAGGTGGCGAGGTCGTAGGAGGACATGTCTGTGGTGTTTGAGCTTTGTGCTTGGTGGGGTAGTTCGTGCTTTTTTAGTATCGTGGTAGGTTCTTCGGAGATTGGTGTGGAGGCTTCTGTCTTTTCGCCGTCACTGGCGATTTCGGTGGTTTGGCGACTCAGTTGGCGGGAAGTGCGGCGTGAGTCTGCGGCTTTTTGGTATGGAGATGGACGCCATTTTTTGGTGCCGAGACGTTGCTCTTCTCTCATCTGTAAGTCTGTGAGGATACCTGAGAAAGGTGTGACGCCAATGCCAGCGCCGACGATGATGGTCTGGTCGAAGTCGTAGAAGCGTTGGGCGGGAGCTCCGTAAGGTCCGTCGATGCCGATTTTGACCTTGGTGGGTTCTTGAGAAGTACCTAATTTGCGGAGCTTGCCTGTCCAGTTACCATCTGTCTTGATGTGCAGCTGTAGTTCGTTGCCAATGCATGTCGAGATGGTGAAGGGATGCCATTGCCAGCGACTAAGTTCTGGTACCTGCAGCAAGACGTATTGACCAGCGCGGTAGTCAAAGTTGCGAGACGCAGGCATCATAACGGTGATACACACAGTCTCCTTGTCAAGTACCTCCAAGTACGCCGAAAGAGGCGAGAATCCATTGCAAGTCCTGACGATTCGCTCTACCAGGACTAAGAGCACTGGGAATGCCAAAAAGTAGCCCATCATGGGCCATTGAAGGTAGCCGACAGTACCGTGAGCCATGAGGAAAGCGAAGATGGGAAACATCAGCAAGTGTCCAAGCTGGAAGACTTCGTATGATTTACGGCGAACCACAGGCAGACTTGTCGCACCGATGATCCAGAACAAGCCAAAGATGACGAGGCCAGTCCAGCCAGGGAGAGACCTTATCCAAGCAACATAAGGTCGCGGTACCGCACCCGGACCGAGGAAAGCAGCCACTTCATCCTGTTGGGCAGGTCTACTAGCATAAAGCATGCTTCCGGTAAGATGACCAATGGCGTGAAGAGAGGCAAAGACCAATGCGACAATCGACATCTTGATATGGAACGCCTGCGAGAGGTCCCAATTGACGAATCTTGAAATCCAGTAGAAGCGGCGAAGAGCAGTACTCAACCAGCGACACATGGAAAGTACCAAGAAGAACATGGTCGGATACAGCACTCCAGCAGATGTCTTGGCCAGCACAACACCCCAGCCAAAAGTCTCCCGGTAAGGCGATGTTGTGAGGTACTTGACCAGCTGCCAGATACCGAAGGCAAGTTGCATGGAGACAACAATGGCAAGAAAGCCATATTCTGGTCCATGGACTTCCCAGTACGCGCGTGCTCGTCGTGCGTAGGACATTTTCTTGACAAAGTCTGCTTGTTCGTCCTCCTCTTTCTTCTCTTGCTCCATGGATGGAATTTGCCATGACTGTACTATTCGCTTGAATTCAGTGATTGGAACGTGGTTTTCGTTTGTGCCCATGAAGCCTCGTAGGAATTGATGTCGTTTGTCAGAGCGATCCTCATGATGAAGATTGTGTTCTGCCGGCTCGGGTGCTGAACCTAGGTTAGAGACGACTCATCACTTGTATTCGTTGCCCAGCTTACCAATCTCTCGTGTTACTTCGTCTAGTTTCGCCTCTACCTCATAGTATTCGATCAGTCCATCATTATCAGTGTCGAGTTCTTTCAAGAACTGGTCAATCTCCTCATCCGTCAAATACTTGACATTGGGGTCCATAACTCCTTGATCGTCAAGTGCTGCTGTGAAGCCAAGGGTGAACAAGAATACAGCAACTGAGGATAGAAACAGATTCCAGCACAGCGTAGCGTAGCAAAACGACCTTCCTCACAAACAAAGGACGCAGTTGCCCCCATATATGCTGACCATTCCAAGCCCAAAACCCTCGACACCCCAAGACTTACAGTACCACAAAGCACAAACGGTCTCTCACAAGATAATGCCGTAGGCCAAGCTGCCAAAAAACTCGGCGCCCTCTCTCCCATCTTGCTTTCCAACCTTGTGCACAACATCTCGGCGCCAAATCCGCCTGAGCATACACAAGGGCATGGCAACAACAAGAGCTTCTCGCCCTTTGACTTTTTGCAATCGTTTGTCGATCTGAAGAGAAACAGAGACCCTGTCACGCATCGCAACGTGGAGGTGTGAGGTTTGAACCTTTGTGGCTTGGTCTTGGCGGGGTTTGTGTCGTCATAGCCCCTCCGAGACCTCCGGCTTTCACATGGAGGAGTGGTGAGAGAGGACGAGAAACGTTTCGCCAAGTTCTGCTTCCTTTTAGCACGCAATGAACTCTGTTGATCAAGTTTGTGCGATATTGAAAGTGTATGTGTAACATCAGAAATTAGGTATGCAAGTTCAAAGTAAATGCTAATGACGGATTTTCCGACAGTTAAACTCGATGCCCCTTGTCTTGGTTTGCACTGCACTGTTGCTTCTGCAGTAACAACCCGTGTGCAGTGACTACATATGTGGCAGATTTATAAGGTGGTAGACGCGCAAAAGATACAAGTGCCGTTTTTAGACTATACGCAAGCCCATATCCAAAATAATCGAGTACTCGAGATAGGATTGACAACACCATAAGATTCTCCCAAGTTATATAGAACGTACAACAAGTCCTATAAAAGGTAAGAAAGGAAGAAAGCAAACCCCATAAAACGCCACCGCTATGCATACGAGAAAGAAAAAGACGAACCCACATGCCCCAAAACCCCACCACCTTCCTTCCTTTCTGTGCAAACTACCAGAAACTGCACCAACCACCATAATGCTGACACAAATTCTCCAGGTTCGTAGCCTCGGAAAGCAATTTCTCAACTTGCTCCTCAATAGCCAATTCGACATCCTTTTTGAAATCCCGACCCGTGAGCTTTTCCTTGACGCGAGCAAGAACCTGCAATGCTCTAGCATTCTGCACTTCTTTGCCTTCGGTGGGGATTTCTTCGCCGCCGGGGGGTGAACGCTTACGTCCTCCGGGTGTACTTCTCGGTGCAGAGTCAAGTTCACCAATGATGGATGTGCGACGCTCAGATGGGAAAGAAGGCTCGGGTGGTGAGTTTTTGTTGCCAAGGCGCCATGTGAGAAGAGGGTCATGGATAAAGGCTTCGAGCACGGCGATGAGTGACTCTTTGTTCTCGCGAAGGACACGCATAGTATGCTCGCAGGTAGTGCGGAAGCTTCCCTCGATATTAGACACCTCCATTGCGAAAGTGAGCATACGGGTAAGACGGAAGGGCACACGTTCGGGGTATTTCTCGCGGTGCATGGCGACTTCGAAACAGTCACCGAAATCGATATGGATGATTTTGCCGGTGTTGCGGTCGAGCATGAGGTTGGAAGGATGACGATCGCCGAGACCGAGAATGTAGCCGACCATGGACATGACGGCAAGAGAGCGGGTGTAGTTTGTGCGACGCTCAAGCCATGCTTCCGAACTCTTACTCTTCAACCACAGGACGCGATAAAGATCCTGGCCGGTGGTGTTATCTAGAGCATAGCCAAAGACTTCGACCTTCTGCATGAGGGTGAGATTGTCATAGTCGGGTGCCATCTGGAGCATGATACGATGTTCAATGTTGAGGAGGATCTTACGACTCTCACGGTAGTCTCGTATGAGGACATGGAGAGTATCGCTATTAGGCACCCACCCAAGAAGACCTGATTGTGTCGAAAGAGGAATGGCTGCGTAGCGTTGGATATTCAGGTGACGCTTCAGTGACTCTGGATCATGCGATAGCAAAGTGTTGACCAGGCCGAACAGTTGCATGACACGCTCGTCTTGGCGAATATCTTCGTGGCCCTTGAGTAAGTATTGGTAGGTGCCACCGTCGCTGCCAGTCAGGGTAAGTTTCCTTGGTCGTTGCTTGGATTGAATGACTGTCGACGAGGGATCGAACGAGAGAATGCGGATGATCTCCTTGCCACTCTTATATGTTCCAGGCAGAGCAAGCTCGAGATCATGGACGTTCTTGAGCTTGGGCGACACATACTGCAGCTCGAGATTGGCAAGCTGTGGTAATTGTCTAGCGATCCTCTTGAACACGCCGTAGTAAAGATCCCAAGCTTGGTTGAGGTCACCAACTTCGTTCGTACGCTTGAAGTTGTTGCACCAGTCTCTGGCTTCTGCAAGATCACGTCCGAAGCTCTGAATGAATGATATTTCTCTCAAAGTTTCAGGGCCCTCGTCAAGCATGCGGTGAAGTGGCTCAAGAGTACGAAGCATACCATCGATATCGTGGTCACCAAAGTACAATCTTGATGCTTCTTCAAGACCCTCATGCCATTGCTCATGCCAAAGCACGGCAATACGGATCAACTCGTGACTGACCACATCTGCTTGTCTGCAAAGGTTCGGGCTGTGCTGCTCCATGGCAGTCATAATATTCTTTGCAGCCTTTGAACGGTCCCTATCCTCTGACTTGATGGAGACCGTCAAAGGGTATACGAGGGCTTGAGGGTGAGCTCGTCCAACTTCGCACAACAAATGGTGGATCGATTCTTTCACGAGTCTGTTGGGTTGATTGATACGTGCAATCAATTGAGGGATGACTTCGAGCCATGTATCAACGCTGACAGTGGTGACACCTTGGGTGACTGCCGAAGTGACTTCCTGGTGCTCGCCATGATTGAACCACAACGTCAAGAGACGTAGAGTGTCTTGCAATGAACTAGAGGATGATAGTGCGATCGATTTGAAGAAACCCTGTATGGCAGGAACGACATAGTCATGAATGTATCTTCGTTGCATGCCGTCGGCTTCTCCTCTGTCCTTGTTCGCTGTGAGTGCGGTGACGACTTCAAAGTTGGCCAAAGCCCAAGCATGCCATGCCTTGTACCAGTCTTGGTTATAGTGGGTCGCTGCCTTGTAAGAAGATCTTATCTCATGTACTCGGTGAGCGTCCCATTCGCCACGCATTTGCAGAGTAAGCCAGTCACCTTGCTTAAGGTAGCATCTAGCAAGTAGTTTCTGCCAGTCCGCAAGTTGAGCCACATCCTTTTCGGAAATTTGAGGGCTGACTCCAGCTGCTGGAAATTGTGTGCCATTGACACCGTTTGTACCGTTCATGCCATTCATACCGTTAGCGCCAGGATTCGTAACTGCTAGTGTTCTCTGCTCGTGATCGATACGCAGTCTTTCGGTGAAGTCTCTGAGACCAGTCAAAGCACCCGAAGAGTACCCATTCGACCACATGTACTTGTAGACGGCGTATTGTACAGGGTAGGGTGCCTGAAGAGTACGCTCTTGACCTTCAGGGGTCATAAGACTACCTTGCCAGCCAAGCAGAGAGTTCAGTGACTTCTCGGCCAAGCCGTTCCTTTGTGCTTTACGGCAAATGCTTGCAAATTTGATGTACATCTCGGCGTTCTCTGGTGGTGAGATGACCAAGGCACGAACTTTGAGCATACGCTGCCAGACTTCGACGTTCTTTTGGCATCCCTTGAGACGTTTGGTCCAAGTGAGACGCATACGTTCCTGCTTGTGAGGGTCGCTTGAGCTCTGCTTGTATGCAATGATTTCTTCCAGCTCCGCAAGCATCTGTACACGTACAATCACACTGTATGCACGTGTGTACGACTCGCCAAGAAGTGCACTCAGTTCTGTGTCCAGACCCTCTCTGGCCTTATTGATGTGCAGTTGCGCGTCGTCGAATTGGTTGCGATGAATGGAGAGAATGGCACCGAAGAACGATCGATCGGGTGAGTGCAGCTTCATGACAGACAAATATCCGTCCATGAGCTCCCATTGGCCCATTCCCCAAGCAGCGGCAGCGGCCAGAGCGGCGATAGACTTGCGATTTTCTGACGAGGCATGCATCCATTTCTCTTGTGCAAGTGAGGAAAGTACTTCCCACTCACCAAGGGCATGAAGACAGCGCATCTTACCCATGATGACCTCGAATGAGTCCGGTTCGTCACGCTCACGGCGTTGGTATGCAGTAAGAGCTTCTTCCCAGCGCTGCAGTTTCTCAAACCATGTCTCCTTCATCTGGACGTCCACGTAACCCTGCGCCTTACGCAAGATACCGAAGGCGGCATCAGTCTGCTGGAGCTGGTTGTTGATACTGATCAGAGCCTCAACGTTGCTCGCATTTTGCTCGGCATTGAACTCCAGTTCTTTGTAATGCAATGCCTTTGCGAAAGCATGACACTTGCCAGCATACATACCAAGAGTACGGACATCGATGGGTAAAGCCTTGTCATCGTGCTCCATGAATTCTGCTAAGTTGAGTAAGACTTGCAAGATCTCAGGCGGGATGTGCGGTGAGGTAAGAGCGGTCTCGATTGAACGGACCAAAGACTCCTGATAATGGTCGTACAATTCTGTCCAACACGACACAAAGGCAGAGTTGAACAGCTGTCTTGCAAGAGGGGGATAGGAACTGGCCAGTTGCGAGCATGATCTGAGGGCGTTTTGTGGCGACTCCTTGAGCAACTCAAGACTGAAACGTCTCATCCATTCTTGCCAATCCTCTTTGGTCGATTTTGCGTTTGCCGCCCAAGCAATCTTGAGATGCTGCTGGTTGACAGCGAGCTTGCGATTGTCGACACCTCTTTGTACCTCTTCCGAAGCAGAAGTTTTGTATCGCTCGTCTGGACTTAGATCTTGCGGCAAAGGCTCACCTTTTTGCAGCTTGCTGACAATCAAAGCATAATTTGTGTGAGGGACCTTGTGCATGATAAGAATTTTGTTCACAGTTGGGATGAAGTGGATGTAGTCGGGACCAAGCTGGAAGATGAGGGCACAAAGTGTGTCGAGGGCAGTCTGCTTCAGTCCAGTCTCGGAGCCGCCCAAGACTCGCGAGAGAGGGTGGATAATCTTTGCAGCGAACTCGGAGATGTTGACGTGTCTTGAGAGCTTACCGATAGTCTCGATGGCGAGCTTGCGGATGTGAGTAGGTTGACCTGGCTTCTCGAACATGCGAACGATGACGGGAATGATCAGATGCATGTACTCTTCAGCACTCGAACCAAAGATGAGGAAAGCGTGCAATACTCGTTCTGAAGGAAGACGTCTCGGAGTGATATCATGGTCCAGGACGCCCAACATGAGTGGCAGTACGTTTGCAAGGTAGATTTTGAATTCGCCCTCGAGGGACTGAGCAATAGACTCGATAAGGGCAAGCATCGTCGCCTGATAGGGTGAATTGTCTGCCCAGAAGTCTTGTACTGTTGCGAGGATCTCGGGTAGATAAGGTCTAATGTGTTGACGGACGATCTCCACAAGCTCGCTGAGGTTGTTGAAGTACTTCTCAATGTTATTCTGGTGTGACGTGCGAATGACAAGAAGGATGCCTGGGACCACCAGGCCAAGGAAGTTGACACACTTCAGGCGCATGGTCCTGTAGATGCTCATCACAGCCTCGACCACGGCGGCATGGTGTTGCGCCAGTGTAGGCTCCTTGAGCAAATCTAGAAGAGTGTTGATGACAATTGTAGGGTAGTACTCTTCGTTTGAAGGTGTGGTTCCTTGCATAATCAGTCCGACATCAGTGACAGTCTGCGAGTCTGCGACGAGCTGATTCTCGGAAGACTGTTCCATGACCTGATGTCTGTATGGGTCCAGAGCGCCAAGGATACCCATCAGTCGGATGGTCTCCTTGCGCAATTCACCTGGAGGCTCGTTCTTGACCACCTGAACCAGGATTGACAGAAGTTCAGGATGTTCGATGTATGGATCAATCACGTAGCCTGAATTGCTGGCGAGTTGTCCAAGCGTCCTCAGGGCCGCTCGGCGTTTGCTTGCAGAGCTCAAATCCTGAAGACTCTCGATGATAACCTTCATCAACTCTGGGACATACTTGACCATCTCGTCGCCACCCACAGTCGCCAGGTCACCAATGGCCTTCAAAGTGGCAGATGCCACGTCAGGATTGGGATCTTGAGCTTTGGGTAGGAGTACAGTGATCATGGGATCAACATACGGCTTGATCAGTTTGGATGAAGCTCCAACAAGATGGCTGATCAGTCTTGCACTCTCCTCCTTGTTACGGACATTGTTGGAGTATTCAATCTCTGTGAGAAGTTGAATCAAAACTTTGCGGAGTGAGGGGAAAATGTATGCTGGGTTGACGGCAGTCAGACGACCAATAATCGTCATGGCAGCTTCTCTGATGCCAAAAATTTCGTCGTTCAGAGCAAGGAAAAGGGTGCGGACGTTTTCCGCCTTTGCGAGATGGCGATCGAATCGTGCGTCGAGTGAGGCCAGTACTGTCCTGCGAATTTCGGCCTCAGCATCGGCGACTCCGACGGTCAGAAGCTTTTCGATAACATCGCTGACGACTTGTATTGAGTAGTGGCTGGTCTGGTAGACGATTGGATCTCTGACAAATAGTTGGCAGCAGGTCAGAGCTGCAGCTTTGCGGATCTCAGCATCATCATCTTCAACGTAGCGAATAGCAACGTCTCTAACGAATTCGTTGAGTACATGGCCGGAGAAGTCGAAGCTGCCCAGAGTGTAGAGGGCCAGGGCAATCTGCTGTCCCTTGTTTTCGAGGTGTTGAGGGTCCTGTTGATCTCTGATTTCTCGGGTAAAGATGCGAGGAAGAGGTGTACTATGACTAGGGTGGCCCGGCAGGACGAAAGACTTGCCGCAGAGAGTAATGCTCAGCAGGTCGAGGAGCTTTTCCTGGATGATGGGCTTGACGGGAGGGATGTAGTGTGCCATGTCGACAAGTGCTTGTGTGAGAGCATCACTCAGACCACAGGCAAAGATGGGGTCTAAGAGAGCTTCCATGTACTTGCTCAGTGTCTGGCCGACAGCGATGGAGATCATGCTGATACACTTGAAGATCGGGGCTTCATCGGTGTTCTTGATGCGTGCTTTTACACTGAGAGCTTCGCGAATGTGAAGGAGGATGTTGTCCAGGTAGGGAGCAATCTGACTGCCGACAGCGTTGGCGACGTTTCCGATGGCGATGAAGGACAAGTTGCGATCTTTGGGAGATTTGAGGAGGCCTTGGAGATGTGACATGGAGCGGTGGATGTAGCCATTGCAGAACTCTTTCGGGGCGTATCTTGCCAGGATGGGGATGATGTAGATGACCTCACGACGGATCAGCGGATCGCGGTGTTCGCGGTATGACAGAATGCGCTCGCAGGCTTCCTTGTAGCGTGGACCGTGCATGAACATGCCTCCCTTTTGCAGTAGCTCCTTGAGAGCGAGCAGCGAGCCGTGAATGGCCTCGACGGTGTTGTGTTGGAAGCCCTTGTCTATCTCTTCGTATGTCCTTGTCAACCACTTCTGGCGAGCCTGTGGGTCTCTGGCCATGAGGATTTCGAAACACTGGCTGATGGTGTTGGCGGCGGATTCGCGGATCATGACCTTAGGGTCGCGGAGGGCAACCCAGACGACTTCGAAGATGTCGGGGATCCATACGTGCAGGAGGGTGGGCGAGCTCTTTGCAAGCTCGTACAGGTTCAGGACGGCCGAGAAGCGGCGGTTTTCGTTGCGCTCAATCTGGAGCCATTCGAGGGCGACCTTGACTTCGGCGTCGACGAGTTCGGCGGTGAGGGTTCCTCCTGGAGAGACGAGGTGACCGAGGGTCTTTGCGGCGACGACCATGGCGGCCGTGTCGTTGCCCGTCATGACCTTGCGGAGGACCGTGTGGAAGCGCGTCGTCTTCTGAGCGGCATCGTCGCCCTTGAAGTCGATGAGTTGCGAGAGGGCGTAGAGTCCTCCGATGCGTTCGTGTGTGTCGGTGCCATTCTGGATGAGGTCGGCGATGCGTTTGTTGACATCGACGTAGTAGGGAGTGAATTGGGTAGACGACAGTTCTGCGGCGGACTCGGGTCAGCCAGGGAGCTTCGGTCAGCATTTCAGACAGCTACCTCTGTGTGCCGCTTCGACTTCGTGGAGGAGACTCTCGGCCGCGCTCAGTCTCTTCTCATCGCGTCTGGAGCATAAAGAGTCAGCTCGCCTGTGCCATGTCTTGACGGGCGGGGCGCGGTACCTTGACTTGAGGTCGTGGACGGTGCGATCTAGCGCATCGCGGTAGGCTTGAGCCATGGTGCTGCCTTAGCGCACTGCGAATGCCGCGCTGTGCATCTACCAAGGGTTCTTGTAGCGCCTGTCGAGATGGCCGGAGGACGGCTTGTTTTGCGAATCGTGCACTTGTTGCTGTTGCTGCTTTGGTATGCGTTCATCCATCAAAGTCGCCGACTGCCACTGCCCGGCATGCGGGGTGCACGTGAGCGATATGACTATTTACCATCTACTCCTTCCCTCCACCCACCGTTCTTGACTCAGACATCAACATGCTCAGAACGCACCGGAGAGGCCCCTTGACTCTTCTCTTGCACAACAGCGCGACTCTGAAAGCTTGTCATCTCTTGGGGAGCTCCGACTGAAGCTCTCGCCGCATCGAGCTATCTGCAGTCAAGCTCAAACACAAAAGCATTCGCCAGTCGATAGGTAGGTGATAGAATGAAACAAGAATTCGCATCCTCAGGCGTCAATCTGGAAGAAAGGGGAATGACGAAGCACGTCAACACATCGGCATGGTATGCTATCTGCTGTTCGGCAAAATCGCGCTGACACAGACTGCTGCACATGAAAGAGCCAACGCCTAGCAACCAATCGATGGAACCTTGATATCAGACATTGAAGTAGCGACCAGGCAGTCATGAAACCATCATGTGGAAGCACCTTCACGGCTCCCTCTCACACACCAAGAGTGGTCTCTGATTCGCGTCGATCATGCCGTCGGACTTCCCAGTTTGATTTGAAGCAAAGCAGCTGAATCCGGCCCGCCAAACATGATTTTCTGCTGTATTGCGCTCCATTCTCCAGGTAGGAACAACAATAAAATTGGTGCAGGCGAAGTAGAGCGCGCGACTTGGTATGCAGCGCTGCTTATCGCCGTGGCATGATGTATAAATCGATTTTCTCCCTGGAAGATAGTAATCCTCCTTCTTTGGACTCGCAAAAGAGCGAGTTATGCTCGAGCACACAGCCTGCAGGATACAAAGCACAGACGGAAAGAGGTCCGTGGAGAAGAAGTCGTGATCGGCAAACGCCCCTCAAGCAGCAAACTTGAGGCTTCGACTGTTCAACTTGGCGATGTCAAGCACCCATTTTATCAAACAGCAACTGAATCGCAACCCCAACGACCTTGTGCATACCGTGATAAGCCTTCAATATCCGATGTGACAGGAAGCAGAAACTTTGCAGCGAGCCAACAGATCCTTCGGCAGATGTTTCTCACGAGTCAGCTTGCAGTCGTGATCGGGAATAAATTTCGCCCAGCACCTGGAAATAACGTGACGAGGTTGGCGTCGTTGTAACTCTATCTCCACTTTGACTAACCCCTCGGTCGCAGCCGACAAGCACACAATGCATCGAATGTCTTGCTTGAGATCAGGGAGCTTAGGCAGGACAAGATAGGGCATGTCTGGCTATCCGGCAAGTACGCGCAATCACACCTTGCCATGGCTTATATATCGTCCGAAGTTCCCGTCTTGTGTCCATGACCAAGAGCCCCTCAACGTCACGAAATAGACTTGGACGCCCACCGGCCGACCGTTTGAGGAAGGCCAGTCAGTTTGTTCGTCACCAAGGATTTAACCAAGGGTCCCCGCGGATCTAAGGGAAAGGAGCGGTGCCACACTTCCGAATTCCACTTAGGTAGCACACGACCTGCTTGTCTTCTTTACTCTTGTTCTCATCTTTAATACTGGCTTTCGTCGCGACGTCGACCTTGCACACACATCGGATCATGGACGGCAAGCGATGACGCAGGACCACAAGACGCCATCGCTGAATATGCAGGACCGAGACGATGATGTTGAACGTGGGGATATGTGGTCGACAGGAAAGTCGAACCTGAACATTCCCTGGCAAAGACCCTATGCAACGGGCACACCTCTACCTGGAAGTCCGGAGCGACACAGAAGTTTAGACGACTCTGCACAAGCCAATGGACATGACCTCGATGGCAACAAGCTGCTCTTGACGCTCAGAGAGCGTGTACGACATTTTGTCTGGACCTGGTTCACAATGACGATGGCTACTGGACAATTGGCGAATGTCATCTTGGTCGGTATGTTTGTCACCAGTCTCGCTTCCTGACAAAGGACTGATCAATGTGATGCAGTGCCGTATAACTTTCCCGGCCAATACGCAATTGGCAGCATCTTCTTCTTCACCAATCTCGTCTTGTTCTGCTTCAACGTCACAATGATATCCCTCCGCTTCTACTGGTTCCCGTCAACATTCAAAGCCTCTCTTACGCATCCCACCGAGTCGCTCTTCGTACCAGCCTCCGTCGTTTCACTGGGCACCATCTTGACAAACATTACCGAATTCGCTGTTGGGAATGGAAAGTCTGGATACTGGTTGGAGAGGACAATGATCATTTTATTCTGGGTATACTGTGGACTGGCTCTGGCATTTACATGCGGCATCTACCTGGTCATGTGGTCCACCCAGACATATACCATTTCCCGCATGACACCAGGTGTGTATAACTGACTGCTCTACACCTCCGAGAATGCTGCTAACCACTGGCATCAGTTTGGATCTTCCCGGCATACCCATTACTCATCATCGGTCCGCACGCAGGCAAACTATCCGCCCGAGTAGCCCCGGAATCAGCCTTACCCATCGTAGTAGGCGGCTTCTGCCTCCAAGGTATAGGCTTCATGATGTCCCTAATGGTCTACTCCGCATTCCTCTACCGCCTCATGACGCAAAAACTGCCCAAAGAATCTCTTCGCCCCGGCATGTTCATCAGTGTCGGTCCCTCTGGTTTCACAATCGCTGGTGTCATCACCATGGGCCAAAATCTCCCCGGCTGCATACCTGAAAACTTTATGGGTGTGGGACAAATGGCTGGAACCATCTCACTTGTCATGGCTAATTGGATGGGGATATGGCTGTGGGGATTGGCGATCTTCTTCTTTATCGTCAGTTGCGGCGCGCATTGGTCTTGTGTAAGGCATGGAAGGCTGCAATTCGCATTGACGTGGTATTCGTTCATTTTCCCCAATTGTGGGTTAACGGTAAGCCTTTTTTTTCTTGCGCACCCTCTCTCTCCTCCTTTTTCCCCCTTTTCCTTCCAAGGCTCCTGTACTAACGCATTTCCACAGACTGCGACTTTTGCCGTCGCACGTGCACTTGATCATTGCCGCCCTATCCGCATCCTGGGCTGTGTACTCACTTGCCTTCTTGTCGCCGGCTGGATCTTTGTGTTTTGCATGATGATCCGCGCAGTCATTCTCAAGGACATCTTGTGGCCGCAGAAACAGGAAGATAGAGATGAAGGTGGTTGGAAGACTGAAGATCCTGATCTGACGCTCGCAATGGCGAAGAGTACAGCTGGAGCGGTGTACCCAGAGGGAAGCTCTAGACGGCAGGCGGGATTTTGAGAAATTTTTGTAATTACGAGGTTAATGAGTTATGAGGATATGAAAAGAATGAATTTTTTTTTTCTTGTTTGTGCTTACTTTGAATGGCCTTTTTGCTTGATTATCAATAAGTTTTTGGTGGAAGATCTGCTGGGAGGAAGGGTTGGCTTACATTGTACAAGAGACAGAGTGTGAGTATGAGTCTGAAGTCAGTGGGTAGCCATTTGCTCACAGCCATTCTCTTATAGATCAAGTTTTGCTTTTCGAAAAGTATATGCTCATCCCTTTAACGGCCATATCTGGTAACGACAGTATGAAAGGCCAGAATATCATCATCAATACCTCCCCTCCACCTGCCCCCCTCCACGCCACAACAAAACCCCCTTCAACGGATAACAGTACCACTCCACAGACTACAAGAAACCTGCACCGCACTCCCCACCGCCAACCCAACCCCCGAATTCCCAAACAAAGCCGTGTTGGCACCACTATTCAAGCAAAGGTCAAAGTTCAAATTAGCACCATATTGATTAGTTCCTCCCAAGCCGTTTTGAGAGCATAGAGGATTTCCATTCGCTGGACACAAATTGGTGATTTGGACTACAATGCTGTTTCCAGAGTTGGAGAGCTTGTTGCCGGAGGAATCGGTCAGGGCGGTCAGTTTCCAGCAGGTGCCGCAGGCGGGACCGGCGCCGGCGCCGGGACCTACGCCAAAGGCGTTTTGGGATAGGGCGGCTGAGTAGCCTGGCTGTTTTTTCGAGGCATCAGTATTCTCGTTTTTACCATCTTTCTTCGGAGGTTGGAGGGGGGG